GGTGTCCACACGCCCAGGACAGGGGCCTCGCGACCAGCCTGAGGACAGGCAGGGACTGTCAGTGACTGCAGCCGCCCAGGGTGCTCACGCAGACATGGCACCGGGTCCCGGAGGAGGTCGGGGGCCCAGATCCTGGGAACCGGGTCCCAGAGGAGGTCTGGGGGCCCAGGTGGAGGTCGGGCCCCAGATCGTCCCGCTGGGCTGGCTGGCCCCTCGCTCATTGTCATGCTGAACCCTGCTCCCCCCCCCCCACCCCCGGCCACACGTCCAGCCACAGGTGTGATGGAGCGAGAGCCCGCACGGCCCACGGTGCCCACGCCTGCCCGCTCCTCCCGCCAGCAGGGGGAAACACCTCCTGAAGCTCAGGGAAACCCGGGGTCCCCTCCCTGGAGCAGAGAGCTCCCGTTTGCGTTGGGATTAATTTCTCAGCCGCTGCCTTTGAGCGGAAACACTTGATGAATCGCTGCTGTGACGGGGGCCGGGCGGGCAAATCCAGCCATCCATCTCCCCGCTCAGCGCAGAGCGGCCCGGCCTCCATCACTGGGGACGGGCGTGGGGCCTCATGCGCTCCTGGTGGGGAGACCGCAGTGGAGGGTGCCTCCTGGGACTCCGCTGGGCCCCAACCTGCAGACCCTGAGGCCGGGCCGGCGCTGGACACGCCCAGCCACGTTGGTGCGCCCTCCTCCCGGGAACGGCCAGCCGTAGTCCCTGGTCCCACAGCTGTACCGTGGACACCCTCCCACCCACCGTCCGCTCAGCCCGGCCCTGTCCCCTCCCAGCCCCGGGGCCAGAGGTCTGAACTCAGTGTCAGTGCTGCCCCCTCTCCCCCGTCAGAGGCCCTCGTGGAGGAATTGCTGTGGGGTGAATAGTGTCCCCAAACCCACGGTCAAAACCCTAGGCCCCCTGAGCCTCAGGCTGTGGTCACTGGGAAACAGCCGTGGGAGGCGGGCCTGGCGTGGTGGACGCTGTGGCGTAGGCTGGGCCTGAGGTGGAGGAGGGGTGCCCGCAGGCCAGGGAAGGTGAGGGCCCTGTAGTGCCAGGCCTCCGGCTCCCTCAGCCCCGCCCACCCCTTCTGCACTCTGAGGCCGGTGACCACTGCCCGGCCGCCCCAGAAAGCTCACTGGCTGGACGCTGGCCACGGGGTCGTCTCAGATCCCAGACTCCATGTGGCCGGTCGATCCCGTATGGTCTCTGTCCCGTGTGCTCTGTCCAGTCCCGTGTGGTCGGTCCATCCGTGTGGTCTGTCTGTCCTGTGTGGTCTGTCTGTCCTGTGTGGTCGGTCCATCCGTGTGGTCTGTCTGTCCTGTGTGGTCTGTCTGTCCTGTGTGGTCTGTCTGTCCTGTGTGGTCTGTCTGTCCTGTGTGGTCTGTCTGTCCTGTGTGGTCGGTCCATCCGTGTGGTATGTCCGGTGTGGTGGGTCTGTCCCGTGTGGTGGGTCCATCCCATGTGGCCAGTCCGTCCTGTGTGGTCGGTCTGTCCTGTGTCCGTGGGTGGGGTCGGTGCTGGTGAGCAGGAGGCGGGTGAGGGACGCGCAGATGTCATACCTTCATGCTGGTCTCGTTGCTTCTCCCCCGTTTTGCTCCTCCCGTGGACATGCTTCTGAGCGGTGCCGAGAGGTCACGGCCGAGCTCCAGGCCTGGTTCCTCTGTCTCCCGGGAGCTCTAGGTCCCGGCACAAGGCGGCGTCCGGGGGGCTAGTCCGCGAAGGCCTGTGCGTCCCGGTCCCTCCCGCGGCGCCTGGCGGCCCCCACCCCCACCCCCACCCCCGCTGCTGGGAAGGGGCGGCCCTTCCTGCCGGCCCCCTCTGCCTCTCGGGGAGCACGCTGCGGGGGAGGCTGTGTCTGCCCCCGGTAGCCGAAGGTGGAGCATGCCGGGCGTCCGTTTGTCCTTCTGTCTCGTGCTGGCTGTTGGGCCTTCGCCTCGCCCACATTTTAGGGTGCATCTGAGCCGTGTTTGCCCAGCGGCTGGGACAGGCCCGCTCGGAGGGCAGAGCCCAGAACAGACTGCGAGGAGCGCAGAGGCCGGTGCGCGGGGGAACGGGGAGAAACGCTGCTCGCACCCAGTGAGCCCAGAGGCGCCCGAGTCCTCGCAGAGAGAACACGGGGCTGCAAGACAGGACAGCAGCCCAACAGGGGAGGGGGCTCGGGGGTGGAGTGTTGACCTTTGAACCAGAGGTCAAGGTTTAATTCCCAGTTGGGGCACATGCCCAGGTGGGGGTTCCATCCCAGTGTGGGGCGCAGGAGGCAACTGATCCGTGATTCTCTCTTCGCTGAAGCTTCTACTCTCTCTCCCCCTCCCTTCCCCTCTGAAATCAAGAAAAAAAACTATATTTTTTTAAGTGTCAAACAGGAGTGAACAGATCCCTCGTAACAAACCCAGAAAGGAGAGGAATGAGCCCCTCCCCCAGCACGTCCCGCCCGCAGGCTTTGGGCCAGCGTCCCTGGCCCTTCTCCGTCAGCTCCGCTCGCAGGGGCCCTGAGCACTGGCCACCAGGGGGCAGCCCGGAGATCGGGGGCCCTCACTGGTCACCAGGGGGCAGCCCGGAGATCAGAGACCCCTCACTGGCCACCAGGGGGCAGCCCATGGGATCGCGAGGCCCTCACTGGCCACGAGAGGGCAGCCCGGAGATCGGGGGGCCCTCACTGTGGCAGCTGAGCCTTCCACGCTGTCCTGGGTCTGGAGGCGGAAGCCGGCGGAGCCTGAGGTGCCAGGCCACATTGCCTGGGCCCGGCCCTTGGAGCCGCCCTCTCACCCGGAGCCCGCAGGTGCCTTTTAAACTACATCCGAGCTTTCGGGGTACCCTGTGCGCCCGGGGCTCGGAGTTAGGGTGCCTTTCCGGACTTCCTTGTCCTCAGCTGCAGAAGAGTTAGGCTGTGAGCCTCCACCTCCCCTCCCCCCTCACCTTTCCCAGCCAGGCTGCAGGCGAAGCTGTTCTCAAACAGGCAATGGGGGGGGGAGGGGGGCGGCTCCCAACGCCCGCACACTCCTCTCACCGAGAAGCTGCTGGAGAAGTCCTTACCGGAAATGAGGTTTTGAAAAATAAATGCGTGGGGCCTCCCAACACCAAGATCGGGAGGAAGCCCATGGTGACAGGGACGGGGACACAGGCCGGAGCCCCCGGGCCCGCCGCCGTCCGGAGCAGGCGGCTCGGCAGCAGTTCCTCACCACGACCGCGGCCCCGGCACGCCTGGGGCTGGAGCCGCGTCCGCGCCCCAAAGGCGGCAGGTCCAGTGCCCGGCCGGGCGGGGCGCACACCAGGCTGTGGGTGACCCCATCGGGGCGTGAGGAGCCAGCAGACCGAAGGTCCTCTCGCTCTCCTTCTCCCACCCCTCCTCTCTCTAACTCAATAGAAACAGCCTCGGGTGAGGATTTTTTTAGAAAAGAAGGCAAACAACAAACTCGGGTGTATTTAAAGATTTGAGAAGATTTACATAACGAGGACATGTTTGGATTTGGGTTTGTTAAGTACGTCGAAAATTAAACCAATAAACAGATTACTCCGCTCCAGAGAACAGGAATGTGCGGAGAGGCACCGCAACCGTGTGCATCCGTGTCCTTTAGCAGCTATTCACGTCGTGATGTAACCGGAACGTGGATCTCGTTAGTTATAACTGTGACTGGAAGACGCCAGCACGGGAAGTGGGGGGGGAGGGAAGGAAGGGGGCAGGTGGTGAAGGAAGAGGCTGGCCTGGTGGCTTGGACCTCCCAGCGGACGCCCGGCGGGCGATGCGGCGGTTGTCACGTGGGGGAGAGGGTGGCATCCAGTGGGCAGAACCCAGGGACCTGCTGGGCCCTCTAAGCAGCAGCCTGCCCGCTGAGGACCTGAGCACCGCCCTCCCCACAGCCGGGCGTCCCCAGGTGACACCCAAAATTCAGACACCGAGTGGGCGCAGGGTTGGGATGGGAGAGGCGGACTGACGCGGAGGGCTGCTGCACCAGGCGGGGCGGGGCGGGTGGTGGCCCTGCGGGCAGGGAGCGGGCACTGTCTCTGGACTGTGTACGTTCCACGTTTTCAATGAGGGTTCTGTGGGGCAGAGGGCTGTGGAGGGCGGGCATCTCGGCCCTCAGACGCTCCCAGGCTGGGTGGGCACAGCGTGGTTCCTGCCCAGCGTGGGACCCCGTGCCTTGCAGCTGGGCCCAGCAGGGCCTTCGTGGGGCACATGGTGCCCCTGAAAGGATGAGATGCCAGCCTGGGCGCCGAGGAGCCGTGAGCGCCCTATCAGCCCCAGGTTCGTCCCCGACGGCCGTTGGGAGAGCGGAGCTGAATGCTCGGTTCGCCGAGTGGCTGGCGAGTCACGCATGGCGCTGCGCGTACCACCCGCCCCACCACGCGGGGCGGACCGTGGAGCTGAGTGTCCGTCCTGGGCCTGCCCGTTCCTGTGGCACAGGGTCCCCTTGCCCCTTGCCCGCCCCTCTCGTGGGAGGGTATTTATAAGCATTGAGGCACGCGCCCTTGGCACCTCTGCCAGCCCTGCCACGCGCTCCTGGCACCCAGGCCGCGGGTCCTGCAGCCACCACGCCCAGCTCGGGGGGGGCTCCATGGAGCTTCTTGACTTGGCCGATGAGGAGGAGGACGTCAGGCGGGGTGGCCACGGGGGCAGTGGGTGTGTGCAGGCCACCGCCCCACACGGCTGTGCAGCCGCCCCTCTGCCCGGGAACAGGGCACACGTGTCCTCAGGGGCAGGGAGGCAGCTGGGACGGGGCTCCGTTCCCGTGGCCGGTGAATGCAGGCGGACCTCCTGTCCCACCTCCCAGGAGGCGGGGAAGGGGGCGGCGGGGAAGGGCGTGTCCCCGGATGCGTGTTCCCAGCCTGGGAAGCAGGTGATCGTCCTGGCTCCTCTGAGCCGGCGTCGGCTGCCCCGTGAACGCTCCGTGGATCCGAGAGCCCAGTGGGCGCTGCCAGAGGACTCAGCCCGGCTCCGGCCCCCACTGCATGCCCCCCTGTGCCCCCAGGAGGGCGCAGTCGGCCTTGGCCGCTCTCTCACAGCCGTGTCCCCGCAGGTGAACAGCGAGAACGTGGTGAAGGTCGGGCACCGGCAGGTGGTGAACATGATCCGCCAGGGAGGGAACCACCTGGTCCTCAAGGTGGTCACGGTCACCAGGAGCCTGGACCCCGATGACACCACCAGGAAGAAAGGTGGGTGCCCCTCCCCCGCCGTAACCCCGAGAGCCGGGCCCACCTGCTCCGGGAGCCGGCAGAGCGGCCGGGAGCGGGGTTCGGAGGTGACGGGGGAGCTGGCCCGGCCAGTGGTGGCCTGGCTCCTGTCCGACCAACTGGCCACGGGGCCCGCTGTTTGCAGAGCTGGCTGCCCCCCGGATCCGGGCGCACCCCCCTCCCGAGGGAGGCGGCAGGGGGAGCCCCAGGCAGACCCGGTATGGCCCCGGTCGCCGGCAGGGATGGAGCTGGGGACACACATTGTCCTGCCCGCAGCCCTGCATTCCCACCCACCCACTGAGAGCCCTCCGCTGGGCAGGGCCCATGCCTCGCAGCAGGGAGGGCTGCCTGGAGGCGGCAGCCTGCGGGGTGAGGGGGTGAGGAGAGCTGCTTGGGGGGCACCAGGGGCCAGCTCCTAGGCTTCCTCAAAAGGAGGCTGGGGGGGCATGGGCACCCTGAGGCCCGTCCCTGCGGAGGGACGAGGAGCACCCCAGCCTGTGGAGCCTCCCCGCAGCGGGCAGGGCCAGCCAAGGGCCACAGGCTGCGGACCCGCCGACCCCGTTAGTCACCGGGACACAGACCTCCCGGCCCAGCCGGGCAGCCAGGTGGCCGGGCCCCCACCGACAAGCGGGCAGGCCCGAGCGCCAGGGCTGCTGGGCGAGTGCCGAGGGCGGAGGCGGCCCTCGCTGACCTCACGGGGAGTCGGAGGCCCGCAGCCTCCCAGGGTCCGGAGGCGGGGGGTGGCGGCCTCGCAGCCGGGCGCTCACGCCGGGCTCTCTCCTGTCCGCCCCCAGCGCCCCCGCCTCCCAAGCGCGCTCCGACCACGGCGCTCACGCTGCGCTCCAAGTCCATGACCTCGGAGCTGGAGGAGCTGGGTAAGAGCCGCCGGCGCCCCGCCCCGCCCGCGCCCACGCCGGGTCCGCATCGCGCCTGCGGCTTCGGGGTGGGCTCCTCTTCCTGGTCCATCTAACGTTGTTTTGTTTTGAATTTCTGGGCCTCTCGCCAGTGGATAAAGGTAAGCTGCCCGCCGTGTCCGCACCACCGGAGCCCGCGGCCTCCATGCCGGGCTCCCGCCAGCAGCTCCGCCCGGGGGCCCTCTGGGAGGCGGTGGGGTGGCCTCCGGGTGCGCTGCCCCGGGTTAGGGAGCCCCTGGCGCCCGCGGGAACGGCCTCTTGGCCCCATCGGGCGGGAAGGTGGCAGAGCAGGTGGCCGTGCGCCCAGCGGACCGAGCTGACCGCTGAGACGCCGGTGCCCGGAGCTGGCGCCATGTCCGTCGTGCTGGGGCGTCGCCTCGCAGCCTGGAGACACGTGGCGAGGAGGGACGTGACCCCCAGAGATGGCGGCGGGAGGTGCTCTCTGCGGAGCGGGAAGAGGCGGTGCAGGAGGGGCAGGTCCCTGAGCCAGCAGCCCCGCAGGCCCAGCGGGGCTGCAGGGGGTGGTCTAAGCTCCAGCCAGCGTCTGCCTGGGGATCGCTCCCCCTCGCCCCTGCCTCCCAGGAACTCATCCCTCTGACCACTCGCCGCTGGGAGGGTCTCTGCCACTTTGTCCGTTCGTGGGGGGCCCGAGGGGGCAGGTGGACCAGCCGTGCCGGCCGCACCCCTCACTCACCCCAGGAAAGAGTGAGTCTGCTGGCACCCATCACCCCGCCCAGAGCCAGCGCTCCCCGGAGGCCCCTCCCCCACCCTGTCCATCCGGGCAAGACCCCCAGAGACAGCCGCTGTCCCTGGTGGCACCCGGTGGGCGACCGTGCGGTGAGGCCCGTCTCCTCTGACCCCAGACGGCTGTGCCGCGCCATACCTGGGGCCTGTGGGGTGGCCCCCGAGGGAGCCCCCCTTTAAGGGGCCTCTCCCCCGGGGACCTGGGTGTCCGTCGTGGGCGGAGTCGCCCTGCCCGCACTGGCCCTGGGGGAGGGGCGTTCCGGGCGGGTGAGGGCGGGGTGCTGGTCCGCCGCTGGAGTCCGAGTCTGGGCCCTGAGCCGCTTCGGGTCCTGTCAGCCCGGCCGGTCGGGTTTGGGGTCCCGTGCCCCACGGGACTCACGCCCCCTTTCTGTTTGCAAGCCTCGGTCCGGAAGAAGAAGGGTAAGGGGACGGCCCTGTCTGTTTCCGGCCCCCACCCCCATGGAAGGACCCTCTGTGGTGGCGTGGCGTTGGCGTGGCGTTGGCGTGGCGTTGGCTGGCGTCTCGCGTGTCGGTGGCCTGTGCTGTCTCCCTGTGCCGGCTCCCAGGGGCCCCGTGCTCGGACCGTCCCTCCGTCTGTCCCGTCTGCTTCGCTTGTCACGTCTGTGGTCCTGACGTGTTCCCCGCCCCGAGCTGTCTTCCTCAAGGTGTGAGCCCACGGCCTCGCTCGGCGGTCACCGCGGGGCTGCCTGCGGCTCAGGAGCAGGCACGGGGGCCCCGGCCCACAGATGGGGCTGAGGCCAGCCTCCGGGCCCTTTGCTCTGGGGGCACTCCCCCCAACCCCCAGGAGCCCCCCACTCCTCAGCGGCCTGCTCTGCACCCACAAGAAACTGTTCTTAAGGGAGAGGGGGGAGGCGCGGATCAGGGGATCGGGGGTTGTAGGCGGACTCTCCCTGCCCCCCCTCAGGGCTGCATGGGGAGAGGTCGGGCAGCAGCAGACCCCTCCCTGGGCAGCACCCACCTTTGGAGTGTTCTCACCTGGTTGCCGGAGACAACACCCCAACAATGAAAAGAAGCAGCATCAAGTCAACACGCCTTTCGGGGGCCCGTCTCAGGGCCTCGGCTGAGGCACCAAACCGGGGGACAGCCCAGACGAGGCCCTCCTGCGCCTCCAAGGCCACGGGAAGCAGAGGCCCCACCGGGAGCGGCAGGAAGGACCCCCCCCCTGCAGCCTCCGGGGGGCTGACCTCTGACCCTCAGCTTCAGAGTCCCGGCTGGGAGGGGTGAGATCTGCTCGCAGGCACCCCCTCTCAGGGGTTTGCTCAGGGGCCTGGGCACCGACACATCAGGGAAGCAGCCCCCTGCGCGGCCCTGCAGCGCCTCCCACTGAGCGATAGGACCCCGGCTCACTGCCCATCTCCAAACCCTGCGTTCCCACCACGAGCCCAGGGCTGCCCCCCCCCCCCCGTGCTCGCCCGAGGGCAGACGGGACAGAGGGGCCAGGACAGGCGGCCACAGCCACAGGCTCCGACTGCAGAGGGCGGGCAGGGGCCGCGGGGGTCGGGAGCTCCCCGCCCCCCTGCCCGGCCGCCGGTCCTCACACCTGGCCCTCTGCCCGCCCCGATGCGGGCCGCTGAGCCGGCCTCCCCTGCGGGAGGGCCCGCCGGTGGGGCGTCGGGAAGGCAGGACCCGGCGTGTGCGGGCCAGTCGTGCTGTCCGCCATGTCCGCACCACTTCCCCGTGTGCGGACCGCCAGGAAGTGTGTCCGTGAACAGCGTGCGTGACGCGGGGCTGCGAGCGTGTGCCCGGGCTGTTCTCAGTCTGGCCGTGGGGTGCGGCTGGGCTCTGGCTTCGGGCTGGGCGGCCCTGGGCGTGGCGTTGGGGAGAGCTGGGGAGCTGCCCCTGCGGCCGGAATGAGGCGGGGCCTGGGGCCCGGGGAACTGAGCGAGCTCTGGGCGATGGCCAGGGAAGGGCCGGCCTTCCGGCTCCCCGAGGGTCCCGGGGCCACACAGCCACTGCCGGGAGGGGTCCCGAGCAGGCGAGTCCTGCGAGGAAACGGCTCAAATCCAGCCGCGGAGGAGCCTGCCCTGCCCTGCAGGGAGGGCTTCATGGAGGAGGTGATGCTGAGGGTGGGACCAGGCTGTGGGGACCAAGGGGGGGTCTGAGGGAGGAGGGCTGGCAGCAGGTCGGGGGGCCGCCGAAGGGTGTGGACAGGCCGCAGAGCGGCAGGATAGGGGCTGAGGACAGTGACTAGCTGGGGTGTCCCCACCAATTCCCTGAGGGGTGACCGGGGTCCCCACCATCGCGAGGGGAAGCAGTGCCCCCAGAGGAGGCAGCGGGAGCTGACTCCCAGCTGCTCCCCGCCCCTCCCACAAGCCTCCCAGCGGGATCCGGCCCCTTCGAGGGCCGAGCTTCGTGGGGAGTCACAGGCCCGAGCGGGAGCCTCCTGGCTGGAGAGCAGAGTGATCAGAGAGGCGGTCCCTACACTGGCTTCCGGCTCCTGACAAGCCCAACAGGCTGCATTTCAGCTTCGTAAACGTCTCCATGAGGACCAGTAGCCGCCACACCCGGCTCTCCTCACACTGGGGAGGGGCCCCAAGCGCAGGCGGGCATCGGAGCCTCCCGTGGCTGCTGCCTCCACCCGGCCCTCGTGCCCACGCTGCCTGGCTCCCGCCCGGCTGGGTCCCAGGACCGGCAGCCGCACCTCCAACTGACGAAGCCCCGCGTGGGCACTGGCACCGGCATCAGTGCTGCCTGAGCGCCCTCGGGCGCCAGGCCTCCGGGGTCTTCCCATCTTGTCCCTGTGCCAGCCCCCGGCGGCCTGGCACGGTGCTGGGCGGGAGAATCCCTGCGCCCGCACCAGGCCGGCCACCGCGGTCTGGAGGCGGAGCAGGCAGTTGCCATGTGCCTGGGAGGCTGTGCCGCGGGGCTGCCGCCTCTGACCCTGTGCCCGCTGTTCCCGCTGCAGATAAGCCCGAGGAGATCGTGCCCGCCGCCAAGCCCTCCCGTGCCGCCGACAGCGTGGCCGTGGAGTCCCGCGTGGCCACCATCAAGCAGCGGCCCTCCAGCCGGTGCTTCCCGTCCGTGTCCGACGTGAACGTGAGTGGCGGTTGGCGGCGGGAGTGGGCGGTGGCCATCCTCCCGCGTGGGCTCACGTTCCCGCACTGGCCAGACCCAGCGCCTGGCCCGGGCCTCAGCTGGACACTCGGGTGGCGGGGAAGTCCCGGGACAGGCGCCCTCTGCCCAGCGTCCTGCACCCCGGGCCGCCGCGGCGGGCGAGGCTGGCCTGGCCCCTCTCACCCGTGCCGCCTCCGGTTTGCAGTCCGTGTACGAGCGCCAGGGCATCGCCGTGATGACGCCCACTGTGCCCGGGAGCCCGAAGGGCCCGTTCCTGGGCCTCCCTCGAGGTACGATGCGAAGGCAGAAGTCAATAGGTAAGAAGCTGGCCGCGTCCGCAGAGGGCCCCGGCTCAGGGCCCGGCCCGGCAGTGCCCGGCCGCCCGGGCCCCGCCCCCTGGGGTGGCCCCAGCCCCGCCCTCCGGACGCCACGTCCAGGAGCTCCTCCAGCTTTGCGAGCCAGGCCACCCGTGCAGCCCGGGGGCCCGGTGGAGGCAGGACAGGGTCGGTGGGCAGTGGCTGAGCCTGTGTTCCGCACCCCTGCCTTCCTGCCAAGACCATGGTTCTCGGGGCGAGCCCCGGACACTGAGGGTGGCTGGTCGGGCTGGACCTCTGATCGCCCTGTGCTGTGTGTGTCCGAAACCACTTACTCTCGTGAGCGCCACACGATTCCCACAGACGGTTCCGGGCAGGGTGACCGTGACCCCCTGTGAGCCGGCCCCGCGCTGTCCTCACCCTGCAAACCAGAGGCAGGCGCTGCCGGCGCCGGGCCGGCTGTGTGGGGACGGGGCACTGCGCGTGGCGGCGGCAAGGCCTCCTGTCGGAGCTGGAGGCGCAGCGGCCGCACCTGCGGCTCCTGAGCCCCCACCGGGCTCGGCGCAGAGCAGCCTCGGCCGTGGCTGCCGTCAGTAACCGCCCTTTCCTCCCGCCAGACAGCAGACTGTTTCTGTCAGGTCAGTGCCCGGCATCCCGGCACCTGCCGTGCGCCCGGGAGGCGTGTTCCTCGCCGCCGCTCCTCGGGCGGGCGGTGGCGGGAGGAGGCCGCAGGCTGGGAGGAGCGGGGCTTTGGAACACGCCTCACGGGGAGCCGCCTGGCACGTGCCTGGCCTTGGCTCTGCGAGTCATCATCATTTGAAGTGATCGTCTGTCACCTCCAAACCATGCATGCCCCAGCGTGACACTCGTGACCTCACCTCTGTCGGCATCCTTGTGAGCGCGTGGCTCCCGCCTCCTGGAGTGCGTGCTGTTGTCGTTCTTGTAGCTCAGATTGTGGGACACAGGCAACATACACACACACACACACACACACACACACACACACACTCACACTCGCGTGCACATGCATGTGTCAGCTGGGCTCTGGCCCTGGCCAGTCAGGTTGTGGGACCCACGGCGCCCTCAGCAGCCGGGGGCCCAGGGGACCAGCCCCCGCACCCACACATCCTTGCGCCCTCTGAGGCCCGGGAGCCCCAAGGCCCTCAAGCCCTTGAACAGCCCAGGACACACACCGGACAGGACATCCCAGGGCCCCGCAGGGGAGGGGACCACTCACTGCACCTCCGCACGCCCCTCTGCCCTGGTTTCAGACCAGTGGGGAGGCCACCTCAGCCTGAGACGCTGCTGACACCAGGGCCCCGGCCAACTCCCTCTCCAGCTCCGCCCCGCCATGCTGACACACTGCGTGCACACAGGAAGGGCTGACGGCCCTGCCCGAGGGGCCCAGGCGCCCGGCTCTGGGCAGAAACAGAACCTCAGCAGCACGCACTCCGCACCCTCCTCCCCCTCCTCTTACTTCACTTCATTTATTTTACATTTTTGGCTCAGATGGGCTGTGTCCCTCGGCATGTGCGCTGTGCTGTGCTGTGCTCTGTGACGTGGGCGGCGTGGCTGCCACGACCCCACTGACCCTGCCTCTCCCGCAGGAATAACGGAGGAGGAGCGGCAGTTCCTGGCTCCTCCGATGCTGAAGTTCACCAGGAGCCTGTCCATGCCGGACACGTCCGAGGACATCCCCCCACCCCCGCAGTCCGTGCCCCCGTCTCCCCCGCCCCCCTCCCCCACCACCTACAACTGCCCCAAGTCCCCGACGCCCAGGGTCTACGGCACCATCAAGCCCGCCTTCAACCAGAACCCCGCGGCCAAGGTGTCGCCGGCCACGCGCTCGGACACGGTGGCCGCCGTGATGCGGGAGAAGGGGCTGTTCTACCGCCGGGAGCTGGACCGCTACTCGCTGGACTCCGACGACCTCTACGGCCGCACCCCCGCCGTCCAGGCCGGCGCCCGCGGCCGGCGGGGGCAGATGCCCGAGAACCCGTACTCGGAGGTGGGCCGGATCGCCAGCAAGGCGGTGTACGTGCCGGCCAAGCCCGCGCGGCGCAAGGGCACGCTGGTGAAGCAGTCCAACGTGGAGGACAGCCCCGAGAAGGCCTGCTCCATCCCCATCCCCACCATCATCGTCAAGGAGCCCTCCACCAGCAGCAGCGGCAAGAGCAGCCAGGGCAGCAGCGTGGAGACCGACCCCCCGGCTCCCGAGCCGCCCGGCCAGCTGCGGCCGGACGACGGCCTGGCCGTCAGCAGCCCCTTCGCGGCCGCCATCGCCGGGGCCGTGCGGGACCGGGAGAAGCGGCTGGAGGCCAGGAGGAACTCGCCCGCCTTCCTGTCCACGGACCTGGGGGACGAGGACGTGGGTCTGGGGCCGCCCACCCCCCGGGCACAGCCCCTCGAGTTCCCCGAGGAGGGCGCTTTTGGCGAGGAGGAGGGCGCCGAGCAGCTGGTGTTGCCCGCCTCGCCGGGGGCAGTGCCCAGGGAGCCGGAGAGCCATTTGGTGGGTGGCGGCGAGGCCAGAGCTCAGGGTGAGGCCGGGAGGCTGCCGAACACGTCCAAAGCCAAGTGTCCCGAGGGCAGCCCCGTGGGGCCCCCCAAGGGCGGCACCACGAGCCCCGAGAACTACGTGCACCCGCTGACGGGGCGGCTGCTGGACCCCAGCTCCCCGCTGGCCCTGGCGCTCTCCGCGCGGGACCGAGCCATGAAGGAGGCCCAGCAGGGCCCCAAGGGGGAGGCCCCCAAGGCCGACCTCAACAAACCCCTCTACATCGATACCAAAATGCGGCCCAGCGCGGAGGCGGGCCTCCCCTCGGCCGCCAGGCAGGGCGCGCGCGGGCCGCTGCGGCGCCAGGAGACGGAGAACAAGTACGAGAGCGGCCCGGGCCGGGACCGCAAGGGCGAGGACCGCAAGAACATGCTCATCAGCATCGTGGACACGTCCCAGCAGAAGCCGGCCGGCCTGCTCATGGTCCACACGGTGGACGCCGCCGCGCCCGGCAGCCGCCTGGAGGCGGGGGGCGAGGACGCCGCCGCGGAAGCCACGCCGGGCCGCCCGCTGCCCGCGGTGCCGGAAGGCGTTCCCGAAACCGAAGGTGCTTTACCGATCGCCGCCGGCCCCGAGCCCGCGGCCACCACGCCCGGCAGGACCATGGTGGCGGCGGGCTCCCTGGAGGAGGCGGTGATCTTGCCATTCCGCATCCCGCCCCCGCCGCTGGCGTCCGTGGACCTGGACGAGGACTTCGCCTTCACTGAGCCATTGCCGCCCCCCCTGGAGTTCGCCAACAGCTTCGACATCCCCGACGACCGCTTCGCCTCCGTGCCCGCCCTCGCGGGCCCGTCCCCGCAGGACAGGAATGGCGCCGCCCCGGCCCCCGCGCCGAACCCCAGCCAGCCCGCCGGCTCCGCCGACGGCAAGACGCAGGCCGGCCTCCCCAACTGCCTGCCGGCCCCGCTCCTGCCACCGCCCGAGAGCTTCGACACCGTCACGGACTCGGGCATCGAGGAGGCGGACAGCCGCAGCGGCAGCGACCACCCCCTGGAGACCACCAGCACCGTCTCCACCGTGTCCAGCATCTCCACGCTGTCCTCCGAGGGCGGCGAGAGCGTGGACACCTGCACGGTCTACGCGGACGGGCAGGCGTTCGTGCTGGACAAGCCCCCCGTCCCGCCCAAGCCCAAGGTGAAGCCCATGGTCCACAAAGGCAACGCGCTCTACCAGGACGCGCTGGCGGAGGAGGAGGCCGACGGCTTTGTGCCCCCGCCCGCGCCGCCCCCCCCGCCCGGCGGGGCCCAGCCCGGGGCCGGGAAGGGGGTCCAGCCGAGGACCTCCAAGCTGTGGGGCGACGTCTCCGAGGTGAGGAGCCCCATCCTCTCCGGCCCGAAGGCGAACGTGATCAGCGAGTTGAACTCGATCCTGCAGCAAATGAACCGAGAGAAACTGGCCAAGCCGGGCGAGGGCGTGGACGCGCCCACGGGGACCAAGCCGGCCGGCCTCGCTCCCAGGTAAGTCCCACGGCGTTTGGCCAGACGCCACCCGCGGCCGGGCTCCCTCGGCCTCATCCAGGCGACGCTGGGCCGCAGCGTGAAGAGGGCTCAGGAAGCCTGCGTGGCCGTCTCTCGTTCTCCTGGACGTGGGTGCAGGCGTGGGCACAGCCCCCACCCTCCCGGCAGGAGGGCGCCCCCGGTGCAGAGCCAGCGCCCTGGCCCCCGGAGCCCCGTCTGCACCAGGACCGCCTGGGGCCAACCTGGAGCCTCGAGCAGCCGGGACGGCCCCACTGGGCGGAGGGGGTGTCGGGTGCCAGTGGAATGGGGAGGGGGTGCGGGGGCGGGGGCGGTGTGCCTGGTCCTCTCCCTCCTCCCATCGTTCGCCGGCTGAGGGCTGGGGGGGCGGGACCGGGAAGTCAGTGAAAGGCGCCCCAGCCCATCCCCCCCGCAGGCCAACCTCATGGAAGCAAAGCGTCCACTTGTCCCGGGGGCCACTCTCGGGTCACGGGGTCAAGGCTGCTGCCATGGGAACTGGGTGTAGAGCAGCTTCCGGGCTGTTCTCCGCACGCAGTGCCCGTCGTCGGTCCTCGGTTCCGGCCATCTCTCCGCGGCACGTGGTTTCACGGTGCCGGGGTGGCGGCCCGTTTCCCCAGCTGGGGTGTGCGCTCAGGTTCCTCACGCAATTGACAAGTCTCTCCGCACCCGTTGGGTGGCATCCCGCGCCCACAGCGAAGGCCAAAGCCGTGAATCGGGGCATTGCGCCACGGCTGGCCCTGGAGGTGCGGGCCGAGCCCCACAACCCCCCGCGCTCCTCCGGGCGGAGGGGAGCAGCTCCTCCACGGCCCCCAGGACTCTCCGTCCGCAGAGAGAAGCTCGCACACACCGCACCTCCGGTGCGACGCCGCCGCTAACTGCCGCCCAGCAGTGCCCGGGGGCGGGGAGTCCCTCCCCCTCTCCGGTGGACTCGGTGACGCCAGCTGCCACGCACACCGAGTGCAAGCGCACTCATCCTTCCTCATTGTGCACGTAGTTCAGCGACGACAGCGCGGCGTCCAGTTCAGACGCTTTAAGTGTCCCTCGCGTCACAGAGGGCGTCCACCCAGGACTGACCTCCCACACCCGTGTCCCGCAGCGGCCGAGGCGCACAGGTCGTGTCGCTTCGAATTCCAGAGAAATCCCCAGGACTGGCTGAAGGACACGGTTCAGCAGGACAGGCGCGGCCGGCCGGCGGTCTCCGCCACGGGGCCGCCCAGAGCACAGGAGACACGGACACACGCAGGGTGGGCGTGCTCGCTCTGCAGCTGTGCCAGCAGGACGCCCGCCGTGCGGTCCGCGCTCACATCCCAGAACAGTTCCTTGTTGGCGGTTCCTTGACCGAGGGGCTGGCCAGGCTGCACTTATCACCGCCTTCGCTGTGTTCCCACAGGGTGGGAGGGGCATTGTGCTCAGGTGCCCGTGCAGGCCGGACGATGACTGCAGAGGAGCAGGCCGCAGGCCAGAGGGCCGAGGCCTCGCCGGTGCTCAGCTGGAAGGACAGCACAGACCGGGTCGCAGGGCAAATCGGCCAGTGGCCAAGGGCTTCTCTTGGATGGGAGGCAAGGCTGGTCCCCTCCCACTCCTTCCAGCTCCCAGCCAGTGCCCACAGCTGGACCAGGACCAGAGAGCAAGGACCAGGAAGGCCATGGACTCTGGACACGGGCTCAGCCATCGGCCTGGGACCAGGATCCGCGGGGGTGGAGGCCCCGGGCAAGCGGCCGAGGCGGGGAGGCCGAGGCCCTCCCCCTGGAGCGGATCCCTTCTGCAAGTAGGCCGCCGCCACACACCTGCGCCTCTCCGGGGCCTGGGGTCGCCGGCTCCCTCGTCCGGAGGCTTCGAAAGGAAAAGGGGCTCCTCCCTGGGGAAGAGTGAGGTTCCAGGGAAACGACGGAGCAATAGTGCAGCCCCCGTTTCAGTGCGAGGCTTATGGCGGAGGGTGGGCCTTGGAGCGCGCACGGTGGTTTGCTCATGGAGTGGCGGAACCTCGGCTGCGTGGCCCCGAGGCCTGAAGGAGTGGGCGCGAGGAGCAGGGCGCGGGGCGCGGCCGCCTCCGTGCACAGGGCCCCCCTCGGCGGACACTCCTAGGACAGGGAGCCGGGCCCAGCCCAGGACGCGGACACGGAGGCCGGGACACGGACACGGAGGCCGGGACGCGGACACGGAGGCCGGGATGCGGACACGGAGGCCGGGACGCGGACACGGAGGCCAGGACACACTTCGGAGTGGAAGGATGTCGGAGGGGACGGCGGGCGGCAGCCAGGCGGGGTGAGGGCCTCTCGGCAGCTGTCTGCACTCAGGTCCAGGCCGCCTGGGGTCCAGGCCAGGACCAGGCGGGGAGCCCGCGGCCCCACTTCCACCTCCTGACCCAAACCCACCGGCTGCGGCCAGGGCGCCAGGCGCCGTGCGGGAGGGGAGCTGCCTGTTCGGCTGCAGGCGTGGACAGGTCGCCTCTCCGCTGTGAGGGGGGTGTGGGGGTCGCAGGCCCTGGAAGCCGGGGTCCTCCCGGCTCCCATCCAGACATGGTGGCGTCTGCTTGCTCCCTCGGGAGCCCTCCAGGTTACCCAGCGCTTTTCGGGGTGCCCAAAGGCCACCCGAGACTTGCCTTCGCCTCCTGGGGACGCAGATGGGCTTAGGGAGTGGAGTGGCCACGGGTCCCAGTCCCGCAGGCCGCCCTGGCCGCTGCCTCCGAGGCCCCTCCCCAGCCGGAGCCGCCAGCTGTGTGCTCCGTGTGCCACCCCAGGGCCTGTTCACTTAAAATTACCCGGTTTGAGCTTTTTACAAAGTGAGCTCGCCCAGCACACACTCCGCAGCCCCGAGGACACGCGCTCCCGGGTCTTGGCAGCCTCAGCGCCAAGGGGCTATCCCCTCGGGCCTCGCCTGGAAGGGGAGGTGACGCCGTGGGGGAAACGGTCAGAGGGGCCTGGGGTCCGCCTTCCCCGCTCCCCGCGGACAAGCCTCCGGAGGCTCGTCTCGTCCTGAGCGTGTCTCCCTTGACGGCCAGCGCCCCCCGGGCTCCTGCCTTCTCTGCCCGTCTGAGTGGCCGGGGCTCGGCAAGGGCCCAGGGTGAGCACCTTCTTGCTCCGCAGGGACCTTGCTCTGCTCTGGCTCTGGGTCAGGCACAGCCTCCTGACCCGGGATGTGAGCTTCCTTTCCATCCCCCGCTCGGAGGGTGGGCCAGGCCCCTCACGCCCTCAGAGGCACAGGCACCTGAGAATGGGGGCTGCGTCAGCACAGACACCCCGTGTGGAGTGAGCGAGGGGCATGAGACTCGGTGCCCCACCCCTGCTGTCTGGTCAGGGCCCACCCGTGGAGACGGGAAAGCCGCTGGAATGCCAGCTCCCTGCCCAGCCGCTGGCTGATGGATGGCGGGCGGCCTCTGAGTGTCCGTCAGCTCTCAGCTTTCGTTTTAATTCTCGTGTTTCCTCTTGGTTTGATTTAAGAGGCAGGACAGGGAGGGACCGTCCAAGAGCCGGTGTCTGTTCTAAATCGGCAGTGGGGCCGTGCGTTCCTCCCTGGAACCCAGGGGTTGCCTAGCAACAGCATCTCAGCAACCAGAAGATGCTGGAGAACGTCGGTGCCATGAACCCGAGTAAACCGAGCGGCTGAGGCCGGCCAGGCGGCTCCCAGGGCCCGGCCTCCGCGGGGAGCTCTTCCACGGCGAGGGCTGGGCTGGGCGGCCCAGCGTCCGGGGCTTTGGTCTTGGGATGCGGACCCTCCCGCCAGCGTGCGGACCCGCCCTCCCCAGCAGCTCAGCCCCAGGCTGGGGACTAGCTGGTTCTGAGCGCGTCCGACAGGGCACCCGCTCCAACGGGGCCTCGCGTAGTGTTTCCTGGGTGGTGTCCGTGCAATCACGTGGCCCGGACCGAGAGGGCAGGTGGGGGGTCCCCGTCCGAGGACGGCAGAGGCGCCTCCCTCCTTGGCGGTGAGGGGGGGCATGGACGCTCCGGTCGGCGTGGCGCTCTGCTCCCCTCCACCCTGCGAAGCCGTCTTTTATCGTGACCGATGCTGCGTGTCCTCAGCCTCTGCGTTTTGTCGTTTCCATTTGCTCCGTGACGGGCGTTGGCAGAAGAGGGTCATGCTGAGCGGAAGTAAGTGCTGGTGCCCTCTGTGTGCTGTGCCTCCTGCTTGTGGCGCCCTCTCTGCTCTGACCACTCGGCCCCGGAGCCTCCGTAAGAATGTGCCCGGAGAGGCGGGAGCTGCACGGGAGCGAGGGCGGTGACACCATCCATCGGCTCAGAGGCCGCGGGCTCTGAGCAGCCGCTGTCGCTCTGAGGGTCACCGCACAGTCACTGTGGGGAGCGCGAGTGTCCCTCCGAGGCGCTGCTCCCCAGCGGGGAGCGGCATGTCCCCCAGGCCGCGGCCGTCAGCAGCCGCACCCCTCCGAGGCAGCGGCTCTGCACGGCCCGGTCTTATCAGCGTCTGAGCTCACCCGTGTCAGCCTTCCCCCTCGGGTATCCCGAGGGAGGACAGGAGGGGAGGCCATTGGGAAGGGCGTCCCACTGCACCCCCACCCCCTCTGAGCTGGGGCCCGGCTGGAACCGGAGTAGGCCTCGTCCTCCCGGGGCCCTTCAGCCCTGAGGGCCCCAAGTAGCGGGAGGGCTCCCCCTGCCAGGCGAGGGCCAGCCCACCGGGGCCTTTCCTGCTCTGAAGGCCTGTCAGCGGGGTGAGCATTGGCCCAGGAAACAGGTCACAGTTTGATTCCGGGTCAGAGGACACGCCTGGTTGCGGGCTTGATCCCCAGCGTAGGGTGGCAGGAGGCAGCTATCACTGGCTCTCATCATGGCTCCCTCTCTCTCTCTCTCTCTCTCTCTCTCTCTCTCTCTCTCTCTCTCTCTCTCTCTCTCCCTTCCTCTCTGAGATCAAAGAAAAATGTAAAAACATGAAGGCCTGGCAGGCAGTGGAGAGTGCCCCCCCTGTTTGCTGTGCTGAGGCCGGCGGGTCCCCTCAGTGGTGCCCGCATCACCACAGTCTCAGAGGGCGGCTGGCCCTCTGTCCCGCATGCTCACCCAGCGAGACACCTGTCCAGTCCCCTGCCTGGGCCGGGGGTGGGGGCTGCCATGTGGTTGGTGTGTCCTCTGACTCGGCCCGGCATGGCAAACCCCGGGCTCCCGGGCTCCTGCCAGTGCGGCTCGGCTCGGTGCTCCGCGTGCCTGGGTGTCTGCCGCCCTCCCGGCCACCTGCTGGCGGCGGGGCCTGGCGGTGACGCGCCCTCTCTCGTTGCCGTTTCAGGAGCCCGGAGGTCATGAGCACCGTCTCAGGGACACGGAGCACGACGGTCACCTTCACCGTCCGCCCCGGGACCTCGCAGCCCATCACCCTGCAGAGCCGGCCCCCCGACTGCGACAGCAGGACCTCAGGAACCAGACGTGCCCCGAGCCCCGTGGTCTCGCCCACGGAGATGAGCAGGGACATCCTGCCCGCCCCGCTCCCCGCCACCGTGGCATCCCCTTCCCCCACCCTCTCCGAGGTCTTCAGCCTCCCGGGCCCGCCCGCGGCCGGGGACCTGTTCGGCCTGAGCCCCGGGGGGCGCAGCCGGTCGCCGTCCCCCTCGGTCCTGCAGCCGCCCCTCTCCGGTAAGCCTTTCACCACGAAGCCCGTGCACCTGTGGACCAAGCCCGACGTGGCCGACTGGCTGGAGAGCCTGAACCTGGGCGAGCACAAGGAGATGTTCCTGGACAACGAGATCGACGGCAGCCACCTGCCCAGCCTGCAGAAGGAGGACCTCATCGACCTGGGCGTGACGCGCGTCGGGCACCGCATGAACATCGAGAGGGCCCTGAAGCAGCTGCTGGACAGATAAGGGCGGCTGCGCGGGCCCCACAGACTCCGTCAGACGCGGAGAGGGCTCCGCGGCGGGCTGGGCTCCTGGCGCCCAAAGCAGCGCGGGCGGCGGGCCCAGCGCCTGCGGGTCTGCTGGGCTGTGTCCACGGGGCACGGAGGGCGTTTTCTAACCAGAGGGCGACGCACAGCCGCGCGGCGGCCCGGCCTGCAGGCCGAGGGGCGACCCGCTCCCCATGTGCCCCATCCCTCCCGCCGGCGGCTCCGTGCTCGCCCGCTCCGCCCTCCTGCGCTTCGCCCGCCGTGCGGGGCCGAGTGGACAGGAGGGGAGAGAAGCCTCCTCGGCCGCCTCCCGCCTCCGAGACGTGGGCCAGGGCTCCTGGGCCGAGGGCCTGGCAGCGGAGTGGACCGGGATCGTGAGCCGTGCTTAGCTTGCTTGTTTTCTTTCTGCAAATCCACTCGCATGATTCCCAAGTGGCCGGACACGTCACGGCGTTAGTCAAAGCACAAAGTCACGATTCCGAGGAGGAGGGGCTTTTCACGGAGAGGGTGTGGCATTCGGCCCGGCAGAGCCTGGGCTCCCACTCTGGCGTGAGGGACGAGAGGCGGTGAATGTCGGCCACATGCTGTTGGCTGCGGCCTGAGCAGGTGGCACGGCGGGCCTCCCTTCTCCCGTGTCCAGGACCCCACCACCTTGTCTTAATGGGACCACAGTGTTTGAGAATCGGGGTGTGGCCGGGCCTGGGGAGACGGTGGGCTGTAGGGGGAGGGTATGAGGCAGGGGTCGCAGGAAGCCCACCGCCTCCCCGGCCAGGCTGTCGTCAGCCCTGCCTCCCCCAGAGCTCCCTCCCCTGTGACCACACCTCTTTTTGCCAAGGGAGGTCACCAGTCAGGCTTCCAGCACATTCTCCCCTTTTGGAAGGAACTGGAATGTCAGGTTTGGGGCTTTTGTTATGATTTCAGAACTAGCCTGGCCCATCTCCAATTACAAAAACACAATTTTCTCTTTCTTTGCGCTCACAACCAGGCGTCTCACTAGGTCTGGATCAGCTATAGGACGAACACGTAACATTTAGCGGTTTAAATTCTTCACTGCGAGTTTAGTTGTACAGATAGTTCATAAGCACAACCTTCTAGGAAAACCACCGCGGCTGCCTCCCGCGCGGCCTCTGTGCTGGCTCCGTGCTCGAGGTCCGAGAGCCACGTCTGTGACTGCTGTGGCCTCGTCACCGGGCGACCTTCTCCACTCCAGCTCCTCCGGACGCATCGGAACCCGCCGGCTGTGCTGCAACTGCGTCATCAAAGGACAATTATTCAGGTGGTTACGGTACTCAGTGCAGCAGTTTCTCAGCACGCTCACACACGTATGCACACACATACACGTGCACACACCCATTTCCAGCCACAGGCACTGAGTGGGAAGCCGGAGTGGACCTCCTGCAGGCCCAGCTCCGCCCCAACCCCAAGTCGGTGGAACGTCAAGGCTCTTTCCGTCCACGCCCTTTCCGTTCCCGTCCAGGACGCGGGTGGCCGGCGAGGCTGGCATGGTTCTGGAAGCCATTCCCGTCGCCCGTCCGTCCGTCAGCTCCCTGCTTTCCTTTGCGTCTGCGGCCCTCTGTGCTCAGTGCCACGGCCAATGCCAGGCCGGGCGGGAGGGGACCGGACGCGGTGGCCGTGGGTCCCGTCGGTGAGAGCTCGCTGTGCACACCCCCCAGAAGCCCGCGGAAGAGGCCGAAGAGCCGAGGGAACCGCTCACTGTCGCCCTCTCGTTCTCGCAGAGTGACAGGACCCGTCGGGACCTGCGCTGACCACAAGGGACCCTTCTTGCCAAAATGAACCCACCTCTCGCTCCGCTCCACTCAGTGACCTTGCTCCAGCAATAGCCCTCGTCCGAGCCGCCCCCTGGCCGCCCGGGCCCGGCGGGGCCAGGCCTGCTCCGCGCGGAACCACGCCCGATGCTCACACAGGACCATGTGGACACTATCCCAGGTTTCAAGATCAACTTTTGTTACATACTGTAATTTAAATAAAGCGCATTTACAAGCCTAGTTTCTGTAATATTGTGTACACAGAACCAAACCTCTCGGATGTAAATTTTGTATCTCCGCCAGCCCCTCCCCGGGGCACCCACACTTCAGTTGATTCACACACCACAGAGGTGACGCGGTGGCTCGGTTTGCCGAACCCTGCATATCACGGTGAGCTATCTGTGGGACTTCCGTCAGAAAACGGTGACTTCCCCCTGAGTTTCTGAGCGAGCAAGCATTGCCCGGGGGGTCCGGCAAGGACATTTCTGTGGGGCCACAAATACTGATCTTTTTTCCCCATTAACCTTTGTTTTCTGTTTTTTAGAGAATCTGTTTCACACCACACTTTGTACACCGTGTCCACACTCTCTGTCGCTGTTACTTTTGTGCTTTAATTCTTTTTAGACTTTATTAAAAACAAAGACAAGCCCCTGTCATTTGCACTTTCTCCTGACCCTTCCATCTCTTGTATGGCAACCAAATTCTGTAAAAATAAATATCCTATTGCACTAGCGTCGTGGTTCTGATTGCAAACAGCGCTGACTGAGGTACACAGAGTGGCCAGGCCAGCAGCCAGCGCAGGCTCCGGGACATCACAGCCACTGGCCTCTGACCAGCTGGAGCTCCTTCAGCCAGTCCGCACGCTCCCACTTCCTGACGGGTTCTCCGTGTGCGGGCGGAACCGTGTCTCGGCTCAGAGCCACGCAGGCGTCGGCGGGCGCCCGTGGCCACTGCTGTCACGGGTGGCAGGCGCCTGCTTCCTCCGTGTTGGAGGGAAGCAGGGGTGTCGGGGACGAGCCAGGCTTGCACCTCCCCCTGGGGCACGAGCCCCCGCACCCACAGCTGTCCTCTTGCTGTCCGGCCAGGTGGCTGGCAGAACGGGAGGCCTCTCCAGTTAGAGCCAAGCCGGCCAGGGCTTGGTAAGCGGCGTGCGGAAGGCTGGGGGCAGAGCTGAGGCTGGAGGACGGGGTCCCTCCCACCTCACCAGGCACCTCCTCCCGGCCTCCCAGTGAAGACCGGTCTTGGGCCCCGTTTCTGCTGCTGGGGCGCCTCCATGTGCGGGGCCCCGCCCCTCTGTGCTCAGTCCGTGCTCCGGCCTGTTGTCAGCCAGCGTCCTCCTGCCTCAGCGCTCCCCCAGGTCACCCCCAGCTTCCCGAGGCCCCCGGCTCGCCTGGGCACAGCACCCAGAGGTCTGGTGAAGAGAAAGGGTTACCGGGGGCTTTTCCTTGTACTTGGAGGCATTTGATAGCCAATGAGCCGGCACGTCGTTCCCATGGCGTCGATATTGTGCACGCCCATGGGGCGAGGCTCCCGCGTGGCGAGGTGACCACCGTGGCCGCTGGACACGGCGCTGCCAGGCTGCGGGGAGTCGGTTGACCTCCGAACTCGCCTCTCGGACTCGGCAGCTCTCCCTCCCGTTGTTACTCCCGCTGTCTCGGTGGTTCTGTCTCGTTGTTGTTCCTGTAACATGTTTCTACACGCCTCAGTCTACCGTTCCATGTTCAGATCCACAGCAGTCACTGTCCACTGCTCCTCCTCGGGATTCTGTGTCAACAGCAGCTCTGAGACTTTAACGTAAGCCTTCGATCAAACGCAGAAACAAACAAACAAAAAACAGGAAAAAAAAAAGTGTGTGCCTTGGGTGTTTGGACCTGCCCTGCATAAAACCATGTTGTACCCAAACGCTGTATGTGCCACGGAGGGGAGCCGTGTCCTCAATGCACCCACGTGGCCGGTGCAGCGGCCACAGTGCCTTCTCTCGGGACTGGGACGCCGCAGCGCCAAGCGGAAAGCCATTCGAGACGTGACGTGTCCGGAGACCTGGACGTGGCTCTGGAGCCGGGCCCAGCCTCAGGCTGTGGGCCACACAGTCACCTGCGTTAAAAAATAAAAAGAACGTTGACATAAGATTGTGTTATCAAGTAGTTTTCCATTAACAGTGTTGCTACTACCCCGCTCTCAGCGCTTCCACTCCGTTAAAACACAGACGTGTGGAGAATTCCCAGTCGGGCTTTCCGACCTCGCTTCCTGGTGCTGTGTCGCCACCCAGTGGTCTTGTGGGCCACGCTGATTGGGGTCAGCTGTGCCGATCCTTTTGCATTTTGCTAAAAATAAAATGTTTGTTTTTAGTGATTGAGGCCACTCATCCCAGAACTATTTCCATTTTTTAAGTTAAAGAAGTGGCAATGCACAGTGTCTCTTCCTGTGAGGAAAAAAAAATCTATGTGGTGTAAGCCCGGCCGGTGTGGCTCGGTGGTTGCATATTGACCTATGACCCAGGAGGTCACCGTTCAATTCCCAGTCGGGGCACATGCCCGGGTTTCGGGCTCCATCCCGGGGTGGGGTGTGCAGGAGGCAGCCGATCTGTGATTCTCATCATTGATGTCACATCTCTCCCTCTCCTTGCCTCTCTGAAATCAATAAAAAGATGTATTTTTGAGGATCTCTCAAGATCATGCAAACTCTGATTAAAAGGTGAATAGATTCACCCACTGTTCCGTCTGGAGGCAAATCGGACCTGCACCACGTCTGTTTCTAAGAACCGGGCAGCCCCCTCCCCTTCACACTCACTCTCAGGGCGAGGACACAGGCCCAGCGAGTGAATGAGGCGGAGCTGCGGTGAGTGTGGACGTGAGATGCTCGGCCCAGCGAGTGAATGAGGCGGAGCTGCGGTGAGTGTGGACGTGAGACGCTCAGCTCCCAAGTTCCCTCAGAGCCCAGGGCAGAGAGAGCAGCGGGCTCCTCGGCCTGGTGCCCAGCTGGGCAGCTAAAAATACCTGGCCCGCCTCTGAGTGCATTTATCAGCGTGCCCACACGGGCTGGCAGGGGCAGGCCTGCGGAGCCCGCAGCCTCAATCCCCAGGCTCGCGGGGGAAGCCCGGCCCCTCCCGCCCTGCGCCGGCCCGCTTTTCCCCGGGGCCCCTGGAGGGCTGGGCGGGGCAGGGAGGCCTTGCGAAGACAGCGGATCCAGCGGCAGCAGCCGAAGGCCACATCTGCCGTGCCCGGCCTCCTCGGCAGACCACTCGCACCCTCACCCAGCTGTCCATGCTTTTCCCTCTTTGCCCACCTCGCTCCAGCCGTGTTCCCGCCTCAGGGCCTCCTCCCTGCCGGCGCCTCCTGCTCTCTGGAATGTTCTCCCCTCTGTCCGCATGGCTTCCAGGACCCCAGGCTCAGAGGAGACTCAGCCCAGCCCCACACCCCTTCGCCCCGCTTTCTGCCGGCGGCACTGACCAGGCCCTCACACTGGCGGGTCGAAGTGCTTACCCACGACCCCCAACCTCAGGAGCTCTGCCCACTGCACGCACCGCTGCTTCCCGGCACAGGCTCCGCGGGCAGAGGCAGCCGCTCCTCCCTGGCCCTGTGCGACCCTCACCACCGGCCGCCTCCCCCACGGCAGCCTCCCCCGCTCTCGGGCTGCGTCCCCAGCTCTTCCCGCACTGCCTGCCCTGCTTGGGTCCCTCCATCAGCCAGGTGCCTCCTCGCCCGGCCGGTGTCCTATTGGCTGGAGCGTCATCTCACACCCTAAAAGGTCATGGGTTTGACCCCGGTGGGGGGTGCAGGGAAGGCCACCAATGGATGTTTCTCTCTCACATCCATGTCCCTCCCTCCCACTCTTTCCAGAAAGTATGTCCTGGGCGAGGAGTCACAGAAAATAAGGAAACACACCAGGCGCCTTGGTCTAGACAGTGGTCCGCAAACTGCGGCTCTTTGGCCCCTTGAGTGTGGCTCTTCCACAAAACATCACGTGGGGGCGCGCACGTACAGTGCGATTGAAACGTCGTGGCCCATGCGCAGAAGTCGGTTTTCGGCTCTCAAAAGAAATGTCAATCGTTGTACTGTGGATATTTGGCTCTGCTGACTAATGAGTTTGCCGACCACTGCCCTAGAGCTACACGCCCCAGGGCCCGCCAGGGGGCGCTGAGAGGATGGGGCTCGCACACGGGGTGCTGTGGTCCTCCCAGAGCTGGGTGTCCAGGTAACGCAGCTTCCGGAACAAGACACCCCGTCTGCCCTCCGTCTGCGTGTGCAACGGTGGCCCGGGTGGGCGAGGCCTTGCCCTGCTCGTGGGCCCCCAGGTGGCCTCTGCCGGGGCTGAGGGGGCAGAACACAGAGCGCCCAGGGGCCTCACGCAGCCTCGGCCCCGCCGCTGCCCACGGACCACTCAGCCCACGCCGAGGCCGCCTCCTCGGGGGACCCCGTGCCAACCCCTGCTGCGGGGCAACCCCGAGGACGCACAGAGGACACTGGGCCCGCCCGTCATGTGCCCTCATGGACCAATCGAGACTGGCCATGGGCGCTGGTCACGTGTAGCAAATAGCTCAATCACAAGTGGCATAGGCAGCCATTGGTCATGTGACCTATGAGGACCAATCAGGACTGGCAAAGGAATGCCCATCCATGATTGGCCCAGAGGGGTGGCTTTTGGCCAATCCCCGGGGCCAGGAGGCGGGACATAGGCCAACACCTGAACCCGTGGCCCCGGTGCTGCGGTTTCGGGGCCGGAGGTGGAGGCAGGAGAGGCCGCCCCGCCCCGCCCCCTGCGGTCCCATCGCGGTCCCGGCGGCCACGGGAGGGGGCCCATGAGCCCGGGCCCCCGACCCCTGTCCCCACGCCCATCCAGGGTCCCGGCAGGGCCGGCAGCGGCGCCGCTTCGCCCCGGGGCGCGTGTGGAGCTCCTGCGGCGGCTGTGCGGTCTCAGCCCGCGGCCAGGCCGCTCACACCGAGCACCAGCCCCCGGGCCTGCCGCGGCCACATCTGCCGGGCCCGCGCCCCTTCCTCCCGCCGCCTCTCCGTCCGGTCCTCCCCCTGCTGACGCCCGTGCAGCAGGGCCGGTCTGTCCCACCTCCCTGCCCCAGCATCGCCTCGCGTGGGCTCTGAGGCCGGACTTCGGGGCGGCCTCCGCCTGGGGCGCCTGGTCCTCGCGGAATGCCTCCAGGGCACTGTGTTGGGGGTCAGGGCCGCATCCCTCCCGGCTCCGCGGTGCTCAGTGGCGGAGCCCTGGGCTGGCGCCCCCAGCCGGCTGCGGGGGCAGTGCCGCCGCAGCCCTGTTCTCCGGCCGGGCCCGGAGGCACTGCGGTCACAGGCAGCGCTGCGGGCCTTGCGGGGCCGCTCCGAGCTGGGCCGGCTCCGTGCGGACGGGAAAGGCTTCCAGTAAGACTGCGTGGGAAACAGCGGGCGCAGCCCGGCCGCAGGCTCAGGGGGTGAGCGTTGACCTAGGAACCAGGAGGTCAGGGTCTGATTCCCGGTCAGGCCACGGGCCCGGGTTGGCGGCTTGATCCCCAGTGGGAGGCGTGCAGGAGGCAGCTGATCAGTGATTCTCTCATCCTTGATGTTTCTCTCTCTCTCCGCTTCCTTCCTCTCTGAAATCAGCAATGAAAGATCGATTTAAATTAAGGAATAACAAACGTGGGGTCCAGGCACAGGAAACAGCCACATCCCAGCGCAGGGACGTGTTCGCTGCTGCACTCCGACCCCGGAAGCAGTCCCTTTAAATCAGAGTGTAGCCTGGCCTGGGCTCCGCGGTTAGAGCCGCCCTGAGCGCCGAGGGGTCAAAGGTTGGATGCCTGGTCCCTGCTGGGGTACATGCAAGACGCAACCAATCCATGTCTCTCTCACATTGATGTCTCTCTCTCTCTCCTTCCCTCCCTCCCTTCCACTCTAAAAACCAACAGGGATCCTCAGGTGAGGCTTAACAACACGTGTATTTGAAACGTTAAATTGTATTATTCATTGATATCGTGTTTGGCTACAATAACACCCCACCACTGGCGGGCGCCTAGACAGAGGGCGCTTTCACGGCCACAGCGTGCGCTCCCGGAGGCACCAGAACAGCACGTGCTGCAGGAGTGGGGGAGACAGGGCCTGACAGCTCCCAGGGTCCAGCTCACATCCCACCCCCTCCCCAGGCAGGAAGGAGAGGGGACCATGTCGGCCGTGCCTCCCCCTTCGTCAGAGAAGCCAGCACTTCCCCAGGGATGTCTACCAAGGTCATGGGCCACAGCAGTGTCTGTGAGCACCCCTCGCCCCAGCATTGGCGGCCTTGGGAAAGGCGGGCGGTGAGCTGGGCACGTGCTGCCAGGAGCAGAGCTGGGCTGTGAGGCAGAGGGGACGGGGGCTGTGAGGCAGAGGGGCTGGGGGCTGGGGAGGCAGAGGGGCTGGGGCCGGGGGCATGGGGGCTGGGGAGGCAGAGGGACAGGGGCTGAGGAGGCAGAGGGGACGGGGGCTGGGGAGGCAGAGGGACTGGGGCTGTGAGGCAGAGGGGCTGGGGGCTGGGGAGTCAGAGGGGACAGGGGCTGAGGAGGCAGAGGGGTTGGGGGCTGGGGAGGAAGAGGGAAGGGGGCTGGGGAGGCAGAGGGGACGGGGGCTGGGGGCAGGGAGGGTGGAGGGGGTGTCACCAGTGTCCAGCTGTGTCCTTGCTGCTCAGTTCAAGGCGCAGGCCCTTCAGTGCTGCGTGACCCTCCACTCTCACCCCGACCCTGGCACAGCCTGCCCCCAGCCCAGGCGACCACTGTCCACTTCCTGTGTCATGTGCTGTTCTGGCCGTTCATGTCAGCGAACCCTCCGCGAGGCCTTGGGCCTGGGCTGTTTCACTCGCCGAATGCTCCCAGGGCATCGTGTTGCGGAGTCAGGGCCGCATCCCTCCCACGGCTCCGCAGTGCTCACGTGATGGAGCCTGGGCTGGCGCCCCCTGCTGGTTGCCATGAGCAGTGCTGCTGTGCGCACCACAGCCGTTCTCCGGCCCGGCCACAGGGGAGCTCTGCTGACCAGCAGCAGGTGAGGCCCTGCGGAGCCCAGGAGGCGCCGTCCCCGGCGCCGCACCTCCGGGGGCTGGCTGAGGGGGAACTGCGGCCAGGCCTTCCTCATGCGCTCCCCGTGCCCAAAGGAGAGGAACCCCATTGCCTGGGCCGCCCGGAGCGGACAGCGCGGTCACTGCCCGGAGCTGGGAAGTGGACGGTGCGCCCACCCCAAGCGGAACTTGGGCCAAAAGTGCCAAAGCGAATCAGCAGCAAGTGGATCAAAAAAAGTTTATTCTGAATATTTAATTTAAAAATTCATACCTATGAGGTGAGCTACAGGAATTCAGACACAACTGCATGGAGACCACCGGGCGGCGGAGCGGGAGCTGGGGAAGCCGGAGGGGCGCCGCGGGCCCCGCCCACCCGGAGGGCCTGGTCCGCGCTCGCGCCTCCCGTCCCACTGCCGCCCAGGCCGGGCTTTGGCAAACAGCTCGCCGCCTCCCGGGGGCGCTCCTGCGCCGCAGCCCCGGGCCCGTGCCGCCAGCCAGGGCAGCGTCCAGGCCTGGCCGTCCCGTGGCCGCGCTGGCCGGAGGGCAGTCTAAGGGGCGTGAGGCGGCGGGACGAGGGCGGGGCGGGGCGGAGACGGCAAAGGCGCCGTCGCTAACCTGCCCTGTGGGACTTCACACACGCGTGTGAGGCGTCTGCACCGGAGCTGAAGCTCCCGGGCTTTCCAAGCTCCCTCCATCGGGGTGTCCTGGGCCCATCCCTCCGGGCCCGGCTCCTGCCTGACCCCAGGGCGTCGTCGAGCAGCGCAGACAGACAGGTTCCGTTCGCGCTGGGGTCTCCGGTGACCGCGGGGCGAGGCCAGCGCGCACTCAGAGGGACTAAGGTCCCACGTGGCTCCACGTGGCAGCCATTTGGCAAAAGAAAACACCTCAGATGCATAAAACCACCCCGTCCTCCCAGGAACATGATTACAATATATTAGCAGATTCTGTGGCGTAAACATTTCAAAGCGTCGGCGGAAACATTAAATATAAAAGCGGCGTGGAGCCCCCTCCCGCCCGGACCCGAGAGAGGGGCGCGGGCGGCGGCGCCTACTGCCGCAGCTCCACGTAGTTGGCCGGGAAGAGCCCGTACCGGCCCTTGCACAGCCCGCGCCACCAGCCGTCGTCGATCATCTCGATGTTGGTGATGATGTCGTCGGGGTCGAACGAGATCTCGTCATCGCCCGCTGGGGAGAGGACAGAGGCAGTGAGTCTCAGGGAGGAGGCTGCCATGGAGGAGGCTGCCAGTGTGTGTGTCTCCCCCCCCCCCCCGCCCCGGGGGCTGGGGTCATGAGGGGACAGGGGCACCCAGGCAACTGTAGCTTCAGACCCCGATTTGGGGAAACTGAAGGGTGTGTGTGTGTGTGTGTGTGTGCACGTGTGTGCATGTGCATGCGTGCATGTGTGTATGGGAAAACTGAAGGGTGTGTGTGTGTACGCACATGTGTGCATGTCTGCATGCATGTGAGTTCACACGGAGAGGTAGGATCTCTGTAACAAGTCATGTGAGAGTGGCTGGCTTTTAATGACTGATAAAGCCCCAAAGCGGGCCCCTGGGAGGCGGGGTGGGGGCGGGAGGCGGGGGCAGGAGGTGGGGCCGGGTGGGAGGCGGGCCGAGGCCGTCCTCACCGGCCTGGTAGTCGTAGAGGGCGATGGCCGTGATGCCCAGGTCATTCTCGTACTCGTCATAGGTGTTCTCCTCTGGGAGAGAGCGGAGCGGAGTGAGCGGGGAGCGCAGAAGCCTCCCCTCCCCCCTCCCCTCCCCCCTCCCCCTCCTCTCCTCCCCTCCCCCCTTCCCCTCCTCTCCTCCCCTCCCTTCCCCTCTCCTCTGCCCTCCCCTCCCCCCTCCCCTGCCCTCCCCTCCCCTCCTCCCCTCCCCCCTCCCCTCCCCTCCCCTCCCCAAGCAGCCATACCTCCCGCGTAGTGGCCCGGGGCCTCAGTGGAGGTGTAGGCGGCCTCCGGGGCGTAGGCCAGGCCCTGCTGGCCGCCGGCCTCCCTGCTGTACACGGGCTCAGGCTCGCTCACGGGGCCTCGGTAGCCGGGCTCGGCCTTCATGGAAATGGCGTCCTAGGGAGCCAATGAGACGTCTCTCTCACCGACTGGGTCCCCGACTGACTTCTCAGTCCAGCGCTGAGGGCAGGCGGGGCCTGAGGGGCAGCTGGGCCGCCATCATAGCAGTGCTGAGGGCCGGTGACCCACACCCAGCACCCACCCCACCCAGCCCCCACCCCACACCCCGCCCTGCGGCTGAGCACGGCCTGTCGGAGCCGGTACTGCATCGCGGCCGGGCAGGCCCGGGCAGGGGGCCGCTCCTGGGCCACCCAATTGGCTGTGGGGAGCCAGGGAGGGACGGTGAGCGGGGTCCAGGCCGCGTCACAGCACCATGGCCGGGCCCTCGGAGCCCCTGAACTCCACGCTGTGGTCAGCGATCTGACCAGGGTCCCCGAGGACACCGTGCGGTCAGAGGGGCATGGGGAGCCGGGGAGAGCCGGGCCGGCCCGGCTGTGGAAGGAAGGTGACCAGTGTGGCTCGGACCCGTGAGCCCGAGGCGGCGGAAAGAGGGCGCCACTCAAGGGCTCAGGTTCCAGTGCTGGGGCACACTCCCCGATGGGGAGCACGCCGGGGGCGAGCGACCGGCTCACGGAAAGGGCCCCGTGTGAGGGGCCCCGTCCCGGCCCTCGGGGCTCCCAATCCAGCGCTGGTCCCGTGCCTCTAGGCCGGCTGAGTGACGGGCGGAGACAGGAGCGCACTCGGACAGCGGCCTCGGGGACAGAGGAGGGGGTTCGGGTGTGACTGGCGGGGAGCTGGGGGCCCCCTGCGGGGAGGGGAGGCAGCCGGTTGTCCCCAGCAACCAGGGCACGGCCTTGGGTCACAAGGACCGAGCTGGGCAGGCTGGGCCTGGGGTCAGGTCATCTGCGGGAGGGACACCAACCTCGTAGACGGGGCTGGAGGGCGGCCTCTCAGGAGCCGGCTGGGGGGCGGGGGAGGCTGGCGGGCTCTGCTTCTGGGCGCGGGCTTGCTCCTGCAACCGAGGGGCGTGTCAGAGCGCCTGGTCCCGAGGTCACACAGAGCCAGACACAGACACACACACACACACACACACACACACACACACCCGGGAAGAGCAGGCTTAGGAGAGGCTGCCTCGCAGGGAGGCACCGAGTCACCAGCCCTCGGCCGCCACCACGGGAGCCTGTGTCACTGCGGTCAGGCAGGGACCGCCCACACGGCCCGGACTCAGACGTGGGTGCTGGGCTCCGGCTGACGCGGCAATGCCGTAAGAACTGAGACTCTCAGGGGCTTTAGAACGGGGTGGATGGCCTTGGCAGGTGTGCTCAGTAGTTAGAGCTCAGCCCATGCACCAAAAGGTTGCTGGCTTGACCAGGTCAAGGGCATGTACCAGGGTTGCAGGCTTGATTCCTGGCCCTTGTCAGGGTGCAGTCTGAGTGCGGGAGGCAGCCACTCGATATGTCTCTCTCACATTGATGTTTCTCTCCCCCCGCTCCCTCCCGTTCTCTCTGAAAAGCAATGGGGAAAACATCCTCAAGCGAGGATTAAAAAAGAATTTAGGTGGGTGAACGTATTTTCCACGTAACGGGACTGTGGAGGACAGAGGAACAGCCCCAGAGATGCTGACGTCCAACCCCATATCCTATGACCGCCAGGTCGCACGACAAAAGGGACAGCAGCCAGCGGGGGAGGTTCGGTCAGGCCGAGCCTGTCACCAGGGAGGACGCTCAGCGGGGACAGTGGGAGCCGCAGAGGAAGAGGGGCAGGAGCAGCCCGCGGGCCTCACTCACGTCCAGCTGCCTGCGCGCCGCCTCCTGCTCCTGCCGCTCCTGCGCCATCCTCTGCGCCCGCTCGGCCTCCGCCCGCCTCCGGCCCTCCTGGTCCTGCTCCTTGGCCAGGTTCTCGAAGTTGGCTCTGAGGTTGCTCGTCTTGCTGTTGGCTACAGAGGACAGGGACCGAGGTTCCCCCCGACGTTAGACACGGCCATCGCCCGATGGACAACGTCCGGCGCAGGGACGTCCCACGGGAACCAGGCGGCCTGAGCCGACCACAGAGGGGCCCAGCCCGCCGTCACGGCAGCCCGTCCCGACACCAGGAGCTTAAGTTCCCAGGCCACCGCGTTCTAACCACACCGAGAGCGAAGCCCAGTCCGAGGGGTGCCCTTGAGAGTGTGGGGAGGGGCGGGGGGTGGAGGGCGCACCGACTCATGGGGAGGGAGCTGGGGCGTTTGGAGGAGACACGTGCGACTCTGAGCTGCGTGAGGGCGCACCGACAGCTTGTGCGGGACAGACATGTCCTACACACACACACACACACACACACACACACGCACACACGCGTGCACACACACACACACACACACACACACGGCCTCTCAAGAAAAGCAGCCGAGGGATTGCCTTGGACAGGACACCCACGCACCGGCTCCCAGGAGCTGCCGGCAGCGATCCGGCAGTGGGCCGCCGAGTGCCGTCACCGTGGAGGGAGCTCGGCACTCGGAAGGTCCGCCTCTCAGCCGGGGCCGCCTCGGGGCACCACGAGGGCCCGCTGCGCAGGGGCCCTGGAGGCTCGGGGTCACGGCCCTTCCCCGGCTCATCGGGGAGCCCAGAGCCGCCTCCCGAGCAGCGGCTCACGCAGGCGCGGCTGCAGGAAGCCCGCTGCCTCCGGCTGAGGTCTGCAGGCCGCCCAGCCCGCCACCGCCCGCATCGCCTGTTTGCGGTTAATTCTGCGTAAAGAGGTCACTAAGATGTAACGGCTTTGCCTGGATGGTGCGGCTCAGAGGTTGACCCAAGAGCCAGGAGGTCAGGGTTCAATTCCTGGTCAGGGCACAGGCCTGGGTGGTGGGCACGGTGCCCAGTAGGGGGCATGCAGGAGGCAGACCATCGTTCGTCATCACTCATGATTCTCTCCCGCTCCTTCTTCTTTAATAAATGTTTGTTTTAAACCCACATAATTACTGTGTGGTAGTTTTGTCGATTTTAAGCGAGTTAACAAAACGTTAAATTCTCACCCAGCAGAGCCCGGGACGTGCGCAGACGCTCTGGGCCTGAGAGACCCCTACTGCCCGGAGCTGAGCCGCCCGAGAACGAGCACGCCGGCTGGGCGCCACAGCCAGCAGCGGCCTCTGCCGCGGGCGTAACCACCACCTCCTGTCAGTCACCCTCTTCCCAGCTGAACTGTGCCCTTCGGGGCGCAGCCTGGCACTGCCCCGCCCGCAGACCCCGGGCGGCCTGCACGCGCGGACAGACCCTGCGCGCCCGGCCCCGGCCCTCGCAGGAGGTCCCGCTCCTGGCGGCACCGCCCATGGCTCGCGGCTCAGCTGGCCAGCGGGGCTGCGGGACGGGATCCCCGCCCTGAACCTGGCCCGGCTGTGAGGAGGCCCCTGCGGACCAGTCACCCAGCTCCGCTTGGGATAGAGCCCCAGCCCGGAGCTGTGTGTGTGTGTGTGTGTGTGTGTGTGTGCCCGGGAGGTGTGTGTGTGTGTGTGTGTGTGTCCGGGAGGGGTGTGTGTGTGTGTGTGCCCGGGAGGTGTGTGTGTGTGTGTGTGTGTGTGTGTGTCCGGGAGCTGTGTGTGTGTGTGTGTGTGTGTGTGTGTGTGCCCGGGAGCTGTGTGTGTGTGTGTGTGTGTGTGTGCCCGGGAGCTGTGTGTGTGTGTGTGTGTGTGTGTGCCCGGGAGCTGTGTGTGTGTGTGTGTGTGTGTGCCCGGGAGCTGTGTGTGTGTGTGTGTGTGCCCGGGAGCTGTGTGTGTGCCCGGGAGGGGTGTGTGTGTGTGTGTGTGTGTGTGCCCGGGAGCTGTGTGTGTGTGTGTGTGTGTGTGTGCCCAGGAGCTGTGTGTGTGTGTGTGTGTGTGTCCGGGAGGGGTGTGTGTGCCCGGGAGCTGTGTGTGTGTGTGTGTGTGTGTCCGGGAGGAGTGTGTGTGTGTGTGTGTGCCCGGGAGCTGTGTGTGTGCCCGGGAGCTGTGTGTGTGTGTGTGTGCCCGGGAGCTGTGTGTGTGTGTGCCCGGGAGCTGTGTGTGTGTGTGTGCCTGGAAGGTGTTTGTGTGTGTGTGTGTGTGTGTGCCCGGGAGCTGTGTGTGTGCCCGGGAGGTGTGTGTGTGCCCGGGAGCTGTGTGTGTGCCTGGGAGCTGTGTGTGTGCCCGGGAGCTGTGTGTGTGTGTGTGCGCCCGGGAGCTGTGTGTGCGCCCGGGAGCTGTGTGTGTGTGTGTGTGCCCGGGAGCTGTGTGTGCGCCCGGGAGGTGTGTGTGTGTGTGTGCGCCCGGGAGCTGTGTGTGCGCCCGGGAGCTGTGTGTGTGTGTGTGTGCCCGGGAGCTGTGTGTGTGTGTGCCCGGGAGCTGTGTGTGTGTGTGTGCCTGGAAGGTGTTTGTGTGTGTGTGTGTGTGTGTGTGTGCCCGGGAGCTGTGTGTGTGCCCGGGAGCTGTGTGTGTGTGTGTGTGCCCGGGAGCTGTGTGTGCGCCCGGGAGGTGTCTGTGTGTGTATGTGTGCCCGGGAGCTGTGTGTGTGCCCGGGAGCTGTGTGTGTGTGTGTGTGCCCGGGAGCTGTGTGTGCGCCCGGGAGCTGTGTGTGCGCCCGGGAGCTGTGTGTGTGTGTGTGTGCCCGGGAGCTGTGTGTGCGCCCGGGAGGTGTCTGTGTGTGTATGTGTGCCCGGGAGCTGTGTGTGTGCCCGGGAGCTGTGTGTGTGTGTGTGTGTGCCCGGGAGCTGTGTGTGTGTGTGTGTGCCGGGAGGTGTGTGTGTGCCCGGGAGGTGTCTGTGTGTGTATGTGTGCCCGGAAGGTGTGTGTGTGCGCCCGGGAGCTGTGTGTGCGCCCGGGAGCTGTGTGTGTGTGTGTGTGCCCGGGAGCTGTGTGTGCGCCCGGGAGGTGTCTGTGTGTGTATGTGTGCCCGGGAGCTGTGTGTGTGCCCGGGAGCTGTGTGTGTGTGTGTGTGTGCCCGGGAGCTGTGTGTGTGTGTGTGTGCCGGGAGGTGTGTGTGTGCCCGGGAGGTGTCTGTGTGTGTATGTGTGCCCGGAAGGTGTGTGTGTGTGCCCGGGAGCTGTGTGTGTGTGTGTGTGCCGGGAGCTGTGTGTGTGCCCGGGAGGTGTCTGTGTGTGTGTGTGCCCGGGAGCTGTGTGTGTGTGTGTGTGCCCGGGAGCTGTGTGTGCGCCCGGGAGGTGCCCAGCTGCCGGCCGCCAGAGGGACTCACACCCCGGAGGCCCCTGCAGCCCCAGCCGCCGCGGCCGGCCCACCTGCTTCCACAGGAACCGTCTTCTGGTAGGTGGACGGCACCTTGGCGACGTCCTCGAAGGTGGAGGCGTTCTACAGCAGGAACAGAGGTCAGAGGGCAGTTTCCCACCCGGGAGGTGCCCGCCCTGCGCCCGCCCCACAGCCGCGAGCCCACAGGCTTCGGGTCCCGGGTGCAGATCCCCCAATTCCCGAAGGCGCGGGAGGCCTTCCAAGACCCACGTGCAGGGCCCTCCCCACGGCAGGCTCCCGGGCGCCACCCGCCTGGCTGCAGCCTCACCTCCACAGAGGCTCCCTGCCCCCCTGCTCCCCCGGGGCCCGGCCGGCCTCCCCACCCCACTCTAGCCCACGCTCCCCTCCCAGGCCGCCTCCCGTGGCCCCACGTCACCAGCGGCTCCGACCGAAAACCACCTTTTTCTGGGCCAGGACCCCCGCCCCCCCCACTCAGCTAGGAACCCCCTCACACCTCCGGACCCCCGTCAGCCGCCTCCCAGCAGGTGCCCCCGGAAACGCACGCCCCGTGGGAATCCCGCCCTCGCTGGGCGGGAGACTCACCTTGTCCATGCGGTCCTTCTGCACCCCGTACTTCCCGCCGAACCCCACGGAGTAGTCTGGAAGGGCACACGGGTCAGGGGCCCCGAGAAGCCCGAGTGCGCCCCACGGGGAGGACAGGAGCACCGAGGCGGGAGGCGGGAGACATCGCTCAGCGCTGGGCGCCCACCATGGGCTCTGGGGCTGCAGCACCCGCAGGCGGAGCCCGCACCCCGATGGCTGCCAGGCCGCTGGCCGCCGCGGTGTCTCCTCCCAGGAGCCCAGACGCCCCGCCCCGAGGCCCCGACACCCCGGCGCCAGGGGCGGGCCTCACCAGGCTCCCCCCGGGTTCGGGGTCTCCTAATGGGCCCCACAGGGCAGTCCTGCTCTGGGACCGACACCCCGGGCCCGGGTGCCTGGGAACCAGCCTGACCCACGGCCTCAGCCACGGGGGGGGGGGGGGACGGGGAGGCACCGGGGTCGGAGCCGCAGCCCGAGGCCGGGAAGAGAGCCGGCCGGCAGCCTCGGGGCTCAGCCTGGGCGGCGCTGTGGGCGGCGCGGCCACCGCTCCCGCTCCCGGGCTTCCTACCCCCGTCCCCGCGCTGCGGAGCCGGGGACACGGCGCGCACACAGGGCCCGGCCCACGCCCGCCGCGGCCCGCACTGCTCCCGGGACGGGCTGGCCCTGCACGAACTGCGGGCGCCGGGCGCCGCGGAACCGGCTGCCCCCGAGGGCTCCACCCAGCGCCGCACCCGCCGGGGCCGGGGCCGGGGCCGGGGCCACGCACAGCGGCCGGAGACCCCTCAACAGCGGGCGGCGGGCGGCGGAGGCCAGCCCCGAAAGGCGAGAGGACGCCACAGCTGCCGCTCGGCACGCTCGGCACGGCACGCTCGGCACGCACACGTACCTTTCTGGGAGTCGTGCAGCTCGGGCTTCTCCTGGTGGTCCCAGCCCAGCGCGCACTTGTCCTGCCGGTCGGTCTGCACCCCGAACTTGCCCCCGAAGCCTCGCGCGTAGTCTGCGTGGACAGCGCGGTGTGACTGCGGGAGCGAGGGCGCCCAGCCGGCGCAGAGAACGCCAACCCCGCCGGGCCACCCCCAGGTCTCCCGCCACCGGGGCCCCTGGGAGGGGCCGCTGGGGCCCCTGGGAGGAGCCGCTGGGGCCCCTGGGAGGAGCCGCTGGGGCCCCGGGAAGCAGCCAATGGGGCCCCTGGGAGGGGCCGCTGGGGCCCCGGGAAGCAGCCCGACCGGCGTGCGCGGCCTGAGGGCTGCCTGGACCCACAGGAGCGGCGCCCACTCCAGGGAGGGGCTGGGCAGGCTCCGCTCGGCTGGGCCGCTGCGGGGACAGGCAGGAAGGGCAGGCGGGCGGGCGGGCGAGCGGGCGGGCACCTCTCTGGGACTCGTGCTTCTCCGTCTTGCCCTGGTACTCGAAGCCCACGGCGCTCTTGTCCACCTTGTCCTTGTCGATGCCGTACTTGCCGCCGAAGCCTCTGGAGTAATCTGAGGACAGGGACACGGTGAGCACGGCTCCCCGGACAGCGGGAGACCTCCAGCCGCTGGGCACAGAGGCAGCGGAGGGCGGAAGGGCCCTGAGGTTCCCCCACGTGGCCTGTGCGCCCCAGGCCCCTGGCCACATGGACCTATGAACCAGGAAGTCCCAGTTCGAGTCCCTGTCAGGGCACATGCTCGGTTGCAGGCTCAATCCCTAGTGTCGGGTGTGCAGGAGGCAGCCAATCAATGAATCTCTCATCATTGATTTTTCTCTCTCCCTCTCCCTTCCTCTCCGAAATCAATAAAAACACATTTAATGTATATATTTAAAGTAAACATTTTAATTGGAAATAGCCTCGATCCTATACTCAAAGAGGACACGTTAAACAGATACGGGATTGTCACACAATGGACGGCTGAGCCGTTGTGAAGGCAGCGAACCTGCTACGCCGGCCGGGACAGCAAAGAGCTGGCAGCACTCTGCCAAGGCTCAGGGCGACTCCGGTGGAGGAGGACGGGGACAGGCCGCGGGGGGAGGGCCGGGCCGTGGGCACGGCGGTGGAGGTGGACGGGGACAGGGGCCGGGCCGTGGGCACAGTGATGGAGGAGGACGGGACAGGGGCCGGGCCGTGGGCACGGCGGTGGAGGTGGACGGGGACAGGCCGCGGGGGGAGGGCCGGGCCGTGGGCACAGCGGCGGAGGAGGACGGGGACAGGGGCCGGGCCGTGGGCACAGTGATGGAGGAGGACGGGACAGGGGCCGGGCCGTGGGCACAGCGGCAGAGGAGGACGGGGACAGGGGCCGGGCCGTGGGCACAGCGGTGAAGGAGGACGGGGACAGGGGCCGGGCCGTGGGCACAGCGGTGGAGGAGGACGGGGACAGGGGCCAGGCCGTGGGCACAGCGGTGAAGGAGGACGGGGACAGGGGCCAGGCCGTGGGCACAGCGGTGAAGGAGGACGGGGACAGGGGCCGGGCCGTGGGCACAGCGGTGGAGGTGGACGGGGACAGGGGCCGGGCCGTGGGCACAGCGGTGGAGGAGGACGGGGACAGGCCGCGGGGGGAGGGCCGGGCCGTGGGCACAGCGGCGGAGGAGGACGGGGACAGGGGCCGGGCCGTGGGCACAGCGGTGGAGGAGGACGGGGACAGGGGCCGGGCCGTGGGCACAGCGGTGGAGGAGGACGGGGACAGGCGTGACGCACCTCTCTGGGACTCATGCTTCTCCGTCCTGCCCTGGTAGTCGAAGCCCACGGCGCTCCTGTCCACGCGGTCAGCCTGCACGCCGTACTTGCCGCCGAAGCCGCTCGAGTAGTCTGGGGGGACAGGAGCCGATGACAGGACACTGTCCCTGGGGCTAAGCTGAGTCGGGGTTCGAGTTACCGAGCGGCTGAGCACACATTTTAACGGGCACAAGAGGCCGCCCGGTGTTACACGCGACACCGGACGCCAGGTGGCCAGGTCCCTCGGCCAGAAGCCGCCAAGGCCCGGGGGAACGTCAGCGTGTGCAGAGGCCCTTCCAGAAGCAGCCCCCCACCCACAGCGCACGCCGGCTGCACTGCCAAGCCCATACCCTCAGCGCCAGGCCGAGTGCCGGGAGGAAGCGACACCCTGGGGCTCCAGCACGGGCTCTGGGCCTGGCCAGTGCTGCGTGGGTGCGAGGGCCGGCCCGCACACCTAAGGCCTCGGGCTTGATTCCTGGTCCAGGGCACGCACCTGCTTGCGGCTTCCAGCCCGGCCGGGTGGGGTGTGTGGGAGGGGCCAGTGAGGTCTCTCGGCATGTTCCCTCCCCTCTCCCTCTCCCTCTCTAAAAACCAGGGGAAATAGCCTCAGGTGAGGATTAAGCAAAATGAAAGTTAAAAGTAACAAAAATAAAGGCTCTGAGTGAGCCTGACGGAGGAGTGGAGCCCCCACCGGTGGCAGGAGCAGGAGGTGCAGTGGCGTCAGGATGGACGGGGCGGCACCGCCCAGAGCCCGCAGGCGTCAGAGGGCTCCGGCCCCACAGGAGGGCCCGGAGGCCGCCAGCCCCGGCTTACCTTTCTGGGAGGCGTGCTTCTCCGTCTTGCCCTGGTATTCAAAGCCCACAGCCGACTGCGGGGCGAGGAGGGAAACGCGTTTTAAACATCTCCAAACAGCCACAGTACGTACTCGACGCTTAATCGCACAAGCCACGGTGTTCGAACGGGATTCCCTGAGCCAGCGGCAGGCCGAATGCCAGAAGCTGTGCCTGAACCGGCATCCCACACAGCGCTGCCCGGCCCGCGGCTGCCCGACCTGCGGCTGCCCGCTGCCCGGCCTGCCCGCTGCCCGGCCTGCCCGCTGCCGGGCCTGCCCGCTGCCCGGCCTGCCCGCTGCCCGGCCTGCCCGCTGCCCGGCCTGCTCGCTGCCCAGCCTGCCCGCTGCCCGGCCGCTGCGCTCGCGGCTCCACACCCTCCACCCTCAGGAGAGGCCCCGCCAGACTCGCTTCTCGGGAGCTGTGCCCAGAGCAGTGTCAGCACTGAGCCCGGGCACGGGCGCCCCTCGCACAGCCAGGAGACAGGGACTAGCTCCCATCCCCACCCACCACCCGTACTGGGTGACAGGCCGCCCTCCCGCTCCAAACCCAGGCTCTCGAGCGCTGGGAGGTCCAGACGGCGGTCGGAGCCCCACGTCCCACCCGAGCACGGCGCCCCCCGCAGGGAGGGGCAGAAACGGCCCCACGGGCACATTCCCGGGCAGACCTAAGGGCCCGGAGCCCCTGGGGGGGGGGCAGACGCAATGCCGGGTTTCTGCACCGAGGACGCCGAGCTGCCCCGCCCCCTCAGACCAGCGGGAGCCCCTCAGTTCACCGCACAGGCCCCGGCACCACGGCGGGCGGCGGGCAGACCCGCCCCGACACCACTCACCTGGTCAACCCGGTCCACCTGGACGCCGAACTTGCCCCCGAACCCGCGGACGGAGTCCACCTGCGAGCAGTGCTTGGAGAGCTTCGCCTGGTACTCGTGGCCGACGGCCGACTGCGGAGGAGAGCAGCTCAGCCCTGCGTGGCCGCCCGGCCTGTTCTAGTGGGGCCTTCCCGTTCTACCCAGCACCCTCCCCCGCCCGTTCTACCCGGCACCCTCCCCCGTTCTATTCTACATGGCACCCTCCCCCGTTCTATTCTACATGGCACCCTCCCCCGCCCCGTTCTACCCGGCACCCTCCCCCGCCCGTTCTACCCGGCACCCTCCCCCGCCCGTTCTACCCGGCACCCTCCCCCGCCCCCTTCTACATGGCACCCTCCCCCCACCCGTTCTACATGGCACCCTCCCCCGCCCCTTTCTACATGGCACCCTCCCCCGACCCGTTCTAGGTGGGGCCCACCCCGTTCTACATGGCACCCTCCCCCGCCCCGTTCTACATGGCACCCTCCCCCCGCCCCGTTCTACATGGCACCCTCCCCCCACCCCGTTCTAGGTGGGGCCCTCCCCGTTCTACATGGCACCCTCCCCCCACCCCGTTCTAGGTGGGGCCCTCCCCGTTCTACATGGCACCCTCCCCCCACCCCGTTCTAGGTGGGGCCCACCCCGTTCTACATGGCACCCTCCCCCGCCCCGTTCTAGGTGGGGCCCCACCCCTTTCTATGTGGCACCCCCGGGCCCCGTTCTGGGTGGGGCGCCCGCTGGCGTGGGGTTCCTCGCTGGAACACCCTGCCGGAGGCCAGGGCAGGGCGTGCGGGCCCGGGGCCTGGGACGGCGGAGGCGTGGTCCGGCCTGTGCACAGGGCGCTCCGGGCTGAGGAGCCTCCTCCACGCTCCCCTCTCACTCGGCCCCAGAGGGGTTTACTGTCCGGCTCTGGGGCTGATTTGTGAACACACAGACTGCCCCCTTTCCCGGGCTGGGCACCGAGACGCCCGGAGTGGCAGGCGCCCGCCCCACGGCCCTGTCTCTTTCCTGCACCCGGGCTAACTCCGGACGTGGTTTGGGCCACAGCCGTATCTGCTCTGCGGTGACAGCGCGCAGTGACAGCTGGTGCGGAACCAGAGCCGGGCAGGGGACAGGCGTGGAATTACAGAGCAGAACCCGACACCGCCAGCCTCCTCAGGGACAGGCACCCTCGGTCAGCGCGGCTCACGCTGCCCAGGCCGGCCACCTCCACCGGGACCAGCAAACCGGAAAGAGCTGCCGACGGGGAATCCCAACAGCCCAGTCCTCTCAGGACACCCCTCCTGCGCTGCCCCCGCCCAGCACTGTCCTGGCCAAAGGTTCCCGGGCACTGTGGGCGCCAGGACTGGCAGGGCCTGCCCACGGCCCTCACAGGGAGCACCCCCCAGCGACCTGGGCGGGCGCTCTCGGAAGGCCGCTGAGCGCGCGAAGGCGCCAGCACTGTCGCTGGGACGCGACCGAGGCCCGGGGGCTGGGCTGTCTCTGTCCCCCGGCCCCCATGTGGCACGAAGTAGGCACATGTGGAACCAGGGGCGGTGTGATGCCAGCTCTGAGCCCACTCCTGTCCGGCCCCAGCTGGGCCTCCCTGTCCGCAGGGCGGGGAGGGGTCAGGCGTGACGGCCCTGCCCGCCGGGCCCGGCACTCACCTTGTCCATCCTGTCCTGCTCCACGCCGAACTTGCCGCCGTAGCCATGCGAGGCCCTGGGGCCCGTGGCCAGCTCCTTCTCCTTGAGGCTGCGGTGCTCCTGGTACACGTTCTCCCGCAGCTTGTGGATGCTGCGGGCAGGGCGAGGGAGGTCAGACCGCGGGCATGCTTCCTCCTCGGACACCCGGCCAGACAGCGCCCCCTCCGGTCCTGCCGGCCGCGGGCAGTTCCCAGGCCCGTGCGAGGCTCCTGGGGAGCAGACCTGGGCCACACGGCGCTCCCCACACCCGGAGGGGCTGCCCTGTCACACGAGCAGCGCCCTCGCAGCGCCCTCGCCTCGGCTGGAGACCGGCCAGGGGCCCGGCTGTGAGCGCCGCCGGGCAGAGGCGGCGGCCGTCAGACTCCAGGGGCCCTGGGGCCGTGCTGGGAGCCCAGGGACACGGCTGACCGACCGACCCCGCTCTGCCGCGCCCGCGATGCAGTGAGGGCGCGCAGAGGCGGTCTAGCAGCCGCCGGTCACCGGACCGCCCGCCAGGGGTGGAGCAGCCGTCCCACCAGGAGGCCCCAGGGCCGATCTGCCAGGGGACACCACGCCCACCTCCCCCACCTCCCCCACCGGACAACAGTCCACGGGTGACCAAGACCAGCAGCGTCCCTAAAGCCCAGGAGGCCCCGCACCCAGCTGCCCCGCCCACGGGTCCTGAGTTCCCGCCAACCCAACAGGCCTGCACACTCGGGCACAGGAGACAAGGACGGGCGGCTGAACCCATGAGCCGCGCCTGACCCTCCGCCGTGGCCCGGCACCGCGCCCGCCCGCACCCAGGCCCGCGCCTCCCGCCGGCCCGGCCCCCACATGGGGAAGGGGCTTCCGGCCGGGTGGCGGGCGTCCAGGAGGGACCGGGTCAGAGCCGCCGGACACTCCTCCCGGGGCGCGCCGGGGGGCACTGCCAGCAAGGCCGCCTCACCCCGCGAAGGAAGCCTCTTACTTGATGTGCTCCTGGTGCCCGGACCCCTGCACGGTCTTGGCGCCCCATCTCTGCTCCTTCTCACTTACGTCGTTCTGAAAGGAAAGGACGGTGAGCTCCGGCGCGGCTCTCGGACAGACCTCAGAGCCGCAGAGCCTCAGGGACAGGAAGGCGGGCGCAGCGGGGACTCACCTCGAAATCGGGGTCGGTTTCCCAGTCGTCGGCACCGCCGTCGACCTGGCTGATGGACACGGCGTGGCCCGCCGAAGCCTTCCACATCTGCGGGCACAGCGGGTCAGGCCCGGGCGCGGAGGCCACAGCGCGCTCTGCCCGGCACCGCCGAGGCCCCACCCCGGCCCTAACACGGCCCCAGAGCAGCCCGACCCCGGCCCTAACCCTCCGGAGGGCCAGAGGGCCCTCGTCATCCCTGCGCCTGAACGGGTGGCCACAGAATGACACCAAGGGCACGACCGTGGCCACCACAGCTGTCCAGCGGCCTGGGAACATTCCAGAAGTGGTCTGGCTTCAGACCGAGTGAGAGACCTTTCCAGAAAGTAAGAGCCATGTGTGCACTTCCTTCCTTTATCAAAAATCCAGATCTGGCCGGCCGGCGTGACTTCGGTGGTTGAGCGCTGACCTGAGCCAGGAGGTCACGGCTCCATTCCCGGTCAGGGCACAGCCGGGTGTGGGCTCCATCCCCAACATGGGGCGTGCAGGAGGCAGCCGGTCCATGATGCGCTCTCATCACTGACGTTTCCCTCCCTCTCCCTCTCCCTTCCTTTCTGACATCCATACATATTAAAAGTAAAAATTACAAAGTGAAGCAGCAGCTGCCGAGGGCCACGTCTGCCTGCTGTATGTCTCCCAGGGGCACGCACCTGCAGCCGGCGGCTCCCACCCGCGGTTCCCACCGCTGAGGGCGCGGCCAGACCAAGGGCCAGTCTCTGCCGAAAGCAGGCGGCCGCTGCCCGAGGCACAGGGAGGGCAGCCGCCCTGCCTCAGGCTTCGCAGGCCGCCAGGCCCGGAGCAGGGCGGCTGGAGGCAGCCTCCCGGGGCCAGTGAGCAGGGCTGGGGCTCTGTGCCTCCAGGGGCGGGAGAGGCAGCGGGCTCCTCCTCTCCCCAGGACCCTGCAATCCCCCCTTCCTCACCAGGGGCCTCCCTGGGAACTTAACTCTCTTTGTTAAACAGGGAATTCTGGAAAGGTCTGTCCGACCTCAGCGTCCTGGAGGGGTCCTCCCCCGCCCCCCGCCAGGGGCCGGCCTGACTGCACACGCACCTTTCGTCCGGGGCAGCGGGCTGGCTGCTGAGCTGTGTGCGACTGCGGATCCAGCGGCAGCTCCCGGGCATCCGGCGAGGAGACGCCTGCGGAGGTTAGGGGACGGTGTCTCTGCCCCAGGCCTCCGGCCAACCCGCCCCCCCGCGGCCAGGTTTCCCACGGACCCAGCGCAGGACGAGCCTGCGTCTCCTCACACCGCTCTCTGGGGATCCGAGGAGGAGGCTTCCCACAGACCCACATGCCCGCCTCCCGGCAGCGCCCGGCCCACCGTCACCCAGGGGCCCGCCGTCACCCAGGGGCGTCCACGTTCCGTCCACCCACAGCCGCTGTGCGCTGAGGGGACCGTGAGGGAGAGCACTCCGCGAGGGGGTCTGTGTGGTGGGAGACACCCGGCGGCATGACGGCTCCGGGATGCACCAGTGGGCGACGCGGGGCGCAGAGCGCTGCAGCACCCCATGCCGGATCTGGTCACTGCGCCGACACAAGGCTCCGACCCCACGCCCCGACCACAAAGCAGACGCAGGAAATCCCCGCCAGAAACAAGCTGGTCGTGAACTGGCCACTGCAGGGGCGGCCCTGCTGGCCGTCCGCCCCGCACTCCACTTCCTGCCTCTTCCTCCCCGGCCCCCTCCAAGGCCCTCAGTGAGCGCTGCCATCTACCATCACCCAGGAGCCACGTGACAGGCTCAGTTCTACCATTCGTTACCTTCTCAACACTTTAAACTTAAAAACAAACACACAAAAACAGCTGCTAGAAAAACGGAAACCCTGGGTGCTCCTTGGACCCCTACTGATCACACCACCCACAACTCACTCACACGTGGAGCTAACTGTCCGGGCTCGGACTGGTCCGCTCTCACAGGAAAACACGGGCCCGGGTCTCCATAGCCTTCGCTGGGGCATGTAAGACGGTGCCTGCTCCATGTTATTTGGCTACAGAAAGCAGTGACGTCCTGACACACGCTACAACATGGATGATTTAAAAACATGCATGTGAGCAAAGCCAGATGCAAGAGGCTGTTACACAGCCCCACAGCCGTGAAGGCTCAGAACGGGAGTCTGCAGAGCCAAAGGCAGACTAGCCTCCCGCTGGGGCCGTGGGGGGCGGCTGTCATGGGGTTCTGTCTGAGGTGACACATGACCTCCAGCGGATCGGGGGTGCTTGGACAACTGTGGCTGGGGAAAGTAAGTGGGGCAGTACATGGCATGGGATTGTATCTCCAGGTTGCCACCAAAAAGCAGCTCAGAAAGAATCCTCGCCCACCGTTAATTCGTGAATGGCACACCGTCCTGGCACCGGCACAGGCACAGGCACAGGCACAAACTAAGAGGCAGCAAGTGAGTGAGGCCGCCCGCAGTCCTACAAGCAGTGTGTGCCCCGCCCCCTTGTGGGAGAGCCGCTTCCATTCACCTCACTACGCAGACACCAGACAACACGGCTCCGAGAAGCCAGAGCCGTCACCGCAGTCACCCCAGGGCCAGCACAGGGCCATCCCCAGCCCCACTCAGAGGACTCCCTCCCCCACTGCCTCCAGCACATTCACTCCGTTTCCTCAAATACCAGCCACGGAGGGCACCTGGCCACGGAGGGCACCTGGCCCACAGGACACCTGGCCACGGAGGGCACCTGGCCACACAGGGCACCTGGCCCACAGGGCAGCTGGCCACACAGGGCACCTGGCCACAGAGGGCACCTGGCCACGGAGGGCACCTGGCCACACAGGGCACCTGGCCACGGAGGGCACCTGGCCACACAGGACACCTGGCCACGGAGGGCACCTGGCCACACAGGGCACCTGGCCACGGAGGACACCTGGCCACACAGGGCACCTGGCCACGGAGGGCACCTGGCCACACAGGGCACCTGGCCCACAGGGCAGCTGGCCACACAGGGCACCTGGCCACACAGGACACCTGGCCACGGAGGGCACCTGGCCACAGAGCAGCCCCGAGAGGGACTCCAGCCGCCCCAGGACACTGGGAACTGCAACCCCGCTCACTCGCTCGGCCTCTTTGAGCCACTACCCATGGCTGGGACCCAAGGTCTGAGTCTCGGTCCCGGCCATGTGAGCTACGCTGGCGCCGGCCTGCGCCTGGCGGTCAGAGCAGCGTCCCACAGGCCAAGACGGCGGTCTGGCCCGGTCTGGCCCAGTCAGCGCAGCACAAGAAGCAACAATGAAGTGCCGACCAGCCGAACAATTGATGTTTCTCTCTTTCTCCCCCCACCCCCCCCAAAAAAACACCAATAAATGTTTTAACGATGCTTCCCCCAAGTCACCAAAACCTTCCCGAGTCCCCGTCACTGGGACCAAGCCCCAAACCCTGGGCCGCTCCGCTCCGGGGCCGCCTCTGGGCCCGGAGCTTCCCGGCAGGACGGGCGCCGGTGACTCACGCCGTCCGCCCGGAGTGCGGCGGGGGAGGCCGACCACAGCCCTGCCAGGCCGGCAGCCCGGTGCTGGGGCGGAGGGGGGCCTGGCGGGCGGGCCCGACGGTCAGCCCGGGGCCCAGACGGCGCGGGGAGGAGGGAGAGGCGCGGCGGCGATGGAATCCCCCGAGGCCGGCACTGCCGTCCAGGGCGCCCGGAGGCAGCGGGGCCCGCGGCCGCCCCGAACCCCGCGGCACAGGCGCGCCCACCGGGACACGGAGGCGATCGGAACCCCAAACCCGAAGCACCTTCCGGCGGGCCCGGCGCCGGCTGCTCCCGGGCAGGGCCGCTCCGCCGGCTGCACGTCACCCACCGGGACGCAAAGCCGCAGGTGCGGCCCCTCCAGACCCCAGGGACCCTCCCCCGGCCCCTCGCCTGAGCCCCGGGTCCTGGGCCCGGATCCCCAGCCTCCTCCTCCGAGGCCCTCCCTACCTCCGCCTCCTGGGACTGCGGCCCTCTCCCCTCCGGCCCCGGGCCCTCCCCCGGCTCCCCTCCCCCCGGCTCCCCTCCCCCGCCCCCTGCAGCCCCGCCCCCTGCAGCCCCGCCCCCACCTCCCCCGGCCCGGCCCTCCGCTCCCCTCCCTCCCCCCTCCGGCCCGGCCCCCGCACCCCTCCCCTCCCCCGCCGCCCCCTCCGGCCGGGGAAGCCCCGCGTCCCCCCTCCCCCCGCGACCGAAACCGCGAGCGGAAGAGCGGCGAGACCGCGGCGGCCGCAGCTTCCTTCCCGTTTCGGGGCCGCGGCGCCCGGGCCCCGGAGGGACCGGGAGGAACCGGGAGCACCCGGAGGGCCCCGGAGGGACCCAGCGCCCCGCGGAGCCGCGCTCCTCACCGCGAGGCTCGGTCCGCGCGTCCCGCTCCCGCCGCGTCCGTCCGGCTCCCGGCCGCCCCACTTCCGGTTCCGCGGCGGGAGGTGGGGGGCGGGCCGCATCCGGGTCCCGGGAAGCCCCGCCCGCCGCTGGGCGCCGCCGGGAACCGGAGAGGCGCCCCCCTCCCCGCAGCCGGGGCCGCGGCCGCCGCCGGGAGGTGGAGCGCCCCGCGCAGACCCGGGTCCGGGCTCCGGGCCTGCGCCCCAGAGAGCACCGTGCCACCCATCCCCCCTCCGACCCACCCCCCCTCCGACCCATCCCCCCCTCCGACCCATCCCCCCTCCGACCCATCCCCCCTCCAACCCATTCCCCATCCCATCCATCCCCCCTCCGATCCATTCCCCATCCCATCCATCCCCCCTCCGACCCATTCCCCATCCCATCCATCCCCCCTCCGACCCATTCCCCATCCCATCCATCCCCCCTCCGACCCATTCCCCATCCCATCCATCCCCCCTCCGACCCATCCCCCCTCCGACCCATTCCCCATCCCATCCACTCCCCATCCCATCCATCCCCCCTCCGACCCATCCCCCCTCCGACCCATCCCCCATCCCATCCATCCCCCCTCCGACCCATTCCCCATCCCATCCATCCCCCCCTCCCATCCATCCCCCCTCCGACCCATTCCCCATCCCATCCATCCCCCCTCCAACCCATCCCCCCTCCGACCCATCCCCCCTCCGACCCATTCCCCATCCCATCCATCCCCCCTCCGACCCATCCCCCCTCCGACCCATCCCCCCTCCGACCCATCCCCCCTCCGACCCATCCCCCCTCCGACCCATCCCCCCTCCGACCCATCCCCCCTCCGACCCATCCCCCATCCCATCCATCCCCCCTCCGACTCATTCCTCATCCCATCCATCCCCCCCTCCCATCCATTCCCCCTCCGACCCATCCCCCCTCCGACCCATCCCCCCTTCGACCCATCCCTCCTCCGACCCATCCCCCCTCCGACCCATTCCCCATCCTATCCATCCCCCCTCCGACTCATTCCTCATCCCATCCATTCCCCCCTCCCATCCATCCCCCCTCCGACCCATTCCCCATCCCCCCTCCCATCCATCCCCCCTCCGACTCATTCCCCATCCCATCCATTCCCCATCCCATCCATTCCCCATCCCATCCATCCCCCTCCGACCCATTCCCCCTCCGACTCATTCCCCATCCCATCCATTCCCCATCCCATCCATTACCCATCCCATCCATTCCCCATCCCATCCATCCCTCATCCCATCCATCCCCCCTCCGATCCACTCCCCATTCCATCCATCCCCCCTCCGATCCATTCCCCATTCCATCCATCCCCCCTCCGATCCATTCCCCATCCCATCCATCCCCCATCCCATCCATTCCCCATCCCATCCATCCCCCTCTGATCCATTCCCCATCCCATTCATCTCCTACCCATTCATTCCTCACCACATCCTCCAACCCCGTCCCCCCACCCATCCATCCCCCACCCCATTCATCCCCTACCCCATCCATTCCCCACCCCATCCATTTCCCACCCCATTCCCCCACCAATCCGTCCCCCATCCCACCCACCCCCACCCCATCCACACATTACCCACATCTCATGTCTATCCTCCATTCATCCACCAACCCTTCCAGCCATTAGCCATCCATCCATCCACCCACCCACCCATCACCCACATCCACCCTCCATTCTCCCAGCAATTTCCACCTCTCCGTCATCCACCCATCCAGAGAAGGCCAGATACGGGCCAGGGATCCACGGTCAATAGGACAAAAATGGAGGATCTGGAGGAAGGGCCTTGTGGCTGTGAGGCTGGGAGGTCATGTCGAGGTCGACGGAGCCCAGCAAGCCCTTGGCTTTTATTTTTCAAGAAATAGGAAGTCCTAGGGAGGGAAGGGGGGGCGGGAGATAGCTGTGATACTATCAACAATGAGAATGTATTTCAAAACTAATAAAAATGTGTACACCCATAAAAGCAGAAATGGGAAGTCGCTGGGGGAAGTTAAGCAGACACCAGTGTGCATTGCAATGGGCGCCCTCTAGCGGCTGTGCGGGGAATGGCTGGGGGCGCCTAGTGGCAAACGGGGCAGCAGGTAAGATGGAGAGAAGCCGGTGGACACAAGAGACATTTGGGCAGTGACATGGGCACACTTAAGGATGCACTAGGGCCCTAGCTGGTTTGGCTCGGTGGATAGAGCATTGGCCTGCGGATTGAAAGGTCCCAGGTTCGATTCCGGTCAAGGCCATGTACCTGAGTTGTGGGCACATCCCCTGTAGGGGGTGTGCAAGAGGCAGCTGGTCGATGTTTCTCTCTAATCGACGTTTCTAGCTCTCTATATCTCTCCCTTCCTCTCTGTAAAAATTCAATAAAACATATTTTAAAATAAATAAATAAATAAAATAAAATAAAGCAAAAAAAGATAAGATGCCTTAATGGGTCCATGACTCAGAAAGGAAAACTCGTTGTGTTTTTTGTTTTGTTTTGTTTTGTTTTTTAAGAAGAAGAAGAAGAATGGACTAGGTGCCTGGCTGATGTGGCTCAGTGGGTGGAGCATCGGCCTGAGATAAGAGGGTTCCGGGTTTGATTCCAGTTGGGGGTACATGCCTGAGTTGCAGGCTCCATCCTCAAGGGGGGATGTGCAAGAGGCAGCCAATCAATGCTCTCATCATTGATGTTTCTATCTCTCCCTTCAACTCTGAAATCAATAAAAATATATTTAAAATAAACAAAAGAATAGACATAGGGGCCCAGCTGGTGAGGTTCGTGGTTGAGTGTCCACCTACAATTTCATTCCTGCCCGGGGCGCATGCCCGGGTTTCAGGCTCTGTCAGCCCCCAGGGTGGGGCATGCAGGAGGCAGCCCATCAACGATTCTCTCTCACCATTGATGTTTCTGTCTCTCTCCCTCTCCCTTCCTCTCTGAAATCAATAAAAAAAGATTTAGAAAACTAGCTTTTTAGAAAATAAAGTCAAGAAGGTAGTGGGCTGGCGTGGCTCAGTGGTTGACTGTCGACCTATGAACCAGGAGGTCATGGTTCAATTTCTGATCGGAGCTGTGGGCTCGATCCGTGTCCAGGTCTCAGCTCAGAAGAGGGCACACAGGTCCCATACTCGCCAGACACCCTCATGTGCCCAGGCCCCAGACAGGTGCTCTGGGTGCCTCTTCCTCGGGATGCTCCAGGGGTGATGGTGAGTGGCACTTCCGGGGGCTGGGTCAGTGCCGAGGGTTGCTCTGAGCGCCTTGAACGGGCCATCTCGTTCAGGCCACAGCACCCGGATGGCGTGCACGCCCTTGCTGCTCATGCGCGATGCAGGGAGCAGGCAGGGGAGGGGTGGCAGTCCCAGCCTCCACCCCAACAGGTGGTTCCTGACCTCAGCCCCTCCCGCAGGTCCCAGGAGAAAGGGCAGCGGTGGGAATGGAGACGTGGTGTGAATTGGCTCTTCAAAGGGAGCCCGAAGCTCGGCAGTATGTGAAGGACGCCCGTACGCCCCCGGGACGGCACAGGCCACTCAAGGAGACCGGCTTTCCGTCGTCAGGCCGTGAACGTGAGGAAGGGAGGGGCTGAGCAGTCTCCGGGGAGCCGGCCCTCCACGCGGCCCCGCAGGGAATGCTGGCTGCCCCGTTGTTTGTGCCGCTCCGCGGGCAGCCAGTTACTCCTGTGCGGGCAGGGCGTAATGAGACCCGGGGGATGGGACGCCGAGCAGCAGGGGCACAGGGAGGTGTTTGCAGAGCAGCTGGCATGCATTTCACGAGCCAGGCGGCGTGGTAAGAGCCGCTCTCCAGGTGCCGGGCATCAGGCCCGGCCAGTGTGACTCAGGGGCTGGGCATCGACCTAGGAACCAGGAGGTCACAGCTGGATTCCCAGTCAGGGCGCATGCTGGGGTGCAGGTTTGATCCCTGTGGGGGCCATGCCGCAGGCAGCCAATCAGTGATTCTCTCTCGTTGTTAAAGTTTCTCTCCCTCTCCCTTCGACTCTGAAATCAATAAAAATATATTTTAAAAAATAAAAGTTTGTACAGCAGTCGACAGAGCCCCAGAATACGTGGGGCAGGAGCTGATGGGACCACAACTGTGGTGGGGGGTCCCCACCCCCTCTCTCCACACCCACAGGACAGACAGCGCTCCGGGGATGAACTGCTTGCGTGGGGGCCTGACATTTGCGTGCGTGGGCAGGCTGCTGGAGTGGCCACGGGACAGGCACCAAATGGCCGGATTCTGGGCCAGAGAACAGTCTACGACGTGCAAATGGCACAAACTGTGTTCTCCGACCAAAATGAGGTTATGTTAGAAATTAGTAATAATTTTAAAAAGGAAAACAAGGAATAATAAAAAGGTATGTGGAACCCTCCGTCCCCCCCAAATATTTGGAAACTACATAACCCATGCACCACAGAGGAAACTAAGCAGAATCTTAAGCTGAATGGAGAGCCAGCGTCTGTGTGGCTCAGTGGATAGAGTAGCGACCTGCAGACCGAAGGGTCCTGGGTTCGATTCCGGTTGTAGGCTCCACCCCTGGCACTGGCCGGGGCACATGTGGGAGGCCACCAATCAGTGTCTCTGTCTCATGGATGCTCTTCCCTCCCTTCCACTCTCTCTAAAAATCGATGGGAGATGTCCTCAGGCGAGGATTAAACTAAATGGAGACAGGAACTGGTCTTGTCCTGTTCCATGGGACGCAGCTAAAGCAGCGCCGGAGGGAGCGGAGGTCGCAGGTCACCTCCAGACCCCAGAGGGAAGAGCCCCCATTCCTGTGCCTACAGGGCCCGCTCCACCACCTGCTGCGCAGCAAACCATTCACCCACCAGCAGCCCGCCCCAGGCGGCCTCCTCACTGAGTCCGTGCAGGGCTCACAGCGTCTGAGACCAGGCCTCTGTCATGGCCCTTTTCACCTCACACCCCTGACACGCCAGGCAGCCACGGCCCTGGCCTTTCTCAGAGCCATCAACATGCCAATCACATCACACTCACTGCGGGAGTCCTCGGGGGACGTTCTGTTAGGGCACAGCCACACCCACGTGTGTATGTCGTGCTGTATGGCCAGGGGTGAGCCTGGGGGGTAGGGGCCGGTGAAGGACTGAAGCAGACGGACCAGAGAACACAGCTGGGGCTGGAGGGACGCTGCTCTCAGATGGAAAGTCAGTGCCCCAGCCTGCTCACGATGTTTACAATGTTCTTGCGGGTTTTGAATCCACTCAATCCCATGCACCTGACCTCCACCCAGCCTTGTTCTGGCAGCACCTGCCGCGCCTCCCGCAGCCCACACCCCTCGGCCACCTGGCACCACAGGTTCGGACCATCGGGTGAAGCTGACATTGGGCCGGCAGGGCTCCGCCCTCCACGCTGGGACCTGCCCGGGGCTTTGCCACGAGAGGACCGTGCCCTCTCGTCAGCCCGAGGCTTGAACCTGTCCAAACGCTGTAGCCACTCTCCACAGTGCACATCGCCAAGGACCATGGTCGGCAAACTGCAGCGTGCGAGTCACATGCGGCTCTTTGAGTGTGGCTCTTCCACAAAGCACCGCGGCCTGGGCGAGTCTATTTTGAAGAAGTGGCGTTAGAAGTTTAAATTTAAAAAATGTGGCTCTCCAAAGAAATTTCAATCATCCACCTAACTGCCCCCCACACCATGACATGGTTTTTTTAAAACAGCGGTTCATGCCGAAATCGGATTGGCTCAGTGGATAGAGCCTCGGCCTGTGGACTAAAGGTCCCAGGTTCGATTCCCGTCAAGCGCATGTACCTGGCTGCGGGAACATCCCCAGTAAGGGGTGTGCAAGAGGCAGCTGATCGATGTTTCTCTCTATCCCTCTCCCTTCCTCTCTGTAAGAAATCAATAAAATATATTTTAAAAAATAAAAAGTGGTTCATTTAATGCTGAGTGACCCAGGGCTGGGGCTGGGGCAGGTGTAGGGAGGCGAGGCGGGCATGGGGTAGCGGGAGGGCCTTCAACACGGATCCCGCTGCACAGCCGCCACACTTTCGCCCTCCCCGTGGGGTTTCCGAGGTCAAGCTCCCTTTGCGTTTGGCTTTTGCGTCCCGCGGGAAGGACCGGGCACACTTCGGCCCCGAGTGCAGCTAGAGGTCAAAGGTCTCTCCTAGGCGCTGCTTCCGGTGCATCACTTGGAGTTTTGGTTTTTGTCTCTGAAAAGCAATTCGGTGTCTCGCTCCAAACAGCGCAGGGCCATTGCGAGCTGGTTCTCCGGCTACACCGTCGCGCCCCGGGGTCCCGGAGGCCGGGCTCCGGCGGTGCCCAGGACCAGGCAGCGGCTCGCGCGGGAGGCGGCGGGGGAGCGACTGCGCAGGCGCGGCGGAGCGCGCGGCCGGGAGCGCGCGGCGCCGGAAGGGGCGGCGGCGCCGGAAGGGGCGGGGCGGGGCGGCGCCTGCGCAGTGCGCGGCGCGGGGGCGGGCGGCCGTCAGCTGACTGGCGCGGCGGCGGCTTCGCGGGGACAACCGTTGGCGGCGACGCAGGCTCCGGAGGGGAGGTCGCCGGCCTGTCGGTTCTCGGCGGGCGAGGCGCGGCCGGCGGGGCACCATGGCGACCACCGTCAGCACGCAGCGCGGGCCGGTGAGCCTCCGGGGCGGCGGCGGGCTCTCCCCTGGGCGCGGGCGGCCGTGCGGGTCCCGCGCTCCGGCCGGCGGGCGGGCCGCGGGCGGGGCGCGCCGGGATGCGGAGCCCGGTGCCTGGGTGGTCCCCGGATGGAGGGGCCTCCTGCGCCCCGGCGGGTTCCCGGAGGGCAGCATCCGGAACTCGAAGTCTGTACCCCGGATGGGAGAGGCCCGGCCCCGCGGGCCCCGGATGGGGAAGGCCCCCAGCGGGCCGCCTCGCCGCTTCCCTGGAAGCGGGAGGCCGCGCGGGAGCGAGGGGGGAGCTGGGCCCCGGCGCGCCGGCGGTCACGGTCACGAGCGGGAAGGCGGCCTCCGCAGCGGCTCGCAGTGACAGCCGCGCGCCTGGGACCCCGGCCGGTGACGGGCCTCCGCACCGCGTGCTGCTGTGACCCGGCCGCTCAGGTCCCGCCCTCCTCCCTCCTCTCCTGACTGGCAGCGGGGTGACCGCCCGCAGCCTCTGGGCCCCCTTAGCGGCGAGGCAGCCAGAGCAGCGGCTCCCTGGTCTGTGCGCCCAGCAGAGGCGCGATGTCTGGCCAAGGCCCCAGTTCCCTGGCTGTCAGCGTCCCCCGCCCCGTGGGTCCCCACCCTCCCCTGTGGCAGCCGCCATCCTGGGGGGCAGTCGGCTCTGACTGCACAAAGCGGAAGCCCCTGACACTTCAGCAGGGAGTGGGGCGCCCGGGTGCAGACAGGGGTGTGGCCATGTGCTGTCCAGGCGGCCTCGACGTGTCCTCTGCCTTCCGCTGGTCTCCGTGTGGTGCCGCGGCCTGGGGTCCATGTGCTGCGGTGCACAGACCAGCACGTTCCCGGGCCTGTGAACGGGCAGGAACGGTAGGTCAGGGCCAGACCTGCTGGGGCTGCAGGGGGTACCCTCGGGGGTAGGGGTCTGGGTGCCGTGGAGCAGGAGTGACTCTGGCAGCCGCTTTGGGCAGCAGGACGCAGTGAGGGACCTTCCAGTGCGGCTCTTGACTGCACACACGAGCCACGCAGGGTGGTCGCCGTTGCATGTGTGGGTTTTAGCTCCGTGGCCGGGTGAGTCAGGTTCTTGGAGGAGCTGACACTTGAGGGACGAGCTGAAGTTGTTTGACGGGAAGGCCCGGAAAGGCCCTGAGCGCTGCTGGGCCCCAGGAGAGCAGCAGGCGTGGCCAGGGCCGTTCCAGATGGGAGGGCCTGTGGGCGGCAATGGTGCTCTATGTAGTGACCACAGTCAGCGTTTTAAAAACGCCTGCCTGGCACACACCCTCGGTAGTTGCCACCTCTCCAGCCGGCCCACGCCCCGAGGGCTAAGCAGCCCTTGGAAGGACGCTTTGCCATCGGCAGAGGCGGGTGGGAGACCCTCCGCTCGCCTGGGCGCCGTGGCTGTGCGCCGGGCACCGGGAGGGCTGGTGCAGGCGTAGCCAGGTGCTCGGGCTGGCCACCGGGGGGCCGCCACACCAGCGAGTGCTGTACAGGCGGCATTGGGCAGCGCGCCTGAGCCGGGCCCTGGCTGGGCAGCAGCCTGAGGGTGAGCCCGCCCTGCCCACACGGAGATCAGCGGGCCCAGGGAGCCCAGCCTGGGCTCACTCACTGGGGACTGACCACGCCTCCTGCCCCGGGATAGAGGAGGGACACAGGGCCCAGGGAGAGGGAGGAAGAGGCCTCAGACGCCTTGCCTCCTCCACCCTCAGGAGGCCCTGCCGGCTCTGCCTCCAGAGCAGGTCCTTCTGCCTCGGCACACCCACGCGCCACACTCGCACGGCTGGTCCATCTGCCGTCACACCCGCAGACAGGTGCCGAGCCCGCCCCTGGCTCCAGCTGTCTCAGCACCAGGCCCTGGCTGCTGTCCTCCCAGCAGAGGCGGAGGAGGCACGGGACACTTGGGGAAGGCGGTGTGGGGAGGAGGTGACCTGACCAGGCATCGGGCCGCTGTCCCACGTGGAGTGGGAGGCCCCGGTGTTGTGAAGAAGCGCAGTTTCCTCCTGACTTGATTTGGGAAGATGCTGAACTTACAGCAAAATGTTAGTGACCGTGCGGGGGCCGTGGCATGGCTTTGGCCTCCACCAGGGTCTGTTACGTGTTTCTTGGGGCTACAGTGGCCTGACCTCAGCCTCTCCATCAGCCTCTTCGTCCAGGGAAGCCCTGGGCCGCAGGCAGCCTCGCTCACCCCAGCCGCCGTGCAGAGGATGCAGTCCGCCGGCGCACAGCACCTGGGTGCCCCCGGTCTCCCATGTCTGTCCTGGTCCACCCACCGCCGCCTTCGGTCTCAGCACGTTCACTCCCGGCCCTCCTGTGGGCGTCGGCTGGACAAGGCCATGTCTCCTGGCCAGTGTCCTCACAGGGCCTCAAGCAGGGCAGCCTCTCGGGCCCCAGGGGCTCGGCTCCCTCCAGGCCCTGCTTGTGCTCCTGGTGTCGGCCCCTCCCCTCGAGGCCCGCAGCGGCTGGCAGGAGCTGGTGGTGGTTTTGCTGAGCCCTCTGCCCTGTAGGCCTCGCCTGGCCCGCTCCCTCCTGCTCCAGCTGTGAGGTCACGTGGACCTGGAGCTGTGCTCAGTGGGCCGGGTGGGGCTCCGGAGCCCTCGCTGTGCATCCTCAGGGGTGCTGGCCCCGAGCTCGGGCGCCGGGCTTTGTTCCCTAGGGGCCGCTGCTGCGGTTTTCTTAGGAACCACGGCACCGTGAGCTCACGGCCGAACCTCATGGACTTGCATTTTATTTTTTAATTCCACAGGAGTTACTCAACCCGGCACTAGCTATTTCAAGGGCTAAAAAAGCACCTAGAAGTTACTTAAGTATTTTCTCTAAGCAAACAAAGGTTTAAAGTTAAGCTCACTGAAGGCATTTAAGAATTTTTTCAGCTGCTTTACTTTTGTGGGGAAGTAGCGAGTTTTTAAATTTTTTATTACGTGCTGCCTGTTGTGTGGCTTGCTGGGTTACGTAGTAAGTAACGCACGCCGGACTGTGCTGCACAAATGACCGTGCTAGAGTGACTGCTCTTCACAGAGGAAGCGCCAGCGGACGGGGTCTAGAGCCAGCGGCCTCCACGCTAAGGGCGCTGAGGGGAGATCGTTTCCCGAGGCCCCTTGCAGGGAGGGGACCGAGGCGGCCAGGAGGTCCGCCCTGGGCCGGGTCTGCGTGGCCGCACCTAGGCCTGCGAGAGCGGCTGTGCCGGCCCAGCCGCGGGGGCCGTCCCTGTGGGCAGCCTGGGGCGGGGCGGCGGAAGGAGTGGCAGCTTTCGTTCCCTGGGAGAGGCCGTCCCTGCAGGTCTTCCCAGGCACTGGGGTCTGGGCGGCGTGGGAGCAGTGCCTTGCCATTGGCAGGCCTCGCTTGTGGTGGGGGCGGCCCGGCGAGAATGAGTCACGGTCAGGTAGACAGCTTGTGACCCCAAAAGCGGTGCAGCACACCGCCTGGCAAGCCCGTCCGAGCCTGCACCTCTGGGGTGGCAGCGTGCTCTTCGGGAGCTGGTGTGCCCGGTGCCCGCTGGGTGCCAGGCTCCCTCCCCAGGGCGGCAGGGGCCCAGGCCTCGCCGTGCAGGCCAAGAAACAGGCCGCACGCTGGGCCCAGGTGCTGCCGGCCCGGCCTGACTCCTGTCCCCGCAGGTGTACCTCGGGGAGCTCCCGCAGGACTTCCTGCGCATCGCGCCCACGCAGCAGCAGCAGCAGGTGCAGCTGGATGCGCAGGCGGCCCAGCAGCTGCAGTACGGCGGGGCGTTGGGCACGGTGGACCGCCTCAACATCACTGTGGTGCAGGTGCGTGCTGTCCCTAGTTCTGTGCCCACAATGGCTCTTCTCCCGAACCTAGCTTTTCCTAAAGGACACGTGTGCGGAGCACCTCTGACACCCGTAGGACCCCGCCCAAGTCCTGCAGCGCTTACTACGGAGCGGTCAGCAGCCCGGCGCAGGCCAGGTCTCCGGGCCTCAGGGCGGGGGGGGGGCAGGCGCAGAGGGCCAGGGAATGGCTCTCTCCGCTCCCTCCTGTCTGCGCCAGGGGCTCTGGGGCACACACTCAGCCTCAGTGCTGGGGAGTCGCAGCCCGGTGCACCTCGCACACTTCCCCTCCGGTGCCTCCTGGGACCCGGTCATGCCCTGCTGGAGCGGAGCGCTGCCTCCCGCGGGCACCACAGACTACAGGGCCGCAGTCGCTGCACCCTCCACTCAGCACCAGGCCCCCGAGGGCGGCCCCGCGGTTAGAAACATTCCAGTTCAACACGGCCTTTTGGCAGTGCCACCCACGGCTTCCCACTTCCTCCGACTGACCTCATCCCCGGGGCTCACAGGCCGTGCCCTGGTCCTGGGCCGGGGCAGCAGGTGTGCTCAGTCCCAGCCAGCCCCTCTCCTCACTGCCCACATGGCCCGGTCCCTGGCCTCTCCCGGGACGGCTGGCGGGCATTGCCGACGGAACATGGCGCTCCCTTCTCCAGCCCACCGCCCGCTGAGCCCACATCGCCATCCTGGGAGCTCAGCTCCCGCTTGGGTCTCGCTGCTCCGTCTTGTTTGCTGGCTGCTCTGTGCACCGGCCAGCACCCACGTCGCTGGGCGGGGTGGTTCCGCTGTCCCTGGGGCGAGTCGCCTTCCGGGAGCGTTTCTGTGTCAGGTTCCCTCTGCAGACCTTGGCCGGTTTCAGGTCTTGGTGCTGAGATCTGGGAGGTGTGGGTCCCACTCTGGGTTCAGGCTCCTCACCGGCCTGGGCCGCCGCGGGCAGTCTCCCTGGGAGAGCTGGCGTCCTCAGCGTCGGCCGGGTCCCGGTGGCGTGGTTTGCCCAGGCCAAGACCACAGGAGAAGTTTGGTTTAGGTCTCACGTGTGGGCCTGTAACCCTCCTGGGGCAAATCCCGTGGCAGGGACCCACCCCCCAAGCCTGTCTTGCTCATCAGGACTGTGTTTTCTGCCTAAAGTGCACCCCTCCCCCGTCCAGTCAGCCTGCTCCAGGCTGGGCTCCTGGGAGCGCCCCCTGCAGGGAGGCAGGGCCGCCCTGGGTGCGGCTGGCTTTGGGGACCCCACTCGTCCAGGCTCGTGCCCTTGTTCTCGGGTCTCCTGGCGCTGTCCCAGGCAGCCTGCTTCTCCACCCTCTGCTGAGGAGGCTGGAGGCCGCCCCCGGCCGCAGCGTCCATCAGGCCTGTGGGCGCCGCGCCACGTGCCCCTGCGGGCGCGCTCTCCGCCCGGCCTGGAGCCGGGAGCCCCGCTGCGGAGCGGTGCCGGGTTCGGGCAGGACGGAGCGGTGCGCCGAGGGCGGACGGCCGGGCCCGGCGCTCTCCCTGGAGCGGCTCCGGCTGTCCTGACGTGGTTGTTTCAGGCCAAGCTGGCCAAGAATTACGGCATGACTCGCATGGACCCGTACTGCCGGCTGCGCCTGGGCTACGCCGTGTACGAGACGCCCACGGCCCACAACGGCGCTAAGAACCCGCGCTGGAACAAGGTCATCCACTGCACCGTGCCGCCCGGCGTGGACTCCTTCTACCTGGAGATCTTCGACGAGGTGCGGCCGGCAGGCCGGGGTGGCAGTGGGCGCGGGCTCCCCCAGAGCAGGCGGGGGGGGGGCGGTCCTTGGCCGGCGGGAGGGGGTTCTGGGTGGTGCGAGTGGCAGGCCGTCTACCGGGTGTCCTGGGAGCGGCAGAGGGTGCCAGGGTGCCCAGCAGGCGAGCTCAGAGGGTGAGGGTGGGGAGCCCGGCGGGGAGTGGGCCCTCTGCCCCACCCTCCCCCTCCCTTGGGGTGTGGTGAGCTCCAGGGCACCTCCTTTCCTGCATTTGTGCTGGGCTTCCCGCCTGGGGGGAGTGGCCTTAGTCTCCAGGCAGCGGGGGTGGGGTGGGCTTCAGGTGTGGGGAGGGCAGCCCTTGGCGGGCTCGGAGCTCTCATGCTGTGTCCCTCTGCCCCTCAGCGAGCCTTCTCCATGGACGACCGCATCGCCTGGACGCACATCACGCTGTCGGAGGCGCTGCGGCAGGGCGAGGTGGAGGACAAGTGGTACTGCCTGAGCGGGCGGCAGGGCGACGACAAGGAGGGCATGATCAACCTGGTCATGTCCTACTCGGTGAGGCCTGCGGGCACCTCCCCGAGGGCCAGCCGCAGCCCGCAGCCCGAGGGCAGGGCCCTCGCGGGCACCGGGTCCACCGCCCTCTCCGTCCGCATTCTCCCGGGAGCAGTGCTGCGTGGTGGCCAAGTCACGGGGTCGAGACCACCTTCTTTAATTTCTAATTTTTGTTTCTATTTTGTGGCCCGTCTTTGGAGGTGTGGCTCCCCTTACGGCCTTGCGGGGCCCCCCATTAAGTGGTGGTTGTCTCAGGGCCACATGGGGTGAGGGGGTGGTGCAGGCCCTCCACTGGACAGCAGGGCCGGCCGCCAGGCCAGACCTCGGGGCCTGGCTCCTCCTCAGCAGCCGCCACGGAGGTCCTGGGGGCTCGGAGGCCATGATGGCTCACGGCAGGGTCAGCCTCTGGGTTCCTGCCATCTCCGTGCCGCCCAGAGGTCTCTCACAGCCATGGGACCCTTTGCTGCAGAAGCCCAGCGGGCGGGGCGGGGAGAGCAGTGTGGGTCCCGAGTGGGCGAAGCCTCGCAGCAGCCCTCGCTGTGCCCGTCCCTTCGCCGGTGTGGCGGTTTTAGAGCCAGTCCCGCATCAGTAGAACTTCACTCCTGAGTGTTTCCTCTGCACCTTTTTATTTTAACCCTCACCCACGGCACGCTGAGAGAGGAAGGGAGAGAAACACCGATGGGCTGTCTCCTGCAGCGCCCCACCCAGGATGGAGCCGTAACCCAGGCGTGTGCCCTGACCAGGAACCTAACCCTGACCTCCTGGATGCTCAGCCCTGAGCCGCACTGGCCAGGCACCCTGAGGCACCTTCAACAGCTGTCTCTACGGCACATGTGTCAAACACAAGGCCCGCGGGCCAAATCCGTCCCGCCAGGCCTTGCAATGTGGCCCGCACCACGCTGTCATCACTGCACTCCGCTGCGTTTCCATCACAATGACAGTTTATGACTGTTCAGTAAACCATTCGGCCCGCGATTTAGGCTGGATTTTAGATTTTGGCCCCTTCTCTGATTGAGTTCGACACCCCTAGTCTACGGAAACGCAAATGCGCTCACGCTGACAGAGAATTCAAACCTTAGAGCCGCCCACTGACCCGCAGCTCCCTCTTACGTGTGTTCTGGAACCTGTCTTCTCGATGACATCTCAGTTGGCCACGGTCCTGCAGGCCTGGCGACATTTTCACCCGAGTCATTCACTCCCCTCCTCAGCAGAGGAGCACTGGGGCGCTGGGAGGGCGGGCGTCGGCCCTGGGCTGTCACTCCCAGGACGCGTGGGCGGGGCTGCGGGTGAAGGCTCTGTGCGGGGTCTGCGTGACCCTGTGACCGCCTTTGTGTTGCAGTCCATGCCAGCCACCATGATGATGCCGCCTCAGCCCGTGGTCCTGATGCCCACCGTGTACCAGCAGGGCGTCGGCTACGTGCCCATCACGGGTGAGCGCCCGCGGGTGGCTCCTGGGGTGGCGGCAGGACGGGGGTGGGGGCGGGGGACGGCCTAGAGGCTTAGCCTGGTCTTGGAGTGAGGCATGAGGATCCTTCCAGAAGCGAGGGTCAGGTGTGACACCTGGGCTTTTGTGTGGGTGTAGGAAACAGAGTTTTCTTTTCCTTAGCTATTGGCCCAAGGAGGGTGAGTTGCAATTTGCGGAGACGCACAAATGTAATTTTTAAACGTTTCAGCACGAGTTGTTCTAACGCTCCTGTGGGGTGAGGTACCGTGTGCTCTCGCCACACTGTCGCCCTGTCTGTGGGGTTCCGTTCCTTACGAGGGAGCAGTCTGACCCCACACCCCCGCCCAGTGGTGTCGTGGCTTTACGTCTTTAATTTTAAAATCCGGTCAGCTGCCTCTGGCTGTGGCATACCTGGGCGCAGGCAGCAGCAGGCAGTGCAGGACGGACCCCGGAGAAGCGAAGTGGGCGAGCCCCATTGTCTGCCGAAGTGCAGGGAGCTGGGTCCAGCAGAGCTGGCTGCCCCACTGTGCTGAGGAGGCACGGCCAGCATGGGCAGTGGTCAGCATCTGGGGGCGCTGGAGAGGAGCAGGGTGCTGGTGGGGGTTGTTGGGTGAGAGACCACCCCACCCCATGTGAGTTCCGCTTCCCTGGTCCCATCTGCAAAGGCCCGTTGCCCAGTGAGGCCCAGCCCCAGCCCCAGCCCCAGGGGAGGGCCTCGCCGTCCGGGGCTCCCAGCACCTCGTGTGCCTGTGGGGGAGCTGCTTCCCAAGGAGGAGGGCCACGTGCCGTGTCTGTGGCTCCATCCTGTGCGCTCCTCTCCCCAGTGGCTGGGGTTCGGGGTCACGTGGTCGGAGCCCACGAGCCCTGGGGAGGCCAGCCCTGGGGCAGGCTCAGCGCAGGCTGCTCTGGAGCAGCGGCGGCCTCGGTGCTGTCGGTCACCGCCTCCTAAACCCCGTCTTGGTTGCAGGCATGCCCGCCGTGTGCAGCCCTGGCATGGTGCCCGTGGCCTTGCCCCCGGCGGCTGTGAGCGCCCCGCCCCGCTGTAACGAGGAGGACCTGAGGGCCATCCAGGACATGTTCCCCAACATGGACCGCGAGGTGATCCGCTCGGTGCTGGAGGCCCAGCGTGGGAACAAGGACGCGGCTGTCAACTCGCTGCTGCAGATGGGCGAGGAGTCCTAGGCCCCGTGCCTGCCTCGCCGCCACGCCGCCCTGGGCGCCGGCCCCCTCCCAACGAGATCCCTGCCCCTCCTCAGTGTCCCGTCGCCAGCCCACCTGTCAGGGATGCAGGTGGGTTTTGGGTTCCGGGCAGCTGCTCTGGACTGCCGGCGGGGGCGGCCGTGGTGGCCTCCCTCCGCACTGAGGGGTGAGCGGGCACGGGGGCCGTGTCCTGTGCACACTCCCTCCCTGGGGATGTGCCCTCGAGTGCTCTGAGCTGCTCCCGAGTGCCCTCTGGCTTGGTCCCTGGCCGTAGTCCCGCCACTTACGGGGACAGACCCGCTACTCACTTAGGTTCGCAGTCCACTGACAGCTGCTTTGGGGTTAGAACTTGCCAACTGAAAACTCCCGTCCCTCCCTCCATGTCTCCCTGGGCCTGGCCGCCCCCTGTGGCCAGGGCCACTGTGGCTTGGCCAGGCTCAGCCACAGTGTCCACCTGCCTGTCCATCCCGCCAGCCCCTGTCACAGCCCCCGCGGTGGCCGGAGTGGGGCTGTTCTAGCTCAGAGGATTCCTGGTCTCTGTCTGCTGTCCGTCAGCTCTGGGGAATGTCAGGCCGAGGGGCAGCTTCCTGTCCTTGGTCGGCTCTCGCACCAGAACCTGAACTCGGGGCAACAAGTAATAGACCTAGTGCTTCGCTAATGGGAGGGAGGGTGCTGGGACTGCGGCTCCACTGACACTCATCTCCGTGAGCACTGGGCAGGGCCGGGCCAGGAAGGGTGGAGACGGTGCCAAAGTCCCCGCAGCCCACGTGCCCACATGCGAGCTGACCCTGGCCCGGCGCTGGCCACGGACACAGCGTGGGGACAGGGTGGGTGGCACCTAGGGAAACTGGAGGAGCTCCTCAGAAATGGCGCCTTTAAGCCCCACCCTGCACGGGACGTGTGTGGCCAGCTGCAGTCAGCGTCCCTCCTCGGCCTCAGCCTGGCCCTGCACCTCCGCTCTTCCGACTCGGCGGCCGTCCTGGCAGCGCGGAGCTGGTGGCTGAGCCGGAGGAGGCTATTTGGCTCCTCCCTCCGGCGTGCGGCTGCTCCTGGGAGCCTGCAGGGTGTGCACGGGCGGCCAGGGTACGGGGCTCGGACCACTTGGTTGGCGAGCGTGGCCCGTCGTCATGCCCGTGTCACGTGCCAGCAGCCGGCTTGTGCCTCGGAAGCCGACTCTGCGAGGAGAGCGCTGGGCAGGCCTGCGGGCCCTGGGGTTTGAGTGGGGGCCTGAGCGGCTCCCACCCTCCAGGGAGGCCCCGTGTGCGGGCGCGGAGTTTTTAGGGTGACCGGCACTGGCCACATCCCTGCTTCTATTTCTCGTGCGCGCTGTTTGTCACCACCCAGAGCCCCGTGTCCCAGGCTGCCGTGCTGAGCAGACGCCGCCACAGCCGCCTGGCCTGTGCCGCCGGCGCCCACAGGGCAGGTGGCATGCGGGGGCCGGGCCAGGCGCCTGCAGATGCTTTCTCTGGCCTCAGCCGGCAGGGGGGGGGGGGGGGGCCGAGGCTGGGCCGCCGAGTCTCCTGAAGGCCCTTCACCACCCCTCGCCCGCCTGCCTGCCAGTGTGGGTGCAAGTGCGTCTTGGAGCCTGTGCTTCTGTCATTCTCCTGGGTCCAGTGTCCAGATTTTCTTTGATTGTAAAGTATATTTTTACTTTTCAGCCTTCTAATTTAATAAATGATCTATATGAAGATAGAGAATTAAAGTCCTTCAGGGAAGTTTACATGTGTGTTTCCGAGTCTTTAAGTTTGCACCTAACAGACACGCTGCAGCGAACTAGCCTGGGACTGGGTGGACGGTCAAAGAGTGGCCAGCTCACCTGACCCCAGCATCACACGGGCCCGGCTTTGGTGAGAGCTGCGGGAGGCCCGGTGGTTGATGCTGGCCAGGTCGGTGTGCACGCTCCTGGCTCTGACCGTGACCCCCTGCCTCCCTGGCAGGTCGTGTGATGCGGCTGGGCCCAGGGGGACCCTCCACCACCCTCCCTCTGCCTCCCAGGTGGCCGGCCGCCCGGAACTGGCCTGCCCTCATGGAGGTCATCTCTGGTCCTTCCTGCAAGGGTCAGGCCCCCAGCCAGGACGCCCTCTGCATCCTGGGCGCAGACGGGCAGTTGCCCGTCCCCCCACGCACATGCAGTATGCTCACAGCTCGACTCGCGGGAGGAAGAAACAGGTGGACACGTGACGGGCCCTGAAGGGACGGGGCCAGTGTGCTGCTCACGCCCCATTGGCTGGCCCAGTTAGCCTCGCTCTGTGCCCCTTTCATAACTAGCCCCGTGCATCTGGAGTGACATGAGGGTGTTTCTGAGCCCTTGGCCCACCTTGGCTCCTGCCAGGGCCCCCAGGCTCCCCTGGCCTCCATACCCGGTCCCGCCCAGCGGGTCCAGCACAAGCCCCCGGGGGCGGGGGGTGCAGCCCGTGGGGCCCCCGGCAGCCCAGCCACAGGGCGGCGGGAGTGATGTCAGGACCAGGTTGTGTACACGATGCTCAGCTTTTATTTGCAAACTCTGACCCCTCCCTCCCCTCCGGCCATCAGCCTCGGCCCCAGGTCCACACATGGGCAGGCAGCACCCCTGATGCGGCTCCTGGAGGCGGCAGGCCTGGGGGACCGCTGTCCGTGGGGGGTCTGCTGTGGAGGGGCCGCAGGAGTCCGTGCTCCATGGGGGGGGGGGGGCGGTGCTGGGGTCAGGCAATGAAGTCTGTCTGGCTTTGCTGGGGAGCGGCCGGCGGGGGCACGCAGGCCAGGTCGCACCTGCACTCGTCGATGTGGGTGTAAGTGTGCCGGACGGCCGTCCCGTCGGGGCACTGCAGGGTCACGGCCTCCTCGTGGGCCCTGGTCTCCTGGCAGCAGGTGCAGCGGCGCTGCATGGCCTGGGCCTCGAGGGAGTACCTGCAGGCACACGGCCCTGAGACGGCGCCCCGCCGGCAGCCCTGTGCCTGAGGCCACGCTCGGGGTCACTGAACCCTGCCACTGCCAGGCACCCTTTCCTCGGAGCCAGCTCCTCAAACTTGCTAACCCGCCGGCCCCTCCAGGACCCTGCCCTGGACCCTGCTCCCCACCTCGGGCCGAGGGCTCTCAGCTGGCCACAGCCCGGCCTCTCGGCTCCCCCAGCAGCTCCGCCCTGAGCCTGGCCCCAGGAAGACCCTGCGTCTGCCCACCCCCAGGTGGACACGGCCCCAGGCGCCGGACGCAGCGCCTGGCTCTGCGGGCCGGAGGCCTCAGGCTTGTGCGGACGGATGTGGAGACGGGCTCCTCTGGGCCCTCCTGACGCAGCTCAGGGTGGCGAGCGCAGGCCAGGCCCCCGGGCACGGAGGGGATGTGTGCCGGGCGGGCTCTGCTGGGGGCGGCTGGGGTGGGGGACACTCACCGGGACTCTCCGGGGCAGGAGCCCTCGCAGAAGGTGAGGTTGACGGGGGCCTCGCAGCCCTGGAGCCGCAGCACCGTCTGGTTGACTCGGGGCTGGCAGGAGTCTGCGCGGAGGAAAGGCAGGGGTGAGGGTCCCCCAGGACCCAGACCGGCCGCTCCCTCCCAGGGTCCCTCCCGCTCAGGATGTGAGTCCAGCAGTCAGGGCAGGAGCCCGGGGGCAGAGGCAGAGGGAGCTGGAGGGCGGGGCGGGAGGCGCCCTGACTTACCCACTTCCTCGCAGGAGTAGCAGCAGCCAGTTTTCCTGAGGATGCCCTGCGAGGGGGACAGGGAGAGCTGGGCGGGGCCCTGGCTCTAGGGCGGGGCCTCAGGAGGGCATGGGCGGGGCCTCGTCGGAGGGCGTGGCGGGCCTCTGGGAGGGGGGCGGGGCCTCCTGAGCCAGACCAGGAGGCCACCAGTCTGGCCAGTTCCCCGGAGACACATACCTTGCAGCTGGACACGTCTGGGCAGGGCAACGGCCTGAGGGTCAGCACGGGGACCCCGCGCTCGTCCTGGCAGAGGTACTCGGTGCAGTTGTCCAGGCTGTTGACCCGGGTCTCGTTGGGCTAGAAGGCAGGGGAGAGGGAGCGGTGGGATTCTCTCAGGCCCAGGAGCCTGGAGAGGGGCTGCCGCCGGGGGAGGGCTGAGACCGCCCCTTACCTGGACCAGCCCGCCGTCCGGCGTGGGGCAGGCCCTCTGCACGCACTCCCCGCAGCACTGCCCGGCCACCGCCAAGTACTCGGAACCCTGGGCCAGAGGGTGGTCATGTCTGCACCCCAGCTCCTCCACCCTCCTGCCCCTCCACACCCCAAGGGCCTGGCAGCCCCATCAGCTGCCCCACACGCCGAAATCGTGCTCCCGCCATGGCCCGGAGGGGAGGGGAGATGGCCCGGCTCTGAGGCTGGGGTGCCCTGTCCTGCCGCAGCCTCACCCCTGCTTCTGGCCCCTCCCTCTGCGTGCCTGCCTGGAACTTCTAGCCCCGCCCACCCCTTTGCCCACCACTTTCCTGCTCTGCAACCTCCCTCTGGGGCAGCGGCCAGGGCTGGGCTGGAGACGGCCCTGGGTCAGGTCCGCTGACGAAGCGGCAGGGGGTGGGGTGGGGGCTCCCCAGGGTCTGTCCACCTGGGGCAGGCTCACCGGGGCACAGGTTTCGTTGCAGGCGTCCTCCTCACAGTGCACGGTGGGCTCCTGGGAGTCCACGGACAGGCAGGTGCACGTGTGGCAGGGAGTGGTCGCGGGGAAGGTTGCACCGACCTTGGGGGGGAGAGGGAGGTGACTGAGGGCGCTGGGGGCGGGCCAGGAGCCTGCCTGCGGCCAGGGGGGCTCGGAGACGAGGCCCACCGGGTGGCTCTTCTTCAGGCGGATTTATGGCTGTGCCCCCGCCAGCAGAGCCCCAGGCAGGGCAGGGCTGGCGTGGGCAGGCACCGGGCAGCCACGGCGCTGGGAGGGCCGGTGCTGCCCGAGGACCTTTCCCCTTCCCCTGGGAGGAAGCTGCAGGGAGACACTGAGGCTGAACTCTGCACAGGCGCCTCTCCCAGCCCCCCCCCAGGCCACGGAGCCCCCCAGGCCATAAAGCCTCTCAGGCTATGGAGTCCCCCTGCCACGAAGCCCCCCGGCCACGGAGCCCCCCGGCCATGAAGCCTCCCGACCATGGAGCCCTTACCCCGTAGACGGTGTCATTGTAGGCGCACAGCTTGGGCCCTGAAAGGAGAGGGAAGGCTGAGGCCTGCCTGGCGGGGGGCGGGGGGGAGGGGAGAGAAGGGAACACCCCGGAGAGCCCCACTCACGGCAGCGGAAGGAGTGGCAGCAGCCGCCCTCCTCCTGGGCGGGGACCAGCTCCTCTCCGGGCCCACATGTCGGGGCGCGCTGGGGGCAGCTGGTCGTGTTGCAGACTGTGGAGAGGCAGAGGCGGGTGCTGTCGGGGACCTCGCCCTCCCCTCCGAGCTGCTTCCCAGTGTGACGGGCTTCCCCACGCTGGAGCCCAGGAAGTACTTTCCCGGGGGCTGACCGCTCTGCGGCCCTTCTGCGCCCTCCCTGGCCCTGCCCCCGTGCCTGGCAGACCGAGGCACCAGCCTCCTTTGTAGGGAATGAAGCCCAGAGGCCGCCCCGCTCATGGCACAGCCGGGGCACCTGGCCTCAGTGGCCTCATTGCAGCCCTGGCGCCTGGTGGCTGTGCCCTGGGCCCTCCCCTCGCTCACCGCACAGCGTCTCCAGGCAGCACGGCTTGTCTGCCAGCGGCCTGGTCACAGCCACGAAGCCCGCCAGGCCGCACTCCCGGGGCAGCTCCCGGGCCTCGCACTGCACGGGCGTGCACTGCACTGACACCGAGCCCGCGTCGCACACGCAGTCCTGGCAGTTGCTGAGCCACCGCTCTCCAGGCTGCAACAGAGCAGGCCAGGGTCCCGAGGGCTCAGCCCAGCCTCTGCTGGCCAGGTCGGCCCTCGCCCCAGCCCCTCGGAGCAGCCCAGTGACCGGAGGCAGGCACCCAGGTGCCCCACCCAGCTGAGGCCCCTCCCTCCCTCTCTTCCTCCCTCCTTCCCTCCCTCCCTCTCTCCCTCCTCCCTCCTTCCTTCTCTCTCCCTCCTCCCTCCCTCTGCTTGAGCTAGGTGGGGCCGGCTGCGGGCAGAGCCACTTACAAATTTGGGGAACCCATCTGGCCCCACGCAGGCTGGAAGAGAAGGAGAAGGGGGTCACGGGGGTCCTGGGGTTCATAGCTGGTAGCAGAGGCCACAGGCCGAAGGGACAGGTCCTCCGGGGCCCGGCCACTCCCAGCCTCTCGTCCCCCTGGGAGCCAGAGCCTGGAACCAAGGGCTCCAGGCCACAGGGCCGCGGGCAGAGGGTGGCACTGGGCAGAGGGTGGCGCTGGGCTGAGGGTGGCACTGGGCTGGGGGTGGCACTGGGCAGAGGGTGGCGCTGGGCAGAGGATGGTGCTGGGCTGAGGGTGGCCGCGGACAGAGGGTGGCACTGGGCTGAGGGTGGCCGCGGACAGAGGGTGGCACTGGGCTGAGGGTGGCACTGGGCAGAGGGTGGCGCTGGGCTGGGGGTGGCGCTGGGCTGGGGGTGGCGCTGGGCTGAGGGTGGTGCTGGGCAGAGGGTGGCGCTGGGCTGGGGGTGGCGCTGGGCTGGGGGTGGCACTGGGCTGAGGGTGGCGCTGGGCTGAGGGTGGCGCTGGGCTGGGGGTGGCTGCGGACAGAGGGTGGCGCTGGGCTGAGGGTGGCGCTGGGCAGAGGGTGGCACTGGGCAGAGGGTGGTGCTGGGCTGAGGCTGCTGTGGCCACGGAAGGGGACGGGCCCGGCACAGGCCCCGGCAGGGACGCCCGCCGGCGCCTCCCCTGGGCAGGGCGGGCATGCTTACGGCACTCGGGCACGCAGAGGTCCGTGTGGGCGTTGAAGAGGGTCCGGCCGTCGGGGCAGAAGCAGCCCTCCGCCAGCGCCGCGCTCTGGGGGCGCTGGGTCCTGTGGGGGAGGAGGCAGGCCTGTCCCTGAGCCACGTGCACGGGCAGTCCACGGAGGGGCCGCGGGCGTGGACGGGGTTGGTGGGCTGCCTGGGCGTCCCATGGGCCAGGGCGGGGCCAGGGCACCCCAGAGCCCCGCCCCCCGCAGCTCCCAGGCCCTCCGGCCGGGCTCACCTGGCGTCGCAGGAGGCGGGCTGCAGGGGGCCGCAGGGCTTGTACACCTTGCCGTGTGGGCAGGGCAGCTCTGGGGGCAGAGACGGGTGTCAGGCTGGCAAGCGGGCCAGGCCCCGCCCCCCCCTCTCCCCAGAGGCTGCCCCCAGCTCACCGCACAGCCCGCCCGTGGCGTTTCGCCAGTCGCTGCAGGCGCCCCGGGCCCGGCAGAGCGCCGCGTAGGCCTCCAGGCTCTGGCAGGCCACCCCGGGGCGGTCAGCCCGGCAGGCGTCCTGGACGCAGGCGCGGAAGAACAGGCTGGGCGGGATGAGGTCGTGGCACTCGGCGAAGATGCTGCGGGCAGGGGCGGGCGGGCAGGGGCGGGCGGTCAGAGGTGGGAGCAGAGCTGGGCTCCGTGCCCCGGGGTGACCACGCCCTCGGAGGGACTCACTGGCTCAGCATCAGCTCGCAGAGGGGCTGCGGGGGGCACGGGGTGGGGGCGGGCGTGGTGGGCGCCGGCGAGGGGGGTCTGGTGGTCACGGGTGGGCCTGTGGGGGCCCAGCAGCCTTCCTTGTCGGTCTCGGGGACCAGCCAGGCGCTGGCCATGTCCTGGCAGGTGGGGGCGATGGTGCCATCCGGCAGGCGGCAGTCGTCCGTCTGGCTGTTGGTGCAGGTGCCTGGGGGCGGGGCCGGAGGGTCATTGCAAGGCCGCCCCCCCACCTCCCTGGGGCCACACGGTTAGTGATGGGGAGGCAGGCCTGGCCTGGGGCGGGCGGCAGGGGTGGGGAGGCCACCCGGGGCCTGGACAGGACGGGAGGGAGGAGGAGGAGGTGCCCTGCAGCGCCCCCTGTGCACGCACCGCACTGGCCCTCGGTGTTGTGGCCGAAGAGGCCGTAGGACAGCCGGAGCTGGAAGGCCTGCCCGTCGAAGGTGATGCTGAGCCCGATGGCCAGGATGTCCACGCGCATCGCGGCGCTCGCCGGCATGGACACGCTCACGCCGTTCTGGCTGAAGCCGTGGCTCACCCGCACGCCGTCAAACAGGACCTGGGGGCGCAGGGGGCGCCGTCACGGGGGAGGGTCAGGGCCCGGGGCTCCCTCAGGCTGGGGCCCGCCCGCCCGCACGCCTGCCGGCACGCACCAGGCCCTCCTGCCCGCTGGCGGCCGGCTCGGTGGTGAGGACGACCTCCGAGGACGCGTAGCGCAGGCGCAGGGCGCGGGGGCAGCGGGCGGGGGCGGAGGCGGGGGCCCCGCAGTGCTGGTTGTCCAGGAGGACGCTGAGGTTCCCGTGGCGCGGCCGGATCTCCCTCATGAGCACGTGCGTGCAGTTGTCCCAGAAGGTGTAGGGGGTGCCGTCGAAGGTGACGAAGTGGGAGTCCCCCCAGCTGCTGCAGGAGCCTGCGGACGCACAGCCTCAGCCAGCGCCACGCACTGGCGTGTACTCAGCGTGGCCTCTGTGCCTCATGGTGAACGGGGCGGGGGCCTTGGCCGGCCCTACGGTGGGACCTGCCACTCGGCTGCGGATGGGCTCTCGTTGCGGGGCTTTCGGGGTGAGGCCTCCGGGTAACCCCGTGGCCCTCAACCCAGTGGTGAGGGCCCTCCGTGGGGCCGGGGAGGGGAGGGCCGCCTGAAGGCAGGGCGGAGACGGTGAGAGACCAGGGCCCAGACGGGACGGGATGGATGGGACGAGGCAGGAAGGACTGTCCCTGGAGGTGCAGGGAGGGGTGGCCTTGGGGATGGGAGAAGTCCCTCCTGCTGCTGGGAAGCGCTGTCCAAGGTCCCTCCGGGGCAGCCCCGTGGGGGCGCTCAGGACCCCGAAGCGGGCCCTGGAGCCCCGATTCGCCCCAGGGCCCCGCGGCCCTGTGTGCGCTCACACGGCCCGCCCCCCGCCCGGGCTCACATTCGCACTCGTAGTGGAAGCGGCAGGGCTCCTGCGGGCTCGGCACCTTGACGGGCAGGTACCCGTTCACACAGGAGACCGGGGCCACGGGCTGCGGCTCCAGCAGGACGATGTGGTTGTCGCCCTCGCACCGCGCCACCGTGCAGTCCTCCAGCGTCCACGACTCGTTCACCTGCGGACGGCAGGCCGGCTCCACCACCTGCCACAGCCTCCGGGGCCCAGCCCGCCCCCTCCCGCCAGAGCGCCCGGGGAGGGGTCCCCGGGCTGGGGCCCGCCCCACGGGAGCCAGGGCAGCCCCTGGCCGCACGCACAGGACGGCAGGCGAGGCGGGAGGGGGCGCGCACCTGCCGGGGAGGGTCCGCGAGGTCACAGCCGGGAGTTGGCGTGGTCAGGGGCACCCAGGTCGTGGTCGGGGGCTCCGGGGGCAAGGAGGTGGGGCAGGCGCCCTGGTAGCGGTCGAGCTCGCACTGCTGGTTGCAGACGGCGTAGAAGTGGCAGCCGGCCAGGTCCGTCCTGTTGTACACCACGTCCCCTGGGGGGAGGGGACACACCCGTCAGCCAGGCATGCCGCCACCAGCACCTGCCACGGGGCGGGCGGGGCGCAGAGCCTGGAACGGGGTGCCAGGTGGGCTGTCCTTAGGACTGGGACGGAGCCTCACTCACCTGGTAAGAAGAGCTGTCCAAACGCCAGGCACCGGCAGGGGGTGGTGGGCGTGGCCGTGCTGGTGGGCGTGGCCGTGCTGGTGGGCATAACCGTGCTGGTGGGTCTAGCTGTGCTGGTGGGCGTGGCCGTGCCGGTGGGCGTGGCCATGCCGGTGGTCCTGGCCATCTTGGTGGGTATGGCTGTGCTGGTGGGCGTGGTCATGGCTGTGCTGGTGGGCGTGGTCATGGCCATGCTGGTGGGCGTGGCCGTGCCGGTGGGCGTGGCCGTGCTGGGGCAGTGGCGGTAGTCGTCACAGCAGAGCACCCGGATCTGGTAGTTGAAGCACATCTTGAAGACGCCGGGCTGGTCGCGGTTGCGGCACACCAGGCCCTCCTCCAGCCGGCACTGCACCACCTGGCCCAGCTGCTCCAGGGGCACGTCGGGCAGCCTCTCGGCGCGGCACTCCAGGCCCTCGGGCCGCTCGCAGACGGGCCGGCCGGCCGCCCGCATGTTGGCGTAGGTCTCAAAGTCCCCCCCGGAGGCCCCGGGCATGGGGTAGCTCTGGTCCAGCCAGCCGGTCCAGGCGCAGCGAGGCTGGCAGGCAGTGGGCGTGGCCCCTGAGGTCACGGGGCGGGAGGGCGGGGTGAGCGAGGTCCGGACCTCAGTCGGGGAACCTGTGGCCAAGCTGGTGGGTGTGGTCATGGCCTTGCTGGTGGGCGTGGCTGTGCCTGTGGTCCTGGCCGTCTTGGTGGGAGTGGCCATGCTGGTGGGCGTGGCCATGCTGGTGGGCTTGGCCGTGCCGGTGGGTATGGCTGGGCCTGTGGTCCTGGCCGTCTTGGTTGGCATGGTCTTGCTGGTGGGCAAGGCTGTGCTGGTGGGAGTGGCCGTGCTGGTAGGAGTGGTCGTGCTGGTGGGCATGGCTGTGCCTGTGGAACTGGCCGTCTTGGTGGGCATGGCCGTGCTGGTGGGTGAGGTCATGGGTGTGCTGGTGGTCATAACTGTGCTGGTGGGCGTGGCTGTGCTGGTGGTTGTGGCTGTGCCTGTTGTCCTGGCCATCTTGGTGGGCGTGGCCCTCTTTGTGGGCATGGCTGTGCTGGTGGTCATAACTGTGCTGGTGGGCGTGGCCGTGCTGGTGGGCGTGGCCGTGCTGGTGGTCATGGCTGTGCCTGTGGAACTGGCCGTCTTGGTGGGCGTGGCCGTGCTGGTGGTCATGGCTGTGCCTGTGGAACTGGCCGTCTTGGTGGGCATGGCCGTGCTGGTGGTCATGGCTGTGCCTGTGGAACTGGCCGTCTTGGTGGGCATGGCCGTGCTGGTGGTCATGGCTGTGCCTGTGGAACTGGCCGTCTTGGTGGGCATGGCCGTGCTGGTGGGCATGGCTATACTGGTGGGCGTGGCCATGCTGGTGGGAGTGGCCGTGCTGGTGGGTGAGGTCATGGGTGTGCTGGTGGTCATAACTGTGCTGGTGGGCGTGGCCGTGCTGGTGGGAGTGGCCGTGCTGGTGGGAGTGGCCGTACTGGTAGGAGTGGTCGTGCTGGTGGGCGTGGCCGTGCTGGTGGTCATGGCTGTGCCTGTGGAACTGGCCGTCTTGGTGGGCATGACTGTACTGGTGGGCGTGGCCGTGCCGGTGGGCGTGGCCGTGCCGGTGGGCGTGGCCGTGCTGGGGCAGTGGCGGTAGTCGTCACAGCAGAGCACCCGGATCTGGTAGTTGAAGCACATCTTGAAGACGCCGGGCTGGTCGCGGTTGCGGCACACCAGGCCCTCCTCCAGCCGGCACTGCACCACCTGGCCCAGCTGCTCCAGGGGCACGTCGGGCAGCCTCTCGGCGCGGCACTCCAGGCCCTCGGGCCGCTCGCAGACGGGCCGGCCGGCCGCCCGCATGTTGGCGTAGGTCTCAAAGTCCCCCCCGGAGGCCCCGGGCATGGGGTAGCTCTGGTCCAGCCAGCCGGTCCAGGCGCAGCGAGGCTGGCAGGCAGTGGGCGTGGCCCCTGAGGTCACGGGGCGGGAGGGCGGGGTGAGCGAGGTCCGGACCTCAGTCGGGGAACCTGTGGCCAAGCTGGTGGGTGTGGTCATGGCCTTGCTGGTGGGCGTGGCTGTGCCTGTGGTCCTGGCCGTCTTGGTGGGAGTGGCCATGCTGGTGGGAGTGGTCGTGCTGGTGGGCGTGGCCATGCTGGTGGGCATGGCCGTGCTGGTGGGTATGGCTGGGCCTGTGGTCCTGGCCGTCTTGGTTGGCATGGTCTTGCTGGTGGGCAAGGCTGTGCTGGTGGGAGTGGCCGTGCTGGTAGGAGTGGTCGTGCTGGTGGGCATGGCTGTGCCTGTGGAACTGGCCGTCTTGGTGGGCATGACCGTGCTGGTGGGTGAGGTCATGGGCGTGCTGGTGGTCATAACTGTGCTGGTGGGCGTGGCCGTGCTGGTGGGCGTGGCTGTGCTGGTGGTTATGGCCGTGCTGGTGGGTGAGGTCATGAGCTTGGTGCTGGTGGTCATAACTGTGCTGGTGGGCGTGGCCGTGCTGGTGGGAGTGGCCGTGCTGGTAGGAGTGGCCGTACTGGTAGGAGTGGTCGTGCTGGTGGGCGTGGCCGTGCTGGTGGGCGTTGCTGTGCCTGTGGTCCTGGCCGTCTTGGTGGGCATTGCCGTCTTGGTGGGCATGGCTGTACTGGTGGTTGTGGCCGTCTTGGTTGGCATGGTCTTGCTGGTGGGCGAGGCTGTGCTGGTGGGAGTGGCCGTGCTGGTAGGAGTGGCCGTACTGGTAGGAGTGGTCGTGCTGGTGGGCGTGGCCGTTCCGGTGGGCTTGGCTGTGCCTGTGGGCCTGGCCGTCTTGGTGGGCGTGGCCATGCCGGTGGGCGTGGCCGTGCCGGTGGGCGTGGCCGTGCTGGGGCAGTGGCGGTAGTCGTCACAGCAGAGCACGCGGATCTGGTAGTTGAAGCACATCTTGAAGACGCCGGGCTGGTCGCGGTTGCGGCACACCAGGCCCTCCTCCAGCCGGCACTGCACCACCTGGCCCAGCTGCTCCAGGGGCACGTCGGGCAGCCTCTCAGCGCGGCACTCCAGGCCCTCGGGCCGCTCGCAGACGGGCCGGCCGGCCGCCCGCATGTTGGCGTAGGTCTCAAAGTCCCCCCCGGAGGCCCCGGGCATGGGGTAGCTCTGGTCCAGCCAGCCGGTCCAGGCGCAGCGAGGCTGGCAGGCAGTGGGCGTGGCCCCTGAGGTCACGGGGCTGGAGGGCGGGGTGAGCGAGGTCCGGACCTCAATCGTGGAGCGTGTGGCCGTGGGGGCGACTGGTGAAGGGCCCGGGGTGGTGCTTGGCAGGGAGGTGGTGGTCAGGGGGACGGGGGACGATGAAGAGGCCCTGGAGCTGGGCCCTGGGCTGGAGGTGGCCCTGGTGGTGGGCGTCCCGGGGGCGGGGGTGCTCCCGGGAGGCGCGGAGGGGGCCGCCGTGGTGGTCCCCGGGGCGGGAGAGGGGCAGTGGCGGTAGTCGTCGCAGCAGAGCAGGCGCACGTGGTAGTTGAGGCACATCCTGAACCGGCCGCGCTGGTCACGGTTGCGGCACACCAGCCCGGAGCCCACGTCGCACTGCACAACCTGGCCCAGGTCCTCCAGTCTCGCGTCCGGCGCCTTTTCTGACCGGCACTCGATGTCCTGAGGCTGCTCGCAGAAGTCGTGGCCGGCCGAGCGGAGGGCCGAGAGCGTCTCAAAGTCCCCGCCGTCGGGGCCGGGGGTGGGGTAGTCCTCGTCGAGCCAGTCTGTCCACGTGCAGCGCGGCTGGCAGGCCCCGGGGCTGGTGGAGGTCACGGAGGTGGTGGAGGTCACGGTTGGCTTCAGGGAGCTGGCGGGCAGGGAGGTCCGTGTGGGGGTGGTGAGCAGGCGTGTCGTGTGGGGGGCACTGGATGAGGCTGGCCTGGCAGTTGTGGTCAGGGTCCCGGGGGAGGCAGAGGGGCTTGGGACAGGGGGCCACTCGGTGGTCCTGAGGGAGGTGCGAGGCCTCTGGGTGGGCGGGACGCTCTGGGTGGTCCTGGCAGTAGAGGGCCCAGTCTCAGTGGTGGGGACGGTGATCCTGTCTTTGTTGCTGGGGGACGGGGGGAGTGACTGGTTGGTGGCCCCAGAAGTCTGCTGGCCGGTGCTGATGGGCGTGGCCGTGCTGGTGGTCCTGGACGTGCCGGCGGGCGTGGCCGAATCGGTGGGCGTGGCCGAGCCGGTGGGCGTGGCCGAGCCGGTGGTCATGGCCGTGCTGGGGCAGTGGCTGTAGTCGTCACAGCAGAGCACGCGGATCTGGTAGTTGAAGCACATCTTGAACCAGCCGTCCTGGTCGCGGTTGCGGCACACCAGGCCCTCCTCCAGCCGGCACAGCACCACCTGGCCCAGCTGCTCCAGGGGCACGTCGGGCAGCGACGTTGCCTGGCACTCCAAGCCCTGGGGCCGCTCGCAGACGGGCCGGCCGGCCGCCCGGATGTTGGCGTAGGTCTCAAAGTCGCCGCCACTGCGGCCGGGCGAGGGGTAGTCCACGTCGAACCAGTCAGTCCAGGCGCACTGCGGCACACAGGCCCCCGTCGTCGAGGATGCTGGGGCAGGCGAGACGGAGCTGGAGGGCAGGGGGGTCCGCACGGTGGACCTGGTGGCCGAGGTCCCAGGTGTGGTCCGTACGGGGGAGGTGGCCAGGGTGGCTGTGTGGGGGGCGCCGGACGTGGCGGCCGTCGAGGGCAGGCCCGGGGTGGATGGCGCGGGCGGCGGCGTGGGGGAGGCGGGGCAGCGGCCGGCGCCGTCGCAGCAGAGCACGCGGACGTTGTAGTTGAAGCACATGGTGAACGGGCCCCTCTGGTCCCGGTTCCTGCACACCAGCCCGGCCTGCAGGCTGCAGCTCACCACCTGCCCGATCTGGTCCAGGCTCACCTCCGGGTAGCTCTCCGCGCGGCACTCGATCTTCTGCGGCTCCCGGCACATCTTGCCGCCGGCCGCCCTGATGTTGTCGAAGGTCTCCATGTCTCCGCCCGTGACCCCCGAGGTGGGGAAGTCCACGTCAAACCACTCTGTCCACTCGCACCTGGGCTCGCAGGCAGTCGTGCTCTGGCTGCTGGTGGCTTCCGCGGTGGCGGGGGAGGTGGTGGTGCTGGAAGTGGCTATGGCTGAGATGGTACTGGCTGTGGCTGGGCTGGCGCTGGTGGTGGGGGGGGTGGCAGTGGAGGAGGCGGTGGCAGTGGAGGAGGTGGTGGCAGTGGAGGAGGTGGTGGCAGTGGAGGTGGAGGTGGTGGTGCTGGTAGCAGCAGGGGTGGCAGTGGCTGTGGTGGTAGCAGTGGAGGAGGTAGTGGCTGTGGCAGTGGCTGTGGCGGCGGTGGTGGCAGTGGAGGAGGCGGTGGCAGTGGAGGAGGTGGTGGCAGTGGAGGAGGCGGTGGCAGTGGAGGAGGTAGTGGCTGTGGTGGGGGCAGTGGCTGTGGTGGTGGCGGCGGTGGCGGTGCTGGCGGGGGCGGGCGTGGGCTCCCCGCAGTGGCCGCGGCTGCAGCACAGCAGGCGGATCCTGTAGTTGTAGCACATCTTGAACGGGCCCACCTGCTCGTCGTTCCTGCAGACCAGGCCGAAGCTGGGGTCGCAGTGCACCAGCTGGCCCAGCTCCTCGGGCCTCCGGTCCGGGTAGCTCTCCGCGCGGCACTCGATCTTCTGCGGCTCCCGGCACATCTTGCCGCCGGCCGCCCTGATGTTGTCGAAGGTCTCCATGTCTCCGCCCGTGACCCCCGAGGTGGGGAAGTCCACGTCAAACCACTCTGTCCACTCGCACCTGGGCTCGCAGGCAGTCGTGCCCTGGCTGCTGGTGGCTTCCGCGGTGGCGGGGGAGGTGGCGGATGTGGTGGTGCTGGTGGTGGTGAAGGAGGCAGTAGCTGTGGCAGGGATGGCACTGAATGTGGCTGGGATGACACTGGCTGTGGCTGGGCTGGCGCTGGTGGCGGCGGGGGTGGCAGTGGAGGTGGAGGTGGTGGTGGAGGTGGTGGAGGTGGTGGAGGTGGTGCTGGTAGCAGCAGGGGTGGCAGTGGCGGTGACGGTGGCAGTGGAGGAGGCGGTGGCAGTGGAGGAGGCAGTGGCAGTGGAGGAGGTAGTGGCTGTGGTGGGGGCAGTGGCTGTGGTGGTGGCAGTGGCTGTGGCGGTGGCGGCGGGGGCGGTGCTGGCGGGGGCGGGCGTGGGCTCCCCGCAGTGGCCGCGGCTGCAGCACAGCAGGCGGATCCTGTAGTTGTAGCACATCTTGAACGGGCCCACCTGCTCGTCGTTCCTGCAGACCAGGCCGAAGCTGGGGTCGCAGTGCACCAGCTGGCCCAGCTCCTCGGGCCTCCGGTCCGGGAAGTTCACCGCGCGGCACTCGATGCCCTGCGGCCGCTCGCACACCTGGCCGCCAGCACTCCGGATCCTGTCGTAAGACTCGATGTCGCCCCCGGCCTCCTCGGACTTGGGGTAATCCTCATCGAACCACTGCGTCCACTGGCATCGGGGCTGGCAGGCGGTGCCCGTGGCCTGGGCGCTGCTCGCTGCCGGCGGCTCTGTCGTCCGGGAGGCCACGGCCGACGTTGCCCGGGTGGGGGAGGTGTGCGGGGGCGAGGGGGCGGGCTCGGGGCTGGTGCCCGGGGGCGTGCCGCATGGCACGTAGTCGCAGCAGAGGACCCGCAGCTCGTAGTTGTGGCACAGCGGGGGGCTCTGCTCGCTGTTGAGGCACCGGAGCCCGAGCAGCGGGCTGCACTCCACCTTCTGGCCCAGCTGCTCCAGGGGCACGTCCGGCAGCCGCCGGGCACGGCACTCGACCCGGGCCGGCGCTGGGCACACCTGGTGGCCCCTCTGCCTCAGGTCCGCAAACGTCTCGAAGTCCCCGCCTCCCATGCCCGGCTCTGGGCGGCCGCTGTCGTACCAGGGGGACCAGCGGCACAGCTCTCGCACGCACACGGTGGAGAGCGTGGGGACCGGACCTGTGGGGTGGGCAGGCCCGTCAGCCTCCTCCGCGTCCTGGTAGTCGCGCCCGGGAGGAGGGCGGCCCAGGGCCCGGGGCCCTCGGGTCTCGGCGGGTCCCGGCCCGTCTCTGCGCCCAGGACTGCTGCCCCAGTGCTGCTGGGCGCTCCCTCCCTCCCAGGTCACCCACCTGTGGTGAAGGGTGGGGTCACCGTGGAGGTGAAGGTGAAGGGCGTGGTGGTCGGGGCTTCGGGACACTCCACGGTCCTCCGCGAGATGGTCCCGTTGCTGCCGCAGACGGCCACCAGGCAGGCGCCGAGCCCGTCGGTCGTGTTGTAGATGACCTCCCCGAAGCCGTAGGTCCTGCCCTCGTAGGTGCACTTGCAGGCTGCGGGAGGGGGCAGGTGCAGCGCTCCGCGGGGGGCCCAGCCCCCAACCCCACCCCACCAACCGGACCCCTCCTTACCCTCCAGGCTGTACGCGCATCGGAGGCCCCCAGGGGTGCAGTCACTGCAGGAGAGAACGGAGCTGAGGGCCAGCGAGGGCCAGCGAGGGCCAGAGGGGGACGCCCCACCCTGCCGGCCACTTCCGCCCCCCTCCGCCCCCTCTCACCGGGCCCCGCCCCTCAGCCCCGCCCCTCCCACCAGGCCCGCCCCTCAACCGCTCTGCCCTGCCCCACCCCTCAACTCTACCCCCATCCCGCCAGGCCCCGCCCCCGCCCGCCAGGCCCCGCCCCTCACCAGCTCTGGCAGTTCTCTGCTGTGGGCACCTTAGCACCAACATCGTAGTAGTTCCCGTCGTCATCGTAGCAGCCACACTGGGCCACACACCTCATCTGGTCCTCACTGAAGAACGGCTTGCTGGGCGGGCACTTTGGGTAGCAGCCTGGGGCGGGCACAGGCGGGACAAGGCTCGCCCTCTGGGGCCAGGCGGTCCGTGCTGCCCTGGCCCGGGGCTGGGGGAGTGCAGTGGGCCAGTGGCAGGAGCCCCACACCCCCCCGGCACCCGCCCAGCCCCTGACACGGGTGCGAGGCCCTGGGAGGATGCGGTATAGCCCCGGGCAGCCGCCCTCACCTTCCTGGCCCGGCAGGTCCATCAGGCAGCGTCCGCGGGGGTTCCGGCAGGTCCGCAGGCAGGGCGCCCCGCAGGCCTGGTAGTGCCACTCGCACTGGCCCTCGGGGTTGTAGTAGTCGCAGAACAGGGCTGAGCGAGGAGGACAAGGCTAAGGGTGATGCCGCCGCCCGTGCCCTGGGTGCAGGGCCGGCCCAGCTACCCCCCCACCCCCACCCGGCGTGGAGGTCCCAGGGGCCCGGCCCTGGCACTCATGGCAACTTCGCTTCTCAGCCCTGGACGAGGCCTGGGGTCCTCCCGCTTGGGGCGACCCATCTGTCCGGTTCTTATGGACACGTCTGTGCGCGCACACCGAGCGCCTGGGTGCAGCGCGCCGCCTCCCGCCTGCCCGCCCCCCGCCCTTCAGCACCGCGGACAGAGCCCGACTCACGGCAGACGTCCGGGCTGCGCCAGGCCACGCACACGCCCGCGTCGCGGCAGGCCTGGGCGTAGGCGGCCACGGCCGTGCAGAAGCACTCGCAGTCGCCGCCCGAGTCGCAGGCGCACGCGTCGCTCACGCAGGCCTCGTAGTACGGGGCCGGCTCCACCTGCGGGGACAGGCCTCAGGCTCCGCCCCCCCGCCCCAGGGTGCTGGCGGCTTCCGGCCTGCGCTGTGGAGCTCGGGCACAGCAAAGGCAGGCTCCCCACGGGGTGTCCTGACCCCAGTCCTCCCCCTCCCCCCTGCCCCCTCCCTCCCCCCTCCTCCCTCCCCCCTCCCTCCCCCCTCCCCCCTCCTCCCTCCCCCCTCCTCCCTCCCTCCCCCCTCCTCCCTCCCCCCTCCCCCCTGCTCCCTCCCTCCCCCCTCCCCCCTCCTCCCTCCCTCCCCCCTCCTCCCTCCCCCCTGCTCCCTCCCTCCCCCTCCCCCTCCCCGCAGGCTCCGGAGGGAGGCGCGTACGTGGGCGTGGCAGGCCCGGAAGGTGGCACTGTTGAGGAGGCTGCACTGCCGCTGGGCCCAGGACCTGCGGTAGGGGTTGGCGGTGCAGGGGTCCCGGGGGGCCGGGGCGTCGGGGCAGGTGGGGGAGAACTTCCAGCTGTTGCCGAACTCCAGAGCGCCGCCCACCACGGACTGGCTGCGCGTGGTGAAGTCGTTGCCGGCGTTGTCGTCGAAGTTCCCGCACAGCCCGCACACCCGCCCCTGCAGACGCAGAGGCAGAGGACGGGCATGTGGCGCTGGGGCTGCAGGGGGCAGCCTGGCCTGGGGGCGGGGAGTGCAGGGCCCCCGGGTCCCCCAGGCAGCACCCAGTAACCTGGCAGGAGGTCAGGGTGCAAGTGGGTCCTGCCTTGGACGAGGCCAGGCGGGCAGGTGGGCAGGTGAACAGATAGGTAGACAGGCAGTCAAATGGGCAGGTGAGCAGGCAGGCAGGTGGTCAGAGCAGCAGAGGGGCAGGTGGGCAGGTGGGCAGGTGGACAGAGCAGCAGAGGGGCAGGTGGGCAGGTGGGCAGGTGGGCAGAGCAGCAGACAGTCACCCGCCTCCCTGTAGGACCTCAGCCCAGTGGCCGTGGAGTTGCTGAGCGGAGACGGGGAGCGGAACAGCTGTCCGCCAGGATGTGGCACACCGTTGGTCTGCCGGCCTCCCCCCCTCACAGACCACAGCTGCTGGGGCCCCGCAGGCCGGTGCTCACCTTGTAGTCCTGGTGCAGCCGGATGAACACGCTGGTCCTGCGGTCCCAGGACAGGACCAGGCCGCTGCGGGTCTCGATGGCCAGGTGGGTGCCCATGTAGCGGACCCTGTAGGGCAGGTCTGCGCCCGGCCCCCGCTGCAGCACCTTGTAGGTGCCCTCGTGGAGGAGCAGCTCGTAGTTCTGCGAGGGCACAGGGAGCTGAGTGGCCCGCGCCCGCCCCGCGGCCGGGCAGAGGCCCCATGGGTGCTCAGGGGCCCAGGGCCCAGGGCTGGCATGAAGGCTGAGCCGGGCTCCTGACGCGTCTGTGAACTCCGGGTGAGAGACTGGGCAGGGTGTGCTGGGAGCTGGGCACTGTGCGGCACGCCGGGGGTCTCGGCAAGCAGAGGGGGCTAGGGCACGGCGGGTGGCACCCGGCTCCCCTGGAGGCCCTGCTCTGCCTTCAGCACTTCACTCCCCCTCCCCCCCATGACCCCACCCCAGCCCCCCCATGCTCCTCCTTGCTCTGCGGGCAGACGCCCAGCCAGAGCTATGCTCCCTGCCAGTAAGCGCCAACCCCCTCTCCTGGACAGGGCGTCCCGGGGCAGTGGGCTGAGCGGACCTGGGCACGGGACCTCATTTGGAAAAGGAGTCTTTGCAGATGTGACTGGCTAAAGGACCTGGAGGTGTCCTGGATTGGGGGTGTCCCCCCAAGAGAGGAGCAGGACCCACAGAGATGCCACGTGATGCCAGAGGCAGCGGCAGGAGGGGTGTGGCCACCAGTCCTGAGGGGGGAGGGGATAGGGGGAGGGGGGGTGGGGGGGGCGGGACCCTCCGCTGAGCCTTCTGATAGGCGTGGCCCTGACACGGGCTGTCTGGTTTGAAGCGTCCACTTGCGTGTCAACAGGACACAGGGCAGCGGACGGGCCGGGCACCCCAGGGCTGGGGACCCCCGGGTGCGCCGTCGGCGGCCAAGGCAGGGAGGGCGTCCCAGTCACCCCTCACCTCCAGGAAGAGCTTGATGGCCTTGGAGCAGGTGGCGCCCGTGGTCCCACAGGCGATGTTCTCGGTGACGATGCGGAAGGTGCCGTTGCTGCTGCTGTTGCCCCCGCAGTAGTCCTGGGGCAGGAGAGAGGAGGCGGGTCAGGCAGGGATCAGGCGGCCTGTGGGCGGGGCGGGCGGGCGGGCGGGCGGGCGGGCATGGGGGCCGCACCTGGGCCAGCGTGTACTCGCAGCTGCCCTCGAAGCTGTACCGCTCGCCGTCAAAAGTGATGAAGTGGCCGTCCCCGTAGGCCACGCAGGTGCCCAGGCAGGGCCGGCGGCTGCACTCCCACTTGCGGCTCCGGCAGGTGCTGCGGGCAGAGGCGTGTCCTGCTCACCGGCCGCGGCGGGACCAGAACGGGCACCCAGCCCTGCCTGCCCCTCAGCGGGGTCCCGGGAAGCAGCTTCTGCGGCCCTGGCACCTGCTGGGCAGGGCCGGCCCGGGCACCTCCCAGGGAGGGATGGGAACACGGGGGCCTCCCCAGGGGAGGCGCAGGGCCGGCCTCAGCTCCCCAGCCACGGTCCATGCGGCCCTCCAGCCGCTGCTCTCGGCCCACCCGCAGCCCCGTGGCGGAGGCCACGGACCCACCAGGTGTTGCAGTCGACCCTGATGGTGTCCCCGGGCCTGTAGGCGGCGTCGTTGTGCAGACAGGGGCAGTCCTCCTCGGCCACGCAGCCCCTGCTCCCGTCGGACACCAGCCCCGGGGGGCAGACGCAGCCGGACACGCAGTGAGTGCTGAACTGTGGACGGAGTGCGGGTCAGCAGTGCGTCCCCCGCTGCAGCCCACGCTGCCCATCGGGGCCCAGGCTCGGGGGCACTCCGCAGGGCAGGGGTGTGGCCGTGCCCTCAGGCGGGCTGACTCACGCAGTCCACGTCCAGCGTATGGCAGCTCCGGAGGCACTCGGCGCCCGGCGTGCCGGCCGAGGCGTTGCGGCAGTCCAGGTACACCATGGGGGCCACGCAGTCTGGGGGGGAGGGCACACTGGGGCCGTGTGGCCAGGACCCCACCCCCGGCCCGCACAGCCCCCCTCCTCGCAGGTCGGTGCCAGGGCGGGCAGGAGGGGCCGTACCTGTGCTGGTCTGCTCCTCGGCGCCCAGGCAGCTCAGCTTCCCGCTCGCGCACGAGCTACGGAGAGGGGAGGGAGGATGGGTCTGGGCCACTGCCCGCTGCCCGCAGACCGCCCGGATCCTGGCTGGGAGGGCCCGGCCCCCCTCCAGCCTCCCACCACGGCCTGGCAGCGAGGCGGCACAGTGTCTGGGCCCAGAGTCCCTGCGAAGGCCTCCGACCCCGCCAAGGGGCCAGGATGCAGCAGAGGGCGGGCAGCAGGGCCCAGGGCGCTGAGGCTGTGCCCAGCGGGCAGGGAGCTGCCTTTGGCCAGGAGGGTGTGGATGCCCCAGGCTGGCCCCGAGTGCACCGCCTACCCAGCACCCTCCGAGCACCCTGGCCCTCAGGACACCTTCCGGGTCAAGGCGAGATCACCCTTTACAGAAGGGCTGGGTGCTGGGCGGGAACACGCCTCCCAGGGAGCCCCGCCCCTCCCGGCCCCGCCCCGCCCCGCCCCTCCCGGCCCCGCCCCGCCTACCACACCACGCCGTGGTCGTGCACCACCTCCCCGGGCGCCACCACGCTGTCGCCGTGGTAGCAGGGACAGGCCTCGGCGGGCACGCAGCGGCCCGCGTCGTCCAGGAAGGTGCCGGCGGGGCAGGTGCAGCCGTCCACGGGCACGAAGCTGACACCGCAGGTGACGTCGGCCTGGCCCAGCGCGCGGCAGGTGGGCTGGCAGCCGGCCACCACGTCGGCGTAGCGCTGGGACTCGGGGCAGGCGCTCATGTACTTGGCTGGGGGCGGAGGCACGGGTCAGCGGCCGGCCCGGCCTCCCTCAGGGGGAGCCCGGGGTCACGGGGTGGGGGGGGAGCCCGGGGACATAGGGGGGGAGCCCGGGGGCACGGGGGGGGGGAGCCCGGGGTCACGGGGGGGGGGGGAGCCCAGGGACATAGGGCGGGGAGCCTGGGGACAGAGGGGGGGGGAGCCCAGGGACACGGGGGGTGGGGGGAGCCCGGGGACACAGGGGCGGGGGGAGTCGGGGGACACGGGGGCGGGGAGCTCAGGGACATTGGGGGGGCTGCCCAGGAACACGGGGGCGCTGCCCGGGGCCCCCCCACTCACTGCACACGCCGGCCCTCCAGCCCCGCTCCCGCCCCCCAGGCCCCGCTCCCGCCCCCCAGGCCCCGCTCCCGCCCCGGCCGCCCTCCTGCGGGGTCCGGGGCCCCCGGAGGCCGTGCCGCACCCCAGCCCCCCACTCACTGCACACGCCGGCCCTCCAGCCGCGCAGCAGCACGCCCCGCGCGGCGCAGGCGCGGACGTAGGCGGACAGCGCGGCGCACAGGCAGTCCTCGCTCCTCTCGCAGTTGCACGTGTCGAACAGGCAGTTCTGGGGGCGGGGCGGGCGTCAGGCACCCCGGCCACCCCCGGAGCCCCGCCTCCGGTCCATCCGCCTGGGACCCTGCCCCCTCCCCTGGCCAGCCTGGAGCCCCGCCCCCCAAGCAGGCCCCCGTGCAGAGGGACAGACGGACAGACGGACCCTTCACCCTCCGCGGTGTGCGGGCCTGGCGGTCCTAGCCGATGGGGTGGGGTCAGGGGTGGGGGGTGTCTGCTGGGACCAGGGCAGGTGGAGGGAGAACCTAACACAGCAGCACAGTTGCCCGAGGGCCAGGGGAGGGGGGCGGGGTGCAGGGCAGAGCCCACAGCCCCCACCCCCCAGGGCAGGGCTGGGCCTGTATCCTGGGGCACAGCCCCCCCCCCCCAGGAGAGGAGTCCAGTGCATTTGGGGGCTTTGAGCTTCCAGATCCGGAAATGAGGCCTAGGAGCCAGCGCTGAGGCTTGCGCTGTGTCCCCTCAAAAAGGTCACCCCCGGGGCCTGCAAACGGGCTCACAGGCGATGGGCGAAGGGAAGGCATTGGGGGCCTGAGCCGGCGTGCGGTGTCACCAGAGGAAACGCGCGCGCACAGGGACCGGAGGCCACGGGAGCAGGGACATGGGGTGTGGCCACAGCCCAGGACCCTGGAGCCTCCCCGGAGCTTCCATGGAGCTCGCCTGGCACAGGGACCCCGGAAAGGGGGCTGGGGGAAAGCTGCAGGCAGGCCCCGCTCCGCCCCCCAGAGCCGGGGTCCCCGCCTGGCGGGGGTCTCACCGCGTGGAAGGGTGCGGGATTGATGACGGGGTGGCAGGGTGCGAAGGCGCCCGCGGGGTCGGTGAGCAGGGAGCACCAGTGCTGGGCGTAGTTCTCTGGGGCGGGAACACGGGGGTCACCCGGCGGGCTGACCGCCCCTCCCCGCGCCTCCCCCCCTCCTGCTCCACACGCGGGCCCTGACCCCGACGCCCGGCACTGGGCAGGGCAGAGAGATGCTCTTCCCAGAGGTGGGTGCCAGCGCCCACCCTGCTCGCCCCAGACCCTTCGCTCCGGGGCCCAGCCCACGGCCCCCGAGTCCGGGAGAAGCCGGGCGGGTACCGTTCTCCACGCTCAGGGCGCAGGGGTCCTCGAAGCTGCTCCTGACGTTGGGGCAGGCGGCCTGGGTCTTCCAGGTGTTGGCGAAGGCGGCGGCCGTGCCCTCCACCACGCCGCTGAGGCTGAGGAAGTCGTCCGCCTGGTTCTGGTTGAAGTTCCCGCAGAGGCCTGGGCGGGAGGGGGGTCAGCCGGCACCCACCCTGCCGCCCAGCCCGAGCTTTCTCCCTCACTGTGGGTTGGTTCTAGAACCATCTGCTGATAGATTCCACCCCCCAAGGTCCCTCCCTGCTCGCCGCCTCCCGTCCCCACTGCCGGCCACTCCCTCTGCTTGGCGCTCACCGCACATCTGGCCGCGGTGGGCGGGGTCCAGCCTGAGCACCAGCTGCATGAGGGGCACCAGCTGCACCTCTAGCTGCAGCCCGAGGCCCGTGTGCACCAGGATGAAGAAGGTCGAGGGCCGGAACATGGTGATGTTGGCTGTGGGGGGGGGGACGGTCAGAGGCTGCCCGGAGGCCAGGCCCGGCCCCGCCGGCCCCACTGCCTGAGCCTCGCTCCGGGGACGGCCTGGGAGGCAGACACGGGCTCAGACACCCAGGAGGCGGGCAGGAGCTCACGTGCCCGCACGGGGCAGGGCCACAGACACCCTGAGAGGCCGGGGTCCCCGCAGCAGCCACAGGAGGGACCCCGAGACCCCGCTCTGCACCAGACAACCACCCGGCATCGTCCGGAACTGCCCGCGGCCACGGAGAGCTGTGCGGCCGTACCTGCGGACACGGGCAGCTGGGTGAAGATGGAGTTCATGAAGACCCCGCCGTTGGCCTGGATGCGGATGACCTGGGAGGGAGGGGCGGTCAGGCTGGGAGGAGCCCCGGAGCCCCCGGAGCCCAGGCGGCTGCCCGGACCTGCTTCCCCCACCATCCCTGCCGCGGGCGGCGAGGCAGGCCCCTCACCGTGTCCCCGCCGTCCATGCTCAGGGTCACCGTCTTGAGGCAGTTCTCGTTGTCGGTCAGGCCGCACTTCCGCAGCTCGGCCAGCACCGTGAAGCCGCCGTCCACACATTTCTACGGGCAGAATGGCGGGGGCTGAGCATGTGCCTGCCTGCACGTGCAATGCACATGTATGTGCATGCACCCGTGTGCATGCATGTGTGGGCATGTGTGCGTGCGTGTGCAGTGCCCTGTGCCCAGGACGCCATGCAGGCTGCAGGTGGCTCTCAGTGGCCTCTGGCACCTCCAGGGAGCGTGTCTGGGTCTGGGCGTGCCTCCACCCTGGGGTGTGCGGATGGGACCCTGGAGGGAGGGCCGGGAGGGCTGGGCCGGGACCGGCGCACCTTGGACAGGACGTAGCTGCAGTCGCCATGCATGTCGTAGAGCTTCTCGTCGTAGGTGGTGATGTGGGAGCCGCCCTGGACGGAGCAGGTGCCCGGGCAGGGCAGGTCCTGGCACTGCCACCGTCCCCCGGAGCAGGTGCTGGGGGCAGGAGCAGAGCGGCTGGTGAGGAGGGTGCCCCCGCCCCCGTGCCGCCCCTCCCCCCCCCCCGGCGGGACGGGGCGGCCTACCAGGAGCTGCAGCTGGTGGTGAAGGACTCCCCTGGCGCATAGGTGCGGCCGCCGTGGGCACAGGGGCAGCGCTGCAGGGGCAGGCAGCCGGAGCCGGCGACGTCATCGAGCACCGTGCCTGCGGGGGGGGGGGGGGGGAGACACGGGCGGGTCAGCGGGGCGCCCCCGAGGGAGGCAGCCACGGGCGGGCGGAGGGTCCGGGCGGGGGGACCTGCCTGGGGGGCAGAAGCAGCCGTCCACGCAGTGGTCCTCGCAGAGCTGGGAGTGCTCGGGGTTGGAGCAGGTGTCGGCGCAGGGCGAGCCGCACTCCCGGTGCTGCATGTTGAGCGGGCAGGTCCGGGCTGCGGGGAGGGCACGGTGCTTGGCATCTGGGCGGCCACCCAGGCCACTCAGGCCACCCTCCTCTCCCACTTCCCATGTGTCCCCGAGGGTCCCCCAAACCACATCCGGCTCCGGAGCCCCGGGTCTCGAAGCCTGGGGCCTGCTTGCCTGGCCCCGGCCGCCTCCTGTGCCGAGGCCGTGCCCACTCCGGGCCCCCGAGCGGCTCCCCGCCTGGGCCCCCTCCCCGCCCGGCACTCACGGCAGAGGTCCGGGCCCCTCCAGTCCCGCGGCTGCCCCCCGGCGTGGGCGCACTGGCGGGAGTACTCGGCGAAGGTGGCGCAGGGGCAGGTGGGGCAGCGGCACAGGTCCTGGGCGCAGGCGGCCACGTACGCGTCGGCGGCCACCAGCCCGTGGCACTGGGCGAAGGCCGGGCCCAGCAGCGTGCGGCGGCAGAGGTCCTCCTGGGAACGCAGACCACCCACTGCCTCTGGGCGGGGCGCAGGGGGCCCCGCCAGGCAGCCCCTCTTCCCGGCGGCTCCTTCCCTCCCCGCCCCCAGCCATCCTGCTCAGCCACTGACCCCCCCCCCCAGAGGGCTCTGCTGGGCTCTGGGCTCTGCTGGACACCCCCTGCGCCACCCCCCCCGGCTCTGGGACACGCGTGGTCACCCAGGGAAGGGGCAGAGCCTGCCCCTGGAGGTGGCTCCAATGGAGGGGGGAGGGGAGGGCAACCCACGGAGGAACTCCCCTCCCGGCTGCAGCCCTGGCGTAAGGCTGGGGTCCTGCTGGCTGAGGGGGTCCCGAGCTTCCAGGCCACGTCCAGAGGTGGGGTTCTCCCAGCTCAGCCGAAGGGCTCCCTGAGGCCCCCAGCCTTGGCAGGACTGTGTGGGGGGTGTATTTCCACATGCAGATGGGGCACACGCTCACACAGGCTCACACACATGCTTACATGTGTGCAGTGGGCAGAAGCGTGTGGGTGCGGAGCGTGCACCCCAGAGTGGAGGCTGTGTCCTCGGCTGCCCGGCTCTAGGGGACCCTCGCCCCCCCGGACGCCAGGCGCAGGGCTCACCGTGTCCGTGCAGTTGTCCTCCGGGCCGGGCCGGGGGTCCTGGCACTGCTCTGTGGGCCCGTCCAGCTTCTGCAGGTTCCCGAACTGCAGCGGTGTCAGCCTGGCGTCTGGGAGGAGGGGGCTCCTGTGGGGCTGCACGGGGCCCGGGGCACCCAGCCCAGGACCCCGCAGGCCTGCTTCCTGCTCGGGGGCCCCCAAGGGCACCCAGCCCCCCGCCTGCCTGTCCCACCCAGGACCCCGCGGGCCTGCTTCCTGCCGGGGGGGCCCCCAAGGGCACCCAGCCCCCCGCCTGCCTGTCCCACCCAGGACCCCGCGGGCCTGCTTCCTGCCGGGGGGGCCCCCAAGGGCACCCAGCCCCCTGCCTGCCTGCCCCACCCAGGACCCCGCGGGCCTGCTTCCTGCCCGGGGGGCCCCCAAGGGCACCCAGCCCCCCGCCTGCCTGTCCCACCCAGGACCCTGCGGGCCTGCTTCCTGCTCGGGTGGCCCCCAAGGGCACCCAGCCCCCCCGCCTGCCTGCCCCACCCAGGACCCCGCCGGCCTGCTTCCTGCCCGGGGGGCCCCAAGGGCACCCAGCCCCTCGCCTGCCTGTCCCACCCAGGACCCCGCCGGCCTGCTTCCTGCCCGGGGGGCCCCAAGGGCACCCAGCCCACGCCTGCCTGTCCACCCAGGACCCGCCGGCCTGTCCCACCCAGGACCCCGCGGGCCTGCTTCCTGCTCGGGGCCCCCCGGCCCTGACCCTGGCGGTGCTCACTGTGGGCGTAGAACTCGCTGACGGCCGGGAGCCCGTTGAAGTCCCCGCAGAGCCCGCACGTCTGGTTGGCGTACTTGGGGTCCAGCTCCAGCTGCGGGCGGAGGGGCAGCTCCAGCCTCTGCAGGCCCCCGCGGACCCCCCCCCCCGGACTCCCACAGCGGGCGGCTGGCGCTCACCAGGGCGCTGTCTGCTCCGTTCCACAGGAAGGTGAGCGCCAGCCGCACGCTGACCTTGAGGTAGTCGCTGCTGCGCTCCACCAGCAGGCCGGCCCGGCTGTAGGGCAGCTGCTCCCTGGGCAGAGTTCCGGTCCCACCTCAGTCCGGCCTGGGAGGGTCCCCCGCCCGCAGCCCCGCCCCGCCCCGCCCCCGGAGTCCGCGCCGGGCTCACCGCCGCCCGTCGATGAGGACGGCGCCGCCCGACAGCTCCAGCACCAGCCCCTGCGCCCGGAGCACCACGTGGGTGATGGTGGGCCGGGCGCCGGCCAGGCCGCGGCGCAGCTGCACGTTGAAGTCCTCGTAGGCGGCCCCGCAGTGCGCCGAGAAGACGTAGTTGCAGCGGCCGGGGAAGCGGAACACGTCGCCGTCGAAGGTCTTGTAGTGGAAGTCGCCCCACGTGCTGCACACCCGGCCGCCGTGCGCCGGGCTCAGGGCTGCGGGAGCGTGGGAGGCCCCGCTGGAGCACCTGTGCCGGGCTCCCGGGGAGGCCACCCTCCCCCGGTCTGCCTCGCTCCCCTCGGCACCTCTGGCTTTCCCGACCCCGCGCCTGCCCTGCACCCCCGCCGCCCAGGAGAGCCGTCCGCGGGGCGGGCTCCCGCTGTGCCCGGCGTCCAGCTGCCCCTCAGTCCCAGCTCCACCCACACCCCTGCCCCCCAGGCTGGCAGACACCCGCCCCTAGCGGTGGGCACGTCACTCACGGCTCATCGGGGGGAGGACGGTGATGGGGGGCATGATGATGGTGCGCTGGGCTGCGGAGTGAGGGCAGGGCACTCGGGATGGGGCCGGGCCGCCTGCCCTTCCCGGACCCCCACCCTCCTCACTGTCCCCGGGGAGTACCAGCCCCCTGGGGCCAGGACTGACTGGGCCCTTCAGACAGGCTTCCCTCGCGCGCCTCGCCCGAGTGTGTACGTGTGAGTGCGTGCATGTTCACACGTGTGTGGGTGCGTGCATGTATGAGTGTGGGATGTGTGCACACTAGGCGAATATGTGCGCACATATGTGAGCGTGTGTGCACATTATGTGTGGACACGTGTGTGCACACTGTGTGGGAGTGTGTGAGCATTTGCTTGTCTGCTTTGCACCTCCGTGTCCTTGGTTCCCCCCCTCCTTGCACCCTCTCCCTGCAGACGGGCTCTGGCTCCGTCCCCCTGCTGGGCGCATACCCGTGTCCATCCTCCGACTGCCCTTGGCTGCCTCTGCGTCTGCCCAGCTGGGCTCTGCGCTGCCCTGGGGCTCTGTGGGGACAGGAGGGAGTCAGCGGGGAGCCGGACACGCCACCCCCTCCGCAGCCTGTTTGCGTGTCCGAGGCCGCGGGTGGCGGCCGCACGAGCAGGCTCTGGCCTGCGTCCCTCGGGGACAGAGAGTGAGGCTCCGCTGGGGGTCTGGAGGCGGCGGCCTTCGGCGCCTGTGCTGCCCCCCCCCCCCCCCGGAGGCTGGGACGGGCAGGAGAATGGAACCAGGAAAAGGCGGTGGCCGCTGGCCCCGGCCGCCGGCCCCCAGCAGCGGCCGCCCCACGCCCCTCGAGAAGGACAAAGACTGGCTTTGTGGGGAGGACACCGCGGCTGGAGGCTCCCAGGCGTGACTTAGCAGAAACCCAAAACCCACGACCAGAACCGAGCGGCGGGCGGGGCGGTGGGCGCCGGAGCCCAGGGCGGCCGAGTGGCCGAGGTCGTGGGTCCGCCTCCCCCCGCAGCCCCGCCGCCTGCCCAGGACTCCTTCCGTGCGTCTGCCAAGGGCCCCCTCTGGGACCCAGACCCCACTTTGTGGGGGTGCAGGGTGGGGCCCTGATGTCCCCCGTGGGGCTGGAGCCCGGGAGGGGCACTGGGCAGCCGTCACGCTGGGCTGCTTCCTGCCGGGACTCCCGGGCCACCTGCACTCTCTGGGGCCTGCTGCCCTCTGCCGTCCGTCTGTCCGTCTGCCCGCCCCGAGCCCAGACCTGCAGCCCTCCTCCCTGCCCCGGCCCAGGCCCCGTGGAGAAAACGCAGGTCACGGGCACCTCCCCCGGGTCCTGGCCTCCAGACCACAGGCGCCCAGCAGAACCTCCGTGGCAGGGACCGACCGGGCGCTGGGCCTCCACCCCCCACAGAGAAATGCCTGCCCCCGCCCTGCTCCCAGCAGTCCGGGCCCCCTCGCCACCCCCTCCCCCCGATAGTGCATGCCCCCCACAGAGCGATTCGCCCCGAGAAGAAGGAAGCGGTGGAGGTGCGGTGCTCTCACCCAGGCCCCCTCAGGGGCAGGGCCCCGGGAGCCGGAGGAGCCCGCTGAGTGGGGACCTGGCTGTGCAAAGTGCACCCCAAAGGGAGCTGGGGCGAGGCGTGTGCCCAGGCCCCCCGCCAGGTGCCACATAGGAGAGCCCGCACCTCCAGCCCCGCTCTCCCCAAGGAAGGGGGCTGGGCCAGGGGCTCGGAGAGACCACCACCCTGGCCCTGACCCGGCCCTGGCCCGGGAGAGCCAGGGGGACGCTCGGTGCTGAGCGCAGGAGGCGCTGGCACTGCCGGGCAGCCCGAGGCTGCGTCTTTTTTGTTGACAGTAAGTATTAGGGCTTCTGCCACCGAGGCCCAGGGCGAAGGGGTGCCGGGCGAGCGGCTGAGAGAGGCCCAGTGGCCAGGCTGGGAGTGGGGCTCAGACGTGGCCCCTGCTGCCAGGCCGCCTGCCCCCGGCAGGGGTGTCTCACAGCCCTGGGTGCCCGAGCTGTCGCCGCTGGCCTCAGGTGGAAGGACGAGCACCCACTGGGCACACCGCTGGGCCCTGCGGGTCCGTCCGCGGCAGGAGGCCCCGAGCGGCCTGAGGACGGTGCGGGCACACTCACCTGCCGAGGGCACCCGGAGCAGGACCAGGAGCGCCCAGGCCAGCGCCCGGCACCCGCTCGGAGGGCCCATCCTGGGACTGCGGGCGGCGAGGGGGAGTGGGCAGGCGCTGGCTCCGGGCGCGGGCCTTATGTAGCGGAGGCCCTGGCCCCGTGCCCGGCGGCCGCGGGGGCACTGCCCGCTCCCGCAGCCCGGTGTTTGCTCTCCGGGAGGGGCCGGAGCAGGAAGGAGTGCGAGGAGGAAGGAGCCTTGGCCCCGGGGCCCCGAGGCGCAGACCCCCGCCCAGAGGCCTCTGGGAACCCGCAGGGGAGGGGTGCTGGCGGCCCCTCCAGACGGCAAAGCCCTGCAGGAGGGCACCTCGGGGTCCTCCCCGGCTGCAGCCCCACCTCCCTCCAGAGGGTTGGGGTTCAGCTCCACGTGGAGCCCCAGAAGCCTGGGGGAGACCCAGAGGCGGGCCAGGGGCGGGGGGACAGCACACCCCTGTCCTGTCTGATGGGGGGAGGGGCTGGGAGGCCGAGGTCAGTGTTGCTGGCCTGCGGCGGCCCTGGGTCCCCCGCGCAGCTGGGGGTGGGTTGGCTGGCTTTGGGGGCCCGGGCTCCTGGTCTGCATGGCGTGGGAGGGGGTGCTAGGAGGCGACTCTGTGCCCCCCAAGTCCCTGGGCTCCTCTTTGTCCTCAAGTTCAATGTCCAGGGGAGACCGGGCCTCGGGAGTGGGCACTGCCTCAGTGGCCCCGCCTGGCGCCTCTGGGCATAACCCAGCAGAGGCTCCCAGCGCGGGGCCTGGGGACCCCACCTCACTCCGAGGCTGCCTGTCAGCGGGGGCCCAGACCCGCCTGCATCAGCCCACGGCAGGCCACGCAGGACCCATGTGTCCGCGTGATGTGCCCCTTGGGGCTGCTGGGTCACCTCAGCAGGGACCGGGGGCCTCTCCACAGCACCTGCTCCGCGTGGGGCCCACGGCTGGCGGGCCGGGTTTTCGGGACCCCCTGCTCCCCAGCACCCCACCTCTCCCTCCCGGGCTCATCCAGGGTCCTCCCCCCAAACCTCACACCATCCTCGCCCCTCGGAGGGAGGGGGGCGCAGCCCCCTGGGGGCAGCCGGCTCTGGGTCTGGGGCCCGCCTGTTCGTAGGGTTCGTGTCCGTCCCTGTCCCCCCCGCCCGCCCCCCACAGCAGGCGCTGGCCCCCGGGGCGCGGGACCCAGCGGGCCTCCCTGAGCACCGTCCATCCGTCCGGGAGGGCGGCTCAGGGTCCGCGATTGAGACATCCCGGATGCCGGCGCGGCCTGTTTGCTCAGCGCGTTTACCCCTTCACAGTTGAGGGAGCCGCGAACAGAGGCGGGGAGGGGGCCGGGGCCAGCGCTCCGCTGCTCCGAGGCTGCGCAGGGCGGGCGTGCCAGGAACCCCCACCCGGCCCGCCCTGCCTCCGCAGCCAGGGCCACGCAGAGCCCGGGGTGACGGATGACCCCAGCCCAGGCCTCAGCCCCCCAGCCCCGCCGTCTGCCCCCCAGCCCCGCCGTCTGCCCCCCAGCCCCGCCGTCTGCCCCCCGCACAGGCTCCGGGCAGAGGCCCGGGCGCGCTGGGTCTGGCGTTTCTGGGCGCCGGCGGTGTGCCCAGCGCCGGGAGGGTGGCCGTGGACCTGCCTCAGGTCCACTCGGAGCCCCCTGCCCGGCCCTGGGGTGCTGCCTCTGGAGGCTGCATGGACGGGGGGCCCGGCAGCCTGGCCTATCTCCCACGGGCCCCGTTCCCAGGGGGCTGAGGGCCCAGCAGTGCGACCAGGGGGCCGTGAGCCAGACACAGCCAGGGTGGGGGGGCCGGCAGGGAGGGGGTGACCCAATGTCCTGGCATCTTCCTGGTTTCCACAGAGATCCTGGCCCTGGCCGGCGGCCCTGGCCTCCCCCTCTGCCTCTGCCTCCTGCTTCCTCCTTCCTTCCAGCACCTGGTGCTGAGCAGAGGGGGTGGGGGTAGGGGGCTGGGCAATGGGGTCTGAGGGACGGAGAACCCGGGCCTGTTCCACGGAGCTCAGGATGCACAGCGCCCGTGAGGGCGGGGGAGGCACCTCGGAGGGTCTCCGGAGGATGGTGGCTGGGGGCGGGTGACAGCTGAGCCGAGGGAGGGGGCAGCGGGCAGGGCCCTGGGCAGGGACCACCTTGGCCATTGGAGGGTCTGAAGGCCCTGATGCGGCTGGGACTGGCCGGTGGGGGGGAGGCGGAGCCCGGGGGGGGCCCTAGGTCGGGGGAGAGGTCTGGGCTTGCTCTGAATTCGGGGGAGGGGCAGGTATTGGAGCACTTACTAGGGAAGCAGGAAAACCACAGGAAATGGCTTTTTGTAGTAAAACGAACATCACAAAGCCCGCCATTTTATTTTTTATTTTATTGATTTTTTACAGAGAGGAAGGGAGAGGGATAGAGAGCTAGAAACGTCGCTGAGAGAGAAACGTCGATCAGCTGCCTCTTGCACACCCCCTACCGGGAATGTGCCCGCAACCAACGTACATGCCCCTGACCAGAATCGAACCCGGGACCTTTCAGTCCGCAGACCGACGCTCCACCACTGAGCCACACCGGTTTCGGCAAAGTTCGCCATTTTAACCACGTTTAAGTGCACGTTTAGTGGCGTGCGTAGGTTTGT